TCTTATTCTTATTCTTATTCTTATTCTTATTCTTATTCTTATTCTTATTCTTATTCTTATTCTTATTCTTATTCTTATTCTTATTCTTATTCTTAACCTCCAGCGTGAGCTCGAGCACAATCGCAGCCAGAAATCCAAGAAAGGTGAACCCAGTGAGACACCGTATCCCGTCTGCTATCTGGGTGATTCTTTAATCGGGAGAATATTCGTCCCGATCAAGCTTCCAATGTTTCCCGCTGCCAGCGTCCACTTAAGTCCAATCGAGCGCTTCCATGAGGGGCGAGGCTGTTGCCAGTCCACGCGCTGATGCAGGATAGTAGCGGGTAGGTCCCTATCTGCGCGAGCACGATAGTGAAGTACAACGTACCCACGTTCTGCCTTACGGGATCTGCGAGCCCACAGAGCATTGCTAGCGCGACTGTGAGCAGCGCCCATACCCATCGTTCTCCAACTTGCCCGTGACATGTCAGGCCCAACGGGGAAATGGAGGTGCCTCTGGGGTCCGGACGACCAGCTGGGAACGCTGAACCACCTGACCGCCGAGCGCGTCCAGGGCACGTGCCGCAAGGGATTCAGGACGGGGGAGTGGGCGAGTTTGAAGTAAGCATCTGTCTCACACATACGTTCTCTGATATCTTAGCTTAACACGTGCATGCAGCTGGCAGCTCGAAGGCACGACAAACTCACATTTCCAATACCCTCGCAACGATCTGCACATCAACTTGATAAAAAAAGGAATCCCGCGTCGTAGCTTTGGACGACGAGTGGTTGTTCAACACGCAGTGCTCCAGCCAGTGGGACAGATGTCGACACTACGTCTACCAGGACGAGCGGCTGTTCTACATGGGCCACAAAGCGTCTGTTTTCGCGGCATCACCGAAATCCAGTGGGATGCAGCACATGCCGAAGAAAGGAATTGCCGGCAGAGCATTCTTCGTGGACTGATACCACTGGACGAGGGAGTTCAAGAAAGACGAAGTCGACGCCTTCTCGAGTCACGCGATCCCGTTTCTCGAGCCCGAAGCAGTGGCAGAAATTATACCGCTCGCGTCGATCCAGCCAGGCGCGATCCTGATGATCCAATCGGGATACCTCAAGCAGTACAACTCCATGGCCGACGCGAAGCGCACCGAACTCGACGGTATTTACCAACACACGAATCGCAGCAACGTCGGCGTTCAGGCGTCGCAGGAATTCCTGTCCTTTCTGTGGCAGAACCAAGTAGCCGCCGTTGCGGGGGATAGTAGAAGTTTGGAGGTGTGGCCCTGGAAAGATGAGGATAAGAGTGGCAGCTGCATCAATGGCTGCTCACCGGATGGGGAATGCCTATGGGCGAGCTGTTTGGTTTGGAGGAGCTGAGTAAAATCTACGCAGAGCAGGATGGTGGGAGGGGAGATGGACATTCTTCATGACGAGCGCGCCGATAAATGTCAAGGGCGGGTGGAATTGCGAGCCCGCCGAACGCATTGGCTTTTTTCTGCACACTCAATGGCTCTTGCTGTTTGGAACCTCACTCACTAAATTCGACCCCGGAGAAAGTGACACTGCAAAGGTCTGCAGGATTACCGTTACATACATGGGATGCGACAGGGGTATCTCGGAGCACGGGCCGTAGTCGTACGATTGATGCTTGAACACGGGCTACAGATTCACGTTCTCATAAGAAGCGAGTGCCCCCATTGTAGCAGCCCGAAAATTAGGAAATTCTTATTGTGTGATATCTTCATTATGCTGGTCGATAAGCATCTTCTGCTGTTGTGACCATGCACTCGACAAGAAAGAGAAAAACACGAAAAGCCACCGAGATGGCATATGGGGATCACCGTATGCGCCCATACGCCCGCTGTTCATAAACCTTAGGGAAAAAGATGATGGTTTTATTCATCAGAAAAATCAGAACGAGCGTCCAAGGATTTGTAAACGGACAACAGATTACAAGAAAGTATGGTTGCAAGACTGTTGAAGATCGAATCGCTCTAATAGAAGTTGCCGTGCGGTACGGCACAGAAAATTCCGACAATGATGAAGGAGAGGACTGTTGCGCCGAGGATCGCTTGTAGGAAGATGGTGTCCTGAATCTGGCGCAGGGCAGGCTCCTGGATCCAGACCTCTCGGTCAAAGATCTTGCGGACGACATTGCGCTTCTCATACCTGGCAACCCATGGCTCGTCCTCGTAGCTGTTGCTGGATGCGTGGGATATGATACTGTCGAACGAGTCGCCCTTCAGGTCGATGCTGGCAGCAGGCTCGTCGTCGGAGGCGAACAGTTCCCACGGACGGAGGTGGCGATGGTGCATACCGTGGAGGACGACGCACATTCCCTTCCAAGCCGCGATCAATGTCGATATGCCGATCATGAAGCCGATGAGAGATAGGACACGCCAGGCACGGCCAGCGCTGCTTAGGGTGATGAGCAGAGCGGCAATGAAACCTCCAACGATACCGCCAACACCAAGACCGCGTGCGAAGATGACGCGGGGACGGTTGCCGTTGCAGATGGTCCACCGGATGAAGTTGGGATGAGCCTGGCATCGGAGCGACCACTCGACTGTAGCGATGACATCGCGGAAAGCGGACGGATGAGTTGTATTCTGAAGAGCATGGAGCAGAGCGGTGCGCTCCTTGGATGACAGATTTAGCTGACGATTGCCTCCATCTGCAACATAGATGGAAATGATGCGAGTGATCTCTTCACGATATGGTTGGACAGAGACTGTTGACGAGTATGAGCATGGGATATGTACGGATTCAAGACAGGTCAGTTCAACTCACGAGGTTTCCATTTGAGGCCTGCGCTCTCAAACGCACCTGTCGCACGTTGAGCGTGGTCAGTCTTGGCCCCAGACGCCAGACTGGCATCGTAGGAATCAAGTGACTCGCCGCCCTCGCGCCTCAGGTCGCTATTCGGAGTACGCGGCGGAGTGAAGAACGGGTTGCTCTTCTCGGCTTCGGTCGCCCTGAAGTCGGTGGCAAAGTCTGTCCCTTTGAACACTGCAGCCGTCTCCGGGCTGAGTTGCTTGGGTCGGGCCGGGGCTTCGGTCTCACTGTCCTCGAACCACTCCGGCGACAGAGCCTTCTCGTTCCCAGGCAGCTCATTGAAGCGCTTTGCGTAGCTACGGAACCAGAGGAAGAATTGCAGGTTCTCGGCTGAGAGCTCAATGTACTTGAGGTAGTTCATGAAGTCACGTGTGGTGCATGGCTGGACTCAGCATCAGCAAAGTGCACTTGGACCTGGTTAAGCCGAGCATCTTGTTCAGGCTGGGTGGGGAACTCACAGGGCAGGTGCCACCAGAGATGATGCGGTCAAAGGAGAGGGCCTCGGGGATGCCGTGGGACATGCCACTGGAGCCAGACTTGACAGACTCCTCGATGGACTTCTGCTTGTCGGTGCCAGAGAGCGAGCCGCGCGACGATTCAGCGCGAGACACGTGCGCAGGGCGACGGTAGTTGATGGGATAGACCATGTTGGAGGCTATTGAGGAAGACAAGGTAGTCGAAGAGGTGGGAGTAAGCTGCGAGCGCGTGGGGGGCAGCTGCAGCAGAGCGAAGGAAAGAGCAGCGCCCAAAGTAGAACAGCAAGTGCTCAGGAGAGAGAAGTGGAGGTGGAGAGGAAGAGACGGTGGTGAAGACAAGGAAGCGGATCGAAGAAAGCGGCGCAGGTGCGATGGACTGCTGGCCGGAGCGCGCACAAGCGGCGAGGCCAATCGACGTTGTTCGGCTGGGCTTGACGGAAGTTTTCTCGCTAGGGACTGACAGCAAACGAAGAAGGTCTTGGGAGCGGGAACGGAGAATTGACGACTCGTGCGTGCAGAAGCTCGCGGGCTGGCTTTAATATAGCCTTCGGCGCCGTCTCGTTCGCGCGTGAAGACTGACAACCACGCCTGCCTTCCTCGCTACGCCAGGCGGGAGACGGCCGGGGGTGCCAGCGACCGGCCTCCCGCAGGAGCAACGAGCATGGCCGTGGACGCACACGGAGGGCGACCACCTGCCGGCAGCCCGCGTCCATGGCGCCTCGACTGGACTCGACGCGCCCTGGCCACGCCGTACCAAAGAGTATGGCGCAACGAGCCGAAGGCGACCGTTGGCCAACGCAGAAGCGACTGCACCTTTCAACCAACTTCTGTCGTGGGTCTCCCGCAGTCGCGGGCAGAAGGCGACGTCGAATTCGCATCCACTTGCCCCTGGCCTGCCGGGTGGGTCCGTGGCGTCGGCTATCTAGGTGATCGAATGGGTGATCGCCCACATGCATTCCCGCCTTGGGCCTCGTGCAAACCTTGTGCGCACCGCTGCAATGTGCTGTCGACCTGGCAGGAAGCCTCCCATGTACACATTACCATGCTCGCGGCGACCCTGGATCAAGAACATGTTGCAGGGACCCCCCAGTGTGCTTCACATCAAAAGTACCGCCGCGGCTGCACGAACAGCGCGAAACTCTCTCCTCCATCTCAGCTTAACCTGCCGCGCAATGATGTAGGTCCAGACAGCCACAAAAGGCGCCACTGCGTGGCCCTTGGTATGCCACCCACGCTACGGCGCAGTGTGCTCTTTGGGCTTGGCCCACCGATCTATGTACTCCCTGATTCGACAAAGCTCCCTCACGCTATCACTACATTTCCGCCGCTAGTTCGCGCCAATCCATGATTTATGCCAGACTTGAGCTAGGCCTCTCCTCTCCCGCCCCGAACCGCCGTTGTGCCTCAGCACCCTCGTGTTCACAATCAAACTTCACTGCTACGGCTGAATTTACTCTACAAGCAACATGACGTCTTCAAAGGGGAGCGCGTTCGAGACGCGGAAGCTTGCCAGGTCTGCCGTGCACACTGCGCCAAGACAAACATACATGCCCGCGAAAGAACAATAGTCCAGAAAAGTCTCGCACGTGTCTTCGGCGAACTGGGCGGCGAATGACTCCCCTTCCCGACGCATGGCATATGCATTGTGCCACCAGGGACCCGCTGCTGTTCCTGTCCCGGTCCAGGGTCGGTCCATTGACCTGGTCCTGGTTTCCAATGTATCTGGCGATAAAAAGCAATAAGGTCCTTCTACCGTCTGCCGGAATCATGGTCATCTGGGCGGGCTGGTCCGAAATTATGCTTTTAACATTACAGTTCTGCTTTCATCCTTACAATTGATATCCAGCACCGCCACCAGAGCGCCAGACTTCACATGCTTGTTGATGGCTTGGAATGCGCACTTCAGCCTCGGGAGAAGCACTTGAAGGCGGACGCGAAATGCGTCCCCGTCATCTGGCCATGTTGCTATACAAGTGGTATTGAACTAGTGTCTGCTGCATCCTCGTCCAGGCGGAGCAAACTCCTCTCTGCCTCTTTTTACGGTTCGCCGATCGATCGCTATATCACTAGCGCAGATCTGTGATTAGTACACATCAATGCACACTCAGCACGATTGGTCGATCACGTCTCCGCAATTTCAAGATCACGAAAAGTCCGCGGACCTGAGCATCGCATTCGTTTTCCTAATCGATGTCTTCGATACGCCTTGGGGGCTGAGATTTGCATCACGATCGCGCCTAGACTCCCAGCCCGAATGCTCAAGCGAGCGCCCACGTTGCGGCACCTGCGTGCTTCACAGCCACGTTCAGGTGAGAATTTCTAGACGCGGAAAGGCAACTTGTTGTGGCTCAGAATAAAGTGTGATTGCGGACTTCGACTGCGCCCATGCCGTTTCCTCACCAGTCTAGAAGCCCACCACCACTGTTTCTTTGGTACTCACCCCGATGGTAAGCCAGCACGTGAATGCTTCTCAGTTTATTCGCATATCACATGCCTTCACTCTTGTACTCTGTATGGTATGTATGACAACGTTTCTGTCTCGCTAACAGAAACATCAAGTAGTCTTTTGAGCAGTGTTGCATGTGCAATAATCAAAAGGCTCCATCCACGGCATATCGGTTGCCCTCCAGCTACCAAGTTCTGCCCGATGGCCATCTTACAATCGTGAAACCCGATCCAGAGGGACATCGGCCTCCCTAGACTTTGATTTTATTGCGGTGTGTCTAGTGCAGGGCATTGTAGTCCCTCCTCATAGCTCAAGCCTTCTGGTTCGATCCCCTTTCTCTTCCATTACCGCACCGATATGTCAGATGATCTCCTCGTACTGCCTTCGTATTTCGCCGAGCCATTAGTCAGTGTTGCCACGGCTACGTTCCGAAAAATCAATTCGCCCACTCAAATTTCTCTCTTCTGTTGAGAAAACTCACAATCACTTCCGATCTCACAAAAGCCACTCAAACGGTCATGAGCGAAGCTTGCCGGACGACATGCATCACTCCCGTAGAATCTTTGGTGCTTATGTTCGTACCGTGAATGGAGATGCGAACCCGTGGGGCTGCGCTTCCAATCCCCTTGGAATATTGGACTCCTTGTGCCCAGCAGCGTACCTTTGCGAACATAACCGCTTTGACTTAGGCAGCGGCCCAGGGGTGAAATGCTCAAGTGGGATCTGACATCGCTCCAGCTCTTTCCGCGCATCCGTTTCAACCTTTCCACAAATATTCCTATGTACTGGATGGCCTCACGCCTCAATTCGGCAGTGATTTGGTGGCAGCAGAGAAAAAGACCTATGGATTCATGACAGTCGTGTAATGGGGGAAACAAGAAGGGAAAATTTGAGAGACGAATGTATTACGTGCCGGCAGCTGTAAGGGATATCCCAGGACATCTCTCGCTTAACCCTTCCAGTGTAACGTAGAACAGCGTCACTGCATGTGCCTGTGTCCCTGCACGACGCCAGGTAAAAATTTGGGCAGCAGCAGTATCGTCGTACCCGTACACGGCTCGCTAGAGCGCTTGGGGCTCATTGTCTCGATATAGAGAATTGCCGACGGAAACATGTATCGTTACCAGATTTAGTGGAAGAGAGGCCATTTTGGATCAAATTGGAAGCGCAAAGACCATGCCAGAGATCACAAAAGCTACACCGGAATGGCAGGCACGGATAAAGAGTGCAGAGAGACAGTCCTACGCGAGAGGTCTCGCAAATAGCCCACATGCCGATATTTACAAAGAGTAAGCGCATGCGGCGATGAATGCAAGCTCATGAAGCTACCCTCGGGCGATGACGATGAAGCCCCCATCGCAGCCAACCGCCGCCCGCTCACCACCAAGGCCGCAGGAGACACCCGTTTCCCGCACCGGCGTAAACACACCGTAACCGGCACTATCAAAGCTCACACCCAAATTTACGTCGTCAACTAACTAACCATCCACGCCAGAACCACCTGGTCCACCACCCTTGGCGCCTTCGACAGCCTCCACTCCGCCAACACCGAAGCCCCCACCCGCGCCGTCTTCCAGCACGCCAACGGTGCTACAGCACTTGGGCGTGCCACCGGCGACGCCGCACGCGGTGAACGAGTAATTTGACCCGGAAGATAGGCTTGTGCCGTTACGGGTGCCGGGTTCGAGGAGGGTGAGGCAGATTCAAGCGTTTAGGAGTACAGATAGTATTTGGACGGAGGTTGAGCGGCCGGGTGATGCGGCGAAGGGCCCGAGACGGGTGCAAGGACGCTAGGCTGAAGACATCCTACGCGAACATCCCGCGCAGAGGAATAAGGTGGTGGGTGGTGCTGGAGCGATGGAGGATGGTACGAAGAAAGAGCCGGAAATGCGGGCTGGCAAGGAGAACGTGGTGCCGGGACAGATCTATCAAGGATCTGAAGGAGTTTGCTTCGCTGCATACACTGTTGTGATGGGAGAGGGCGTGGAAGCCTAGGTGGAGAAAGTGGGACTCGATGTATTCTCGAGATTCACTTCTACGAACGAGCGGCGAGAATTTTGCAAGCAGGAATCTTTTCACTGGAAACGCTACAAGGATGATTTGGCGTTTCAATATATCCAGTGTTGGTCTGGGGAACCTGTAACAGCACTTCATCAAAGTATCATCTATTTAGAGTACAGAGTCACTGATCGGAGTGGAGTAATGGACTATACTGATCTAGCCCTTCTGAAGATGAGACAGAGATGGAACCTTTGCTGTCCGTCGTTCCAATCCATCGCGCCCATGTCATCTCGATCCGGGAAGGACATGGCAATTTCATCTCTGGCAGGCAATGCGTCAGTCTACCTCTCTAGTTCACAGCCCTTTCGGGAACAAGTCTCACCTCTCACGGGTCATTGCAGTAAGGAATACCGTTCCCTACATTGACAATGCATGTTGTATTCTTGCACGTCGCAGCCGTGTGCCATCCACGCCTACATACAACATCAGCACCATGTGTGGTTTCAAACTGCAGCTTACTTACATATCGCAGGTCTCGATGCCCGAGAGGTTGTAGCTGCAGCGGTACTGGCCGGAGCAGCTTGTGGAGCCGCGTAGGATGGCAGGCGAGGCTGTGACGAAGATGGCCAAGAGCAACAGGGCGAGCAGAACTTTGACCATGTTGGACTTTCGGGGGTTTAGCTGCGTGGGAAGAAATTTGTTGAAATGAGGCCTGACGTCCGAGAGGCAGAGGGAGCTTGTGAGACGGAGAACTGACGGTGGTGAGCAGGAGTGTGTGTTGCACGTGCTTTGCTGTCAAAAAGTGACAGCAGGAGGGAGATGTGGGCAGAAGTCTGGATCGAAGTGCGACGGCAGCGTTTCGAGAAATTTTGAAGAGAGGCTTTTGTGCCAACTGTTCATTCTAATTTGAACTTCTTCTTTGCGCGTGATGGCAAAAACTTGGTACTCCAAGAGGCCGCCGCGCCCAACGAATATCCAAATTATCCGCGCAGTGAAGTGACCTAGGGCCATTGCTCACCCTCGCTCAAGCGACCCATAAATCCAAACCGCGCCCTTGGGATAGCGTAATGTGTACCGTCTGATTTGACGCATCTAAAGAGCCCATCGTGCCGTCCTATCAGCCGCCTCTGCTTTCTCCTCCTAATTCAGCGATATTGAGTGCCGGCGCCCCTGATAGATCGGCTCAATGTCTTTGCCGCCTCCTTGTTGCGGCCGCGTTGAGCCCGTACTGGTCAGCTTCTCAACCTTAGTTTCCAAGAGATCCGGTCTGGTCTGAACCTCGAGGTTGGGATCTGGCGTCATTCTTTGTTTCAAGATCCCTGTGACGGCCCTCTTTTTGTCATCTTTGTTGGTAGTCACTACATTAACAGCAAATTTGCGCGCTTCCGGCATGTTCATAACGAAATATGTGGCGTAAGCCGGCTCATTGACACTTCGAAAGGGGCCATCGTCGCGCTTGCGAAAGTATGGGATGCGTGATTGCGCCCACAGTGGGTCTTGCTCGATCTTGAAGATAGTGGGTGGCATTTGCTTTGGAGGAAGTGAAACCATCGGGTTCGGACTTCCATTCTGCTCTCCAAATACTCCCAGAGATGAGTCTACACGTACTGCACGGTCCTGTAGTGGCAATGCTTCAATCTGGTATTCGCTGAGCGGTCTTTCTTGCCTATTTTTCGTGATATGTGTAATGAGACCTCGCCTACAAAGGTCTATGTCGTTGCAGTACTATCACATTGAGGGTTTCGAGTCAGCACAAATCGCAAGAGATACTGTGTCTAAAACAGACACAGGCTTCCGCATACCACTCACTTTACCCATGAAACCTGCGGACTGGAGTCTCTTCAGATTCAGTTCAAGGGCGCTCATAGCGACGGCTTGCGCAGTGGAAAACGAGGAGTAGATCCCGAGGCTCACTGTACGGATCTCGACCGGGCATTCCATGGCGCTACCCAGTGGTATCGCGAAGTGATGGTATACGCAGAACACGGTATCTTGTAGGCAATGCAGAGCTGCTTGGTAAGACATATAGAGAAAGTTGGTCGTAGTTAATAACGATAGCGAATAACCGTCGGGGTATTGGAGATGTTGGGGCCAGGGACACGAGGTTGCGAGATCAACATGGCCGCGTTATATAGAATGAGCAACCGGCATAATTGCTGAGGCAGTTGCCCGTTTGACCCGCGCCTGTCTTTTGGGTGAAGGTCGCATGTTCAGAGAGCTTGCCTCCGATTCTGTTGCCCTTGTTACTCTCACCGTCACAGCAAATTATGCCTGCCCAAACTCCAGGTGAAGAAAACGCGAAGCTTTGTTACGATGTATTCGGGTGCGAACAAATGTTCAGAGGTTCGGTGGTGTTGAATCGTTTTTACAACCACACGTTGTTGCTCGCCTCTACAGTCTGGTGGAGTGCTATCAGAAGACATGGCAGGTAAGCAAAAGTTGCCTGAATGTCAATTGGATCGTGGAGGACGTATGACAACAAAAAGGCTGCAACCATGGCAAACTGTGAGAAGGGCCGCACATTTCCGATCGTGGGGTCGCGGTTAATCCGTTTAAGGAAGGCGCCCCTCCGGCTTACCACACTAAGCACACCCGCAGGGTAGCATCAGCCTACCTTCACGACGTTTCACTTTGTTGTGCAGTGGATACCTACGTTCGTTTTATGCGACAAGAGCCCCAAGTATACTAGAAGGTCTCTGGAAATTTTCAAACGCAGAATCCGCCTCTACCTTTACTAATTCTCTTACATCCTACTCCAAACACGTCAACATGGTTGTCAAAGCTCCAAAGGTGGGAGACCACATCTCCACTCTTGACACGCCTTCGATGATCGTTGATTTGGACGTCATGGAAGCAAACATTGCAAAGTTATTCAAGCAACTACTGCCAACCGGCATCAACATCCGCCCGCACTCGAAGACCACAAAATCTGCCATTCTTGCCCAGAAGCTCGTCGATGCTGGAGCCAAAGGCGGGTGCGTTGCCAAGCTCAGTGAGGCTGAGGTCATGTGCGAGAAAGGGTTCACCGATCTACTGATTACGTGCGAGATTATCGGTGCGCCTAAAGTCCAGCGCTTGGTCGAGTTGTTTCGCAAATACAAGAGCATTAGGATCGTGGTAGACAGTGAAGTGGGCGCCAGAGCGATAGACGATGCGCTAGGGAAGAGCGGTATCGAGGAATCGATTACAACATTGATCGATCTCGACGTAGGATTACATCGGACGGGCGTACAACCAGGAGAGCCGGCACTAGAACTTGCGAACGTCGTGCAAAGCTGCAAACATCTCAACCTGATTGGTGTACAAGGGTACGAGGGTCATTTGCAACATTTGCACGGTCATGAAGAGAGGAAACAGGAGTGCTTGAAGTCAATGGCGATCCTCACCCAGACGGCCGAAGCATTGCGCAAAGCCGGTCACAATATCGAGGTCGTGACCACCGGTGGAACCGGCACGGCAGAGTTCTGCGTTACGGTTCCGGGTGTTACCGAAGTGCAACCGGGATCCTTCCTCTTCATGGATACCGACTACCGTAATGCTGTCGGTTCCTTTTACCAACACAGTCTCTTCATTCTGTCCACCATCCTCAGCAAGCAAGGACCTAAAATCATCACAATCGATGCAGGACTGAAGTCTCTAACAACAGACAGTGGATTCGCTGAGTGCAAGACGTTGGGTTATACGTACGGTGTCCTTGGAGATGAGCATGGATCATTGAGCTGGGAGGATGACGCGCTAGAGCTCAAAATTGGAGACCGCGTCGAGATGGTCCCTAGCCATATCGATCCGACCATCAACCTCCACGATTTCTATTACGCGCACCGGAAGGGTGTCATCGAGGAGATATGGCCGGTTGATGCAAGAGGAAAAGTGCAGTAGTGCGCGCGCGAACGAGGATCCTAGCTTTGTTTAGACGATCGTAGTTGAGCAATTGCAATGCCTCCTAAAGGAGACAAGGTCTAGCAGGACAGAGTGCATGATGTTCATTGCGATTTACAATGGGAAGTCGCGCTAAGACCTCGCAACCTTAACCAGCAACTTCACCTAAGCCATCCGTCACTCCCCATCCAGCTCGAACGACGACGGCTATCGCACAGCTGCGCTATACTGCCACTGAGGAACGGCTCACAAATCTCCAAGGGACGGTGCTTCCCCAGTACTTCACCTTATACGATGTGTCAAGACGTCTCATTTCAGTCTGCTAACAGTCGGTATACGAGAAGCCAACATGCCTCTTCCTTCGGCTGACCTTACCTCTCTCTCTCTCTCTCTCTCTCTCTCAGCAGCTTGAGACAATTGCGCGCCGAGATCACGAAGATGCACGCTGAGCTGTCCGGAAAGCTTCGTGCTTCACGGAAGGCACTGCAGAACGAGCAATCCGCTTTGCAGAAGGAACGAGAAGCACACCTGTGCACACTCACTGTTCTAGAGGCCTTCATCGAGGAAGCTGCGCAATATGGGACGAAGGAGGCGAAGGACATTGCGACGAAGTATACTCAGGGACAAAAAGATCGGATTCAAAGCGCCGGGGAAAGATCCAATGCAATTCCATCTAAGCTCGAGGAGGACTCCTAGCTCAGTGTGGCAGTCCAGGAGGATAGGCACACAGCGACAGCCGGCGCCAAGCATAACATGACCGATCCCAGGGAGGAGAAACGTGAGCGCAAACGCGTTGCAACACGCTTCCCGTCTCTTGATGGACCATATTCGCTTTCCAGGTCTCCCAAGGGCCTCCACACATCCCGCCCACACAGCGAAATGCTCGGAAAGTCATCTTATGCCACATCCAAAAAAACTCGGACGCAGCGCGGATGGCTCAATGGAGCGAATGTTGCTGGCTTTGATGGCTCCAAGGATGAAGAACGTCCGCTCGATTGTGTCGCCCGCAGTTCGTCACCTGCATCTGGGTTTAAGCTATTCATGCGCCCGCCTACAGTCTACGCCATCGAAGGCCGAACGATCGATATGCTGCCTTGACTACTACGCGTCGTCGCTTGGGTAAGAGCGTGGAATGAGGGCTCGAAAACCGCCACATCAATTCAAGAGACCTCATCTGTCATAGCTTCCGACAGCATCTGAAGGTGTTGCGAAGGAGCAAAAGCAAGGTTTGGCATTAGATGGCGAAGATCATAGGCTGCATGAAAGAATAAGGACGATCGAATCAGGCGCTCTAAGCCCAGATTGTCCAATGAAATGCTGATATGGATATTCAAGTTCAAGATCGTATGCGGTGCTGCGCCTCGATGTCTTGCGTGATGCTTGAAACACCCTATGACGTCAGTTCCTCTCCCAAGCATAAATGACATTCCCCCGAAACAGGGTGACCACAACAACAATCGGATCGAAGGACATCAACATTGCGAAGCCAAATCATCACACTGATACATACCTTGAGCTGTAAAGCCATTACTCTCTGCGATACATACTACCAACGCGTATACTTCATACTTCATATACGAACGATCATCATGCCTGTCGGTCAGCAAGAATCGGGCGTCACCTCGGGCGTAAAGTTCGTAACTTCCACAGTCGGCAACACGGTCGGCGGCGTTACAAATACCGTCGGCGGTGTAGTGGGTGCACTCGGACGGGGCGTCGGCGAGACGTTGGAAGGCGCCACTGGCAGCGCCGGCAGGCCTGTTGCGCGGGGGATTGCCGATGCAACCACAAGCATTGAGGATGGCGCCGGAAAGATTGCAGGGGGTGTCAAGCGGGCTGGAGAGGGCAAATAGAAACGGCGAGATCAGAGGAGGAGACCGCGGAGGACGGATTAAGCAGCGCGCTGGTGGCTGGAGAACAGGACGTTTAATATTATACCTTTGAGGGAGGAAGAAATGCTACTGTGGAAAGAAATTCGATACTAGAGATTAGGTTACCGTTGGATCGGCGCAGAACGAAGATGAAACCTCCATTTACCATGCTTGGATGCTTGGGATGATATCGTGCCTGATCTACCGACCTGTTGATGTTGCGTTCGTTGCGAAAGCCTTTCTTTCAGTGCTCTTGGGTTTGAGTCATACCTAGATCGAATCCTTTGCTTCGGTACTTTCACAAGGGTTCCGTTGAGGTTCTCTTTGACTTATCGTTGTTATCTTAGTTTCCACCTGTCACGCCGCCTGAGAATCACTTTCGCCCCATCTTAATCCCTCAAACTCAACTTTTGTGCGACGACAGCCCCTCTTCGGTTAGACATCTTAAAACCAACCTCTTGTCATCATAGCGGGGAACCTGGTGGGGATCTTGACTCGGTTTGTACATTCCAATCTCGATGGATGGACACGGACTTTCCGCAATAGGGAATCGGCAAAGTCTCAGACCCGCATACCGTCAGAGGTATTGTTCGTGATGGGGAAGCGCTGCAAACGATCGTGAATATGACATGGCGATTGTTCGAGCGGAAGCCAGCTGAAACGTCATTACATCATTTCCGCTCCACGAGATCCATCCACCAATTTTTCATCGCTCTTCACCAAGCACACCTGACGTGTGCCAAATCCATCCGGCTGTTTCGAATCGGCGTTAATGTCTCTCGTTGAGGCACCAACAAAGGAACCGCGGAGACGAGGTGGCTGAACGTGGAATGCCGCCACACTTTACCCCAATAATCCATGCGTTAGTGCAAGGGGCTACTGTACACCAACTGCAAGTCCTCGACGTCAACCCTTCTAAGCTCACCTATCACCACCCGTCTCGGCTGCGAAAGCGGGATCCGTACTTCTTCCGACCAATTACCTAAAATGCACTACTATAACGATTTGCTGAGCGGCAGAATTGGCCGCGCAGTTCATTGGAAAAGAACGCCGCAGCGCACCGTCACGTCTCGGAGTGCATAGACGTGCGGCTCACAAAGGAATGTAGTCATGATCTAGGAAATGATTATTCCATTGTGAATAGTCGTCCGGAGACTTGGTATTTACATACTTGCCGTTCATGACACACGAGCTGTATGAGCTCAACATTCCTGGCTGCTATGCGCTACGGACTACTTACTCAGAGCTTTCACGCGGGCTGAATGTACGTAAGATCGCGAGAGGAGTTAGGATCCTCCAGCCAAAGAGGGGTCGACCGTACTTCCCAGTCGTGACATGCATGGCACGATGGAGATGTAGAGCGAGTATCCAATGAGCTCCTCCCACCCTGCAGTATTAGCCACAATTACCAGCCCTCTTTGTGCGCTTGAGTCCACTAAAGCCAGCAGATTCTATTGACGCGTACTGTGGAGAGACGATCGACCATGGCCCGAGTGTTCCCTCAAGCGCCGAAAACGTTACGATCATACGGATGAAACCCCCGCATAGGTATTTAGGTGTCGTGATCCTACCCTGATGTCTCTTCATCTCTCTCGTTGTCGTGGATACTAGTTTTATTGCAGCCTTGTGACTGATACCTCGTTTCTCAGTCTACGCTTTCGTTACTTGTACCTACTCATCACCGGTATATAAACAGCTGTTGGCCTTTGGATACTTCGATAGTTCGATACTCGCAAAGATGAAATCCTTCGTTCCTCTCGCGCTTGCGGCCTCTGTCGCCGCGCTTCCCCAGCAGTCTTCCGGATCGGACTGCAAGGACTCCCGAGATGGCACTTTCGCCATTTCAGTCGTCAATGTCACCGATTCTTCCACCAAGCGCAGCGTTGAAAGACGCCAGCTTTCTGGCATTCTCAACCTTTCGCTTGAGGGCGGTGAATTGAAGGACCAGGCTGGTCGTACTGGATACATTGCGGCGAACCACCAGTAAGACACCCAAGACATACCACAATGATGCATACTAACACATTGAGTAGGTTCCAGTTCGACGCCCCCGTCCAAGAGGGAGCTATCGAGACATCTGGATTCTCCGTCTGCGGCAACGGAACCTTGGCTCTCAGCGGTTCAGCGATCTGGTACCAGTGCTACTCTGGCGGATTCTACAACCTATACGATGAGACACAGGGTGAGCAGTGCAACCCGATCTACATCTACGCACAGTCAAGCGGTGCCAGCGAGAGTGGCGCGGTCAGCCAGTCCCCCGATGGACAGCCCGCTGCCTCCACCCAGGTCTCGGCGCCTGCTGTCTCCCAGCTCACCGATGGCCAGCCCCAGGCGCCTACTTCCCAGGGCGCTGCTCCCACTGCCCCGGTAGTCTCTCAGATCTCCGACGGTCAGCCCCAGGCTCCTACTTCCCAGGCTGCTGCTCCCAGTGCTCCCGTCGTCTCCCAGATCTCCGATGGTCAGATCCAGGCTCCTACTTCCCAGGCTGCTGCTCCCACCTCTGCCCCAGTCGGAGTCCCCATCTCCCAGATCAGTGATGGTCAGATCCAGGCTCCTACCGCCGCCCCATCTGCTCCCCTTGTCTCTCAGATCAGCGACGGCCAGCCCCAGGCTCCCATCGCTACTCCCGCTGAGTCCACTGTTGCCGCTCCCCAGCCCACGGGCGGTCTCGTCTCCCAAATCTCCGACGGTCAGCCACAGGCTCCCGTCGCCTCCGGCACCGGCGCTGGCAACTACTCCAGCAACGCGACCGCCACTGGCAGTGTCGAGTTCCCTGGTGCTGCCACCACCCCCATGGCCGCTGCTGGTGCCATGGCGGCCGGTCTCATGGCCATGGTCTTCATGCTATAAGCATCTCCACCTATCTTTCCTCTTCAATCTTAGTGATATTGGATTTACTACTTGTCAAGTTATAGGCGTATGGATGGGTTAACGAGACTCATGCGCCACGCACTCCTTTCCGAGCAATTAGCGGCATCGGTTCATCCATAATGCGTTATGTCATGGTATGGTAATGGCGGGTGGAGGGATGCATTGCATTGCTGTAAATAGCTACAAGTACTAATTCTAATAAGATTTTTTACCTATCAATGTCAAGACCTTGCGACGTGATCAATGCCACTTCTGTGTCTCGAAGAATTTCGCCATATGACATCACAAAAGTTCTGTCTCACACTGTCGAGATGTACGATAAGGTTCAATCAGATCCCGGAAATGCAACGGCTATCGGACCCCGTGATACTCCGGGCTATGCCGCCGCTACTGCACACAATGAGAACACATGATGGTACGCTACGTGAATTCGATAGTCGAGTCGCGACACGGCTCGCAGAAGCTAGTCGGACGGCGCGTTAGGCGTTTACGTTGGCGGCTCAGCGGCTGAAAGACCGACGCAATGGGCGAGCGCCTAGGTCCGGCTCCAACTCGACGGAACATTCAACGTGAATCTGTAGCTTGATGCAGGGTGGGTCCCTTTGAACTCAGATAAAGCCGTTTCTAGGCCTTCGGCTAAAGTTTCTTTGTATTCACGGAAGACATGCAGGTCTTTGGAGAACGCGCTTGAATCAACCCGAATTGAAGTTCAGGTATCTGCAGCATGATCTGTCTCTAGAAACGATGCAATCTTGTAGCACGCAGTTCGAACATGCAATCGTACGCCCTGAAGCGGAAACAAAGGAACACCTTAAAGACCATCATTACAGCTAGATCCGTTATCGGCATCAAAGACAAGGACTGGCTCGCTCTCGTAGCGTCTCACACCACCTCCCACCCCCCGAACCTCGGTCCCACTTCACCGGTGCTTGTAGTGCCACGTTCGGCAGAACCACACGTCCGTGCCAGCGTTACCACAGGACCGACTGACGTCACGTTCGAGGAAAGACGCTCGGCACCCTTCCACGCGCGGCCAGCTCCACATCCACGCCACCGAAACACTGAAGACCGAGACACGCTTGGCCGTGCGGTGGAGACGCTCGGAAAGGCGATGTGGAACTCGTACCTCCAAAATTCAGGAGCCAAGGCGACACTGGTGCTTTTGCGAGCGAATCACGCAATTGTGTGAGCTGGAAGTATGGATATATGTTCGATCCCGCAGCCAATGAAATGAAGGTTGAAGCAGCGCATGAACGCCTGTCGGGCTGGTCTTCGCGGCACATGTGCTTCTATAGAACGGACCAGATTGAAGAACTTGCTCACATGCATGACCAAGAGTTGGCATCACCAGAAGTGTAGATCGGGGAGATGATAAGAAGTACAGCTGAGCATGAATGGTAGGCAGACGCTTGCCCAAGAAGAAGCATTGTGACCATAGACGAGAAGCATGGTTCAACTTGCTTCGACTCGGTGTAGAGACAGCCACAACGGATGATTGCTAAATGCAAAGCAAGGTCGCGTTCCGCGTCGCAGTGAATAACGATGTTACAGCATCACTTAGTTCAACTAAAGCACAGTGTGAAGTTTCAACATATCGTTCCAAGTCTACTCATAGCGCCATATGGTCGCCTAGTTTTTTACATAAAGGTCCACGTACTCATCAATGTCCATGTTGTCGAGCGTCTTGCCATCCTGGGCAAGGTCGACAAGCTTGTTCACGTGCTCCGCAGGGTAGTGGGGGCCGAGATGGTTCTTGTACTTGGCGAGGATTTCGGGCTTAGCCTCCTCTCGTCGCAGACGGTGGCCCAGAGGAGCCTCAACAACTTCTTCGTCGAGCACGGTGCCGTCCTTCAATGTCACGGTAAGAGCGTTGGAGATTGTGCGTTTCGCGGGATCGTGGTAGTCCTTGGTGAACTGCGGGTCCTCGACACAGCTGATGCGCTGTCGGAGGGACTCAACGAGGGCGGAGGTGGCAGCCTCGCTATCATCAGGGTAGTCGGTGGCCTCGAGGCGGTTGAAAACGAACATGGTGGAAACCATGTACTGGACGCAGTGGTCACGGTCGGCAAAGTTCTCCATGGGCTTAAACTGCTTGTCGATGATGCGAATGCATGCCTCGTGGGTGCGGTTGACAACGCTCTCGATGTCCTCGGCGGACTTGCCCATTGCCTTGAGCTTCTTGTTGAGGCGCTGGGCAGCCTCGACAGCCGTCTGGGAGTGGAATTCGGCAGGGTAGGAGACCTTGAACAGAACGTTCTCCATGACGTAGCTACCGTATTCCCTCTGGAACTGGAAGGGCTTGCCCTTGAAGGCCACATCGTAGAAGCCCCAAACAGGGGCGGAGAGAACAGTGGGAAGACCCTGCTCTCCTTTGAGCACCTTGAGAACAATGTTCACGGCCTTCTGGCACGCGTCACCTGCGGCCCACGATTTACGGGACATGGTGTTGGGCGAGTGCCTGTAGGTTCGGAGGGACTGTCCATCGACCCAAGCTTGCGAGATAGCGTCACGAGTCTGAGTCTCGTTCAGGCCCATCATCTTGGAGACCACAGCGGTGGATGCAAGCTTGACAAGTACAACGTGGTCGAGACCAACCTTGTTGAACGAGTTCTCCAGTGCCATGCAGCCCTGGATTTCATGTGCCCTGATCATAGCCTCAAGGACATCCCTGACCTTAAAGATCTTGCCATTACCGAGGTTTCCGCCATTCTTGTTTGTCCGCGTGATCCAGTCGGCGGTTGCGAGAATGGCACCCAGGTTGTCGGAGGGGTGACCCCACTCAGCTGCGAGCCAGCAGTCGTTGAAGTCGAGCCATCTAATCATGGCGCCAATATTGAAGGCACCGTTCACAGGATCGAGCTGGTAGCCGGTACCGGGCACTTTGGTACCATTGGGCACCACGGTACCCTCGACGATAGGACCAAGAATATTCCTGCATTGCTCGAACTCAAGGGCCTTGAGACCGCAGCCAAGAGTGTCAACGAAGACCCAGCGGGCAGTGTCGTACTGAGAAAACAACAGATTAGCTTTGGTGGAAAACAGGAGGGACAATGTCGTACGGCAAGCTCAGAATCGATCTTGACATTGTGGATGTAGTTGGCCACATCCTTGATCTCTGGGTCGTACTCTCGGTTGCCAGAGACGGGCGGGGCAGCACTCTTGAGAGAGGTCATGGTGGAGAATGAAGTTGCGGCAGCGATGCGTGTGCTTGTAGGTGAGGTTCGGAGGGCAATTGGCCGCACGGCTCTTGCGCAAAGGGCTGACCGCTGACGAAGGGATCGTGATGCGGTGCTGCACAGGTTGCGACTGAAGGTCGACATTCTCAAATTAGCTGCGAGCTCGGGCGATGTCGGGGCAGCTCTATATTTAAGAGGGAATGTCGTACGCGTGATTGCAGAGGCAGGCGCTCTGGAGAATAATAAGGTCGGTGTTTCGTCGCAACTTCAAGCGCGATTCGGGTGAGGGAACAACAGCCGCTGGCAACCGAGGTCTTGGGAGCTGCGCGAAAGTTATTCCGCCGGCCGACCATGCAACAGCTGCCAGGCCGGGCAGACCCTGGGCTAGATGTTTGTATCTCTGTCTACGTACTTTGTATACCTACAAGTGCGTTCCAGGGCGCTACAAGGTCCAGAATGCGACGTGGATAGCTCTTGCAGGTCGCGTCGCCCTCCAAAGTGCGTGCAGCTCAACCCCGCATCAAGCTCCTCCACGGCCCCATTCGGGTCGCACGTGTCAGTGCATCCGCCTTGCCAAGATTGAGCTCCAGAGTCGAATTGAGACGCCGATGCGCATACTCCACGGTGATTCAAATGTCCAAGCTACATGCATTCTCACACTGCATCACAGTACTCGTAACGCAATTGATTGAAACTTAGGGTTTATATACATCGTTTTCATGTCTTGGGTTGTCCGTGGATGCGTCCCGGAGGCATGCCATGAGCCCAAGAACTCCCCATATCTGAGTCGCTGTCCAACGTATCGCGGGATGGCAAGAAGCCTCTCTTTCCTATAGCGCCAGACTCCCACTCCATGCACAGACTGCCGCCAGATTCGAATAACATGTAGGTAATGCGCTCAATCGAACTGTGTATTCTGTCAGTATGTTGCGATCGATATGTGTGTATTGTTGGAGACATACCGGAGTCAGGAAGGACTCGGCAACAAAACGAGCTCTTGCGTTCAACTGTCATGGGTCAGCATCTCTCCAGTGGAGACGTCCAGGTGGCTTACAAAGAGCTTCATCTCCGAGATCTCCTTGTCCACTTCCTCCATAAATTGGATGATGAAATCCACCAGCTTGTGTTTCAACATCTCCTCGGTGTGGAAGTTGGTGATGAGGAAGGAGATATCATAACCCTGAGCGTGTAAGCCTGCCGCATGACGACTCTCCCCTGCCACCGCATACCTTGACCGGTTTCCTCCGTAGGATGAAGAAGGCCTCCGCTCTTTGCGTCAAGAAGCGCGTGAACTTGTGCACTAGGATGTGTTCTATCTCGTCCGCCTGTTTAATCTTTATGCTTATCCGCACGCTGTTGATGCTGGGCTCGATCAGGACCCTCTCGTTCTCGTTCCTCGACACGGTAAGCGGGTTGAGCAACACCTCCGGCGAGCTAGCGGCTTCGATCTCGGGGACATTATGTCTTTCTGAGGCTTGGGACGCAAAGTTGGCGAGGGAGAGGGCGGCCGTGAGCGACGAGCGCACGCATTGGAGGTACGGGCGGAGAGATTGGGACTGTAGGCGTCAGCAGGGGCCGTGGTGCTGCCGCCTTTGGTGTGCAAATACCATCCTGTTGTGAGATCAAGCCCCGCGAGTTCGGACTGAAAAGATGATGTCGGAAACGCAAGGCAGCTAGCTATGCCATGCGAAGATCAGAAGTCCACGATGAGGTCGTGGTGGGGACGAGCCCGCAGGCAGGGGTCTCCACTAGCGCCTTGGCCCATGTTGCCCGCCTCCGCCATGTCCACGGGTTTCTGTCGTATACTATTGCGCATTTGCCCCGCGAGCCACCGCTGGACAACAACTCTCTACCTCCTCTCCTTCGGTCTCGAAGCCTCTACGTACCCTCCACCGGAAGTCTCCCACATTTCCAATATGGCTTCAATACCAGGTATGTGGACGCGTTCCGAGTGTCTCGGGGAATTTGTTTGCTAACATGTTGCGCCCAGTGGTCGTGAAGCACCAAGGCAAAAAGCACGATGTCGAAGTCGACCCTTCCTCCGACGGCGCTACGTTCAAGCTGCAGCTCTTTTCGCTCACCGGTGTCGAGCCAGAGCGCCAGAAAATCATCGTCAAGGGCGGCCAGCTCAAGGACGACGCCGACATGTCCAAGCTGGGCCTGAAACCCAAGCAGACTCTCATGATGATGGGCACACCATCGGGAGACGCAAACACAATAGAAAGGCCGAAAGAGAAGATCCGCTTCCTCGAGGATATGACCGAGGCAGAAGCCGCGCAGATTGACGGCGCCACACCGGCTGGCCTGCAGAACCTGGGCAACACCTGCTACATGAACTCTACGCTCCAGACGCTGCGATCTATCCCTGAGCTTCAGGAAGAGCTCTTGCGATACTCCGCCAGGTACGGCCGGTCGCTACTGTCTGGTCGCCTTTCAAACCGCTAACAGATCCAGCAATGCCGGTTCAAGCTCAGCAAGCCAGCTCAGCCAGTTTGGTCTCGGTGGCCTCGGCGCCTCCATGGACCTCACAGGCAGCCTCCGCGATCTCTTCAAGCAGATGTCCGAGACCCAGCAGGGCTTCCCTCCGCTGATGTTCCTCAACGCCCTCCGAACAGCTTTCCCTCAGTTCGCGCAAAAGTCCAAGGACGGTCACGGCTACGCACAGCAGGACGCAGAAGAGGCATGGTCACAAATTGTATCCCAGCTTCGGCAAAAGCTCAAGATCAAGGACGAGGGGTCATCTAATGGCCAGGCTGCAAAGGACTTGTCCTTCATTGACAAATACATGGCGGGGAAGTTCGAGTCTGTCATGGAATGCGACGAGCCTGCGGCTAAGGAAGGTGGCGAGGAACCTGTGCAGAGCGAAGATACTTTTTTCAAGCTCAACTGTCACATCACTGTCGACACGAATCATCTTCGTGATGGGCTGGCCGCTGGGCTGAAGGAACAGATCGAAAAACGTTCTGAGGCTTTGGGGCGGGATGCGTTGTACACCAAGACATCACGCATTGCGCGACTCCCTAAGTATCTCACCGTGCACTTTGTGCGTTTCGACTGGCGGAGAACAACTAATAAGAAAGCAAAGATCATGCGGAAGGTCACCTTTCCTGAGGAGCTAGATGCGGTCGAGTTCTGCACGGATGATTTGAAGAAGCTTTTGATTCCGGTCCGCGACAAGATTCGCGACATCCGGAAGGAGGAGGAGGATGTTGAGCGTGCCCGGAAGCGCCAGCGCCGCATGAAAGCTGGTGAGGAGAACGATGCTGGCCCAAATACCAAGGAGCCTCTCCAGAAGAAGTCCGAGGCCAAGCAGGCTGCCGAGAAGGCCAAGGAAGAAGATGTGGAGATGCCAGATGTTGAGTATAAGACGGAGGCTCAGATTGAGGAGGAGAGGGCAGCATCTATCCTGAACGCCAAGAAAGAACTTCTTGCCCTGGTTGACTCGAAGATGGCCGCGGACGAAGGGGCGAACCAAACTGGTCTCTATGAGCTTAGAGGAATCATAACACACCAGGGTGCCAGTGCCGATAGCGGTCATTACACCTCGTTTGTGAAGAAGCAGGGCACAAAGGATCCAGTAACGGGGAAAAGGAAAGAGGAAGACGGCAAATGGTGGTGGTTCAACGACGACAAAGTCTCGGAAGTCGATTCTGAGAGGATCCAGACACTGTCCGGTGGTGGTAAGTACGTCATGTTGCGTGCCTGTTCATCAGCTAATTGTTCTTAGGTCAGAGTCACTCAGCGTTGATCCTCCTTTACCGCGCCGTCCCGTTGGCCACCATTGACGAGAGCAACAACGCATAGACAGGGTGACCCTCACTCGCCGGGGCGTTCGATGGTTGTCTTCACCTTCGGTGCTGGACATGACAATGAGCAGTGAAGCATGTCATTTGGCGTTGCATAGAGGCTCATGAATGTACGAAAAGCAGTAGAGGTTATGGCATACTTAGGCCCACAAAGCAAATGTATAGCAGCTGTCTCGGATTTGACCTTTCACATTCACTCGCTCTTTGTGCTTCTCGCGTGGCGAAGCCAACGCGGACGCGTTCGACCGTGTCTGCTCGCACGCGCCAAGCCAACTTTGCTCCCTTCACTTTCCCAAGTCCCTATACATCTCCGCGATCGTGCACTCGGATACTCGCACTTGCTTTCGTTATATTTTCGATCTGTTCTTTGTTGTACTAGTCTCTTTCTTCATCGCGTCTACCATCCAGCGCCATGTTCTATAGCCACGAGGGTAAACGTATTCCATTTGTTTGCGCAGTCACGTAGCTGACTGCCGCAGTTCTCACCTCGCGCAAGTATGGCGTGGCAACTGTAAGTAGCTCCTTGACTATACTCGACTCGCTTTCCTTTTGTTTCGTTAGGCCATCGATATTAACGAGGTGACTTTAGGTCTGGTGAGTCGCACCTTCCCTAGCAATAGCTTCACTCATACAAGAAGAAGGCTCGTTGCAACTCTCGGCGCGAAATCAACCTCCAAGAAGATCAATCGCAAGGCCATACAAGATGTCGATGTACCAGAAGCATGTCGGACCATCATAAATCCGGCGGCCCCGATGGCTTTGCGTCTGCAGGGCAACTTGTTGTAAGTCTTTGAAACCTCAATTCATTCCCGGTACTGACGGACCCAGGTATGGCGTCTCTCGTGTGTATCTTCAGCAGTGCGGTTATGTTCTTTCTGATGCGCAGAATATGTATAATTCGATGCATCTGATGTTGCGGTCGGTTGAGGGCGCAGCCTTAGATCCACACGCTGGCAAAGCCAGGTGAGCATGGCATTCTCCAGTCTCAATGCTAGTCTCATGCTCACGGTCGATCGACAGGCCAGATCAGCTCATTTTGCAAGATGATCCATCGTTCCTTCCCGAGTTCGCAATGCCGCCGCCGGAACTCCTCGCAGAATTGGAGCGTGGTCCTATGCTTCCTCCACTACGTACGACGGGCGAGTCACAATCGTTAACCCCGTTCGAATTCCAACAGGAACAGGATCCTTCTACTCCAGGTCCAGCCGTAGGACTCATTCTCCCTACATCATCATCCGTCGGCCCCGATGGGCTTGTGCTCCAAGGCAATGGCCGCAGCAGCATCGGTGGTCAGGTGGCTGTCGACGACATGATAGGTGAGTGCCTCCACGACGCCATCATGGTAGGTCAATACATACTCATTGAATTTCGAGTACCAGATGCGCCGGACTTCACGTTCGATGAGAATGGCGAGTTCGTTGACCTAATCGAAACGAATCTCAATGTGGGAACCCCAGCAGCTCCAGGAGGGGGTACAGTGCACAGCGATGCAGGAGCAAGCGCCAAAGTGAGGCAAGATCATGAAGACGGTCTACGCGAGCGAGATCAGGTAAGTGATACGTGGGGTTTCTGTTGCAAATGAGTACAATCCTCACAGGGCTCGTTCTTTCTATCACCTGCCCCTTGCCTAGCGTAGAAATAACACACATCTTCCACTACGCCTTTTCATTGCTCGAATACTAACTTACTTCGAACAGCAAGTCGACAATCAAATGGACATCGATTTCCCCATGTTCGAGGACGATCTGCCTGAAGGCGAGGCCTTCCCTACAGGCGGCGGCAGTCTACAAGATCAGCCCTCAGAAGTAGTAGAGTCATCAGATACAGTTGTTGCCCCCATCCGCCGCAAGAAGCGCACGGCACGAGTCCTTAATAACGATACCACGATGGAGCTTCGAAACAAAGAGCTTGCTGACTGGAATGCCAATTACTTGACCAACATGAAAGAGGCTTCCAAGCACAAGAACCAGTATCGAATCAATCAGCTCGCAAAGAAGAATGCCGAATTCTGGCTGTGGGGCTCCGGTATTGGTGGCATTGCAGCTCGCATGCAAGGGATCAATGGCCCTACACCCTTTGATCGATTTATTGGCAACAATCTCTTCGAGCTCTTCACTGGTGTGAGTCGCAAGGGTGGTGCGCGTTCGAAGCGTGATCGTGACAGCGGCATCGATGAAGCTACGCAAGAAGAATCGCGCCGCGTGCGCCAGCGGACGGATGAGCTCGAGGAAGAGGTTGGACGTGGTCAAAAAGATGAGGGCTTGTTTATCTTTGGAGGCGACGATGTCGAGCTGCCACGAGAGGAACAGCCACCTCTCGATGACCAGCGACGCTTCTCAGAAATGCCCTGGAACATCACCGCATCTGTGCGCGGCTCTTCTGCTGTCCCTCTGAGCGGTAAGTCTTTACAGTGTCTACTGCAGATGCACTAACGTAGTGACTGCTACGTAGGTCGTGTTGGCTTGGTCAGATCCGCGCCGCCTTCGTCGCTCACAGGTCGCAATGCCCGCATGATCTCCGAGTCGCCACTTCATCGCCGCAGTCATCCAGGTGGACTGGATGCTCTGAAATTCTTGGACGATGCGGAAGGCGATCTTGGAGACCTGGGTGAAGACGACTATGGCGTCGCAGGCCCAGGCATCAGCTCAGACATGCCCGAAGCCATGTTTGCCGGACCGGATTCGCGCGTTCGAGAAGCTCCGACTGCGGAGGGCGGAAACTTCTTGATCTTTGTCGCCGACGCCATTCACGAGAAGCGCAACCGCATCGATCTGGACATTGCTCCGGGGTCAGGTTCGCATGCCGATACTGCCACTGTTGTAGATGAGGTCTCCTTCGACGAGGTCGTTCCGCTCAATACGAACAACAAGTTTATCGCATCCCAAGCTCTCATGATGACTCTTACGCTGGGAACGAAGGGCTTGCTCGACGTTCGTCAGGGTGAACACTTTGCTGACATCAATCTGAGTCTTACGGAGAAGGGAAAGGCCCAGGTAGAAATGCCGCCACAGGCAGAGAATTAAGCTTATCTAGGAGAAGAAGAGGCGGATCTTGAATAAGCTGGTCGCGAGGAGTCGGATGAAGAGGTGGACGAGGACGAGGACGAGGGCTCAGTCTTCGGCAATTGATATCAATCGGCGGCCGGCCTTTCACGAGGATGTGTTGGTCCATGGCGAATCTGTTTAAATTTCCATGTAAGGCGAAGTGCATGATAAAAGGCCGTCGCTGGAATGTCATCTGCACGCTCAATACCACGCCTGAACCCCGATAACCCACCAGTCGCACGCATCACATATCGATGTATGATAAGTACAACGACTGTATATATGCGGTGCGAACCACATCTCTCTCCTGTAATACCTTTAGGTCCTCAATATGAAAGAAGCTTCCACAACGCCATCCTCGTGCTCTTCCCCATAGTGTGATTGTGACGCTTGTTGACCAGGGAAGTAGTACGCCGCAAAAGCTTGGCGAAAAGAGAATGCGCAAAACAAAAAAAAGTGAGCCTTTGCTCGTCTTCAAGAAGCGATCAGGTCAATTATATGTAAATCATTCACGAGAGGCTATAGTTGGACTTTATGCAGACATTTCGAGGTTCACCTGATACCTATGTAAGCGGCGTGAGTGTGGTCTGACCTCTGAGGCGCAACTAGTTCAGCCGACCCATTCGATACAAAAGGCTCAGATTTCCCTAAAGCAAATGAAAAAAAATGAGCGGTACACTACGATTGACACTCTTTACGCTCGCCCTTTTCGGGCTTTTTGCTGCGTACTTGTACAACAGCCCTTACGCCCACTTTGCAAACGAAATGCCCTCACCTACTTCACCACAAACAGCTGCCATCGTCGTGGGTTCAGGACTTGCTGGTCTGAGCGCAGCGAGCCAGCTGATAGCCAAAAATGTGCCTGTCAGGATGCTAGAGCGCGGCGTAAAGCCGGGAGGAAACAGCATCAAAGCGTCGTCTGGAATCAATGGAGCGCCAACACGGTACCAGCCGACTCACGACAACGCCTTTTTCTCGGATACAGTCAAGTCTGCGGGCAAAGCAATGGTCTCTTTCACTCAACATCGAGAAATTTTGATAGCGAAAGTTACGGAGTCTTCTAAGGATGCGATTGAGTGGCTTGTCCAGGAGAAGGGTGTCGACTTATCCAAAGTATCGATCATGGGCGGCCATACGCATCCCAGGACGCACAGGGGAGCGGGACAGACACCGCCGGGCTTTGCGATCACGTCTGCACTACTCAAATCACTCAATTCGTCACCGATCTTCCAATTGCAGACCTCCTGTACCGTTACCAAAGTTTTGCACTCTGAACATCGCGTCACTGGTGTAGAATACACCAGCGAAAATGGACATCGAGAGAAGCTATTAGGGCCTGTCATATTCGCAGCAGGTGGCTTCGGCGGCGATGCAGAGGGTTTGCTCGCGCAGTACAGGCCTGATCTCGCGGGCTACCCATCCACGAACGACCCTCGGCCAGGGACACAGCCACTTCTCACAGCGGTCGGCGCGCAGCTCATCGACATGGAGTACGTCCAGGTGCATCCGACTGGCTTCGTTGATCCTGCTGCGCCATCCTCTCCCCTCAAGTTTCTAGCTGCAGAGGTCCTGAGAGGCGACGGCGGTATTCTGCTGCTGAACGGGAAGCGCTTCGTTGATGAGCTGGATACCAGGGAGAAGGTGACGGGAGCGATTACGGCGACGCTGCCCGAGCAGGCGTTGCCGAAACAGTGGAGTGTTCAGTTGGTGCTGGATGAAGGTGTTTACGAAGCTGCGAGGTCGCACGTCGATTTCTACATTTTCAAGGGATTGATGAAGAGGAGTACGATCTCGGACCTTGCACCAGGCGCCCTTGGAGAGATCTCACGATATTCCCAGGTGGTGCGAGGGGAGGAAGCGGATCCATTTGGTCGGACACAGTTCGCGCATTGGAAGCTCAAGGAACCGACTCCGGAATCTGTTGTTTATGTTGGTACCGTCACGCCGGTCGTCCATTTCACGATGGGTGGTGTAGTCATCAACGAGAAGGCAGAGGTGTTAAAGAAGGATGATGAGCGGATAGAGGGGCTGTGGGCTGCTGGGGAAGTGGCGGGCGGTGTTCATGGCGCAAATAGGTTAGGAGGATCATCGCTGTTGGAGTGTGTGGTCTTTGGGAGGGTTGCGGGTGACGAATGTGTGGAGTATATCAAAGGCCAAATGTGAGACGTACAGTATCAGATCCATATTGTAGTCTCCATGATCGCAGCCGCGCCCGGGCACCGAAACGCGTTTGCGTCATTGCCGTCGCGCAGCGTGTAGTGTGCCAAGCAAGCACCACATCAAACGTTCCTGAGACCTGACCGCAGAACATGCCAGCGTGTTTTCTCTCGTTCCCTTATAGATTTCTTACGCTTGATCTCCTATTTTTGTGCGGCGATACCCTTCCTACTGCTACTCGAGTTTACGTTAGCAGCGCGCAGATAGACGCGCTTCGCCATAATGCCATCAGCAATGGTATCGCAGACGGTGCAGGGCGCGGTGCTCAGCGTGACGTCCAACATACTCGCGCAAGCCCTTACGTCGTACAAAGAAGACGTGAGTAGAACGTCTCCTATATATAATAGGATACGGGTTCCTAACATGATTGTTGTAGACACCTTTCGCCATTAGCCTCCCTCCCATCCTCAAGTTCGCCATCTTCAGCATAATCAGCAACCCGCCCAACATTCTCTGGCAAACCTTCCTCGAGGACACATTTCCATCCAACGTGCCCGCCGAGCCCTTAGGAAAGCAGATCAAAGAGAAGTCCGTTCAGACCACCCGCACCAGCAAGCGCAACCTGGTCGCCAAGTTTACTCTCGACCAAACGATAGGCGCGGTAGTCAACACGCTCATGTTCCTCGTATACATGGCCTACGTGAACGATTCCAGCGCGAAGGACAACGCATCGTGGAGCACAGTGCAGGCGGATGTGAGCGAGCGGTTTTGGCCAATGATAATGGACGGATACAAGTTCTGGCCAGCGGTGTCGCTAGCAAGCTTTCTGTGGGTGCCGGTAGATAAGAGGGTGGTCTTTGGGTGCTCGGCGGGCGTGTTGTGGGGCATCTACCTGAGCTTGTCCGTGGCAAGCTGAGAGATGTGATTGACAATACTGAGGCCCTGCATAGACGGCAAGAAGCAAGATTATTTATCTATACTGGTTCTGCAAACTCGCTCGTGCAGGGACTTGTCTGAATGAAGCGCTCTGGACCAAGTCCTGTATCTCGAAATTGCTGCGTTCACGCGGCGCTATCAAGAGCTCAGCACTCTACAACCATGGAACACTGTGGCTATGCGATCCATTCCGTGCCCACGTGCGAATGTGCACAAATTTCTGACCGACTGTGGCCAATAGGGAGTACTATATAGCAGTACGGGAAGTAACTTTCTCGCACCTTCCTGGTAGGACTCAGCGCTCTAACCATGGGGTCCACCTACCCATCCAACAATGGCCGCCTGCCTTGAAATTATCGATATGTTGAGTTACTCTATGCAACGCTGACCTGCTCCTCACATTTGCGCATTGCAGCAGTTTTCCTCCATCGCTTGCATCTCTATCGTTATACGCAATCTATCACGATGGATGCTTCCTCGCAGTCGAAGCCTGAGCAGTATTCATGGCCCCCTGTGAATACTTTCCAGCCTCCGTCCCAGCCAGTCGGTGCCGCAGAGCATGATCTGGGCCATGGTGCCCGCAAACGCCACCTAGTGGGAAGAGCAAACGGCAATGCTGATGACGAGATTGATCCTGCTCCTATTGGCAAGGATACTGCCTCTGGCACGCCAGTCCCAGCTCCAGCCCGGAGCGGCAGCGCAAACAATTCCACAGACACCGCGACTACCGGAAGGAGCCCTTCCACTACAAAGACCTACCATCCTCCCGGCAAAGCGAAGTACTTCAAGTCGCGACTTATCAAGGACAAGAGCAAAATCGACAAGCCGTGGCTGTACGAGAAGAGAGACCCCCGAGAGAAATGGCAGACGATCATTCCGATGTGCGGCTTCCTGATTGGACTCGGTATCGCTGGGTTTCTCATTTGGGAGGGTTACCACAGTGTCTCGCGGAATCTCTATTGCGAGGTCATGAGCGACAACTTCTCATCTGGTAAACTCAACGAGTCGGTGTGGACCACTGAGATCGGCGTCAAAGGGTTTGGGTGAGTTTTGCTGAACGGTTGACTTTGTAAAGAAGTCTGACTTTAACCTCGAGGCACTATGCTGACTTTCTCCCAGCAGTTCCTTCGAACAGACGACTAAGGACATAGAGAATGTTTGGATTGGCGACGACGGAATACTGTACCTGAGGCCCACCCTACAGGACGAATTGCTCGTCAACAACGACACCGTCATCGATCTTCGCAATCGGGGCTGTCATAGCAAGGACTGGACTGACTGTGTAGCGACCACCAATACTACCAACGGCACCATCGTTAACCCGGTCAAGTCTGCCAGTGTCAACACTATGCTAGGAGGGTCCATCAGGTACGGCCGTGTTGAAGTCACCGCAAAGCTTCCCGTGGGCGACTGGTTGTGGCCTTCAATCATCATGTACCCGAAGAATAATACATATGGAGAATGGCCCAAGTCAGGCCAGATCGATATCGCGCAATCCCGTGGAAACAACTTCACCTACAAGCAAGGAGGCAACAACATCATCGCCAGCACTCTGCACTTTGGGCCGAACGTTGAGCTCGATGGCTGGTGGCGCAATAACGTCAAGAGCACAGCTTACCGTGAAACCTTCTCTGACCGCTTCCACAAGTTTGGTGTTGAGGTACGTTATGGTCTCGCTATAGTGTAGGCTGGATGAACTCGGTTCATTTTACGTAGTGGACCGACAAGTACATCTTCACGTACATTGACACACGCCTCCTGCAAGTCGCCTACACGCACTTCAAGAAGCCCTTCTGGGAGTACGGCGACTTCCCCACAGCCGACCGCAATGGGTAAGTTTGCTTGACCCAGCCTGCATCAACTCAGGGTACTCATCACGGACTGACTTTCCATCAGAACCCGGTTCGTCAACCCCTGGGAGTGGGGCACGCACTCGGCGCCGTTCGACCGGGAGTTCCACCTTGTGCTCAAAGTAGGCGTTGGTTCAACCAACGGCTGGTTCGAGGACAATAGGTCAGGCAAACCCTGGCTGGACCGTGATCACAATGCCGCGAAACTTTTCTGGGACGCGCGTAGGGAGTGGTACCCTACTTGGGAGAAGCAGGGCTGGATGGAGATCTCCGAGGTCAAGATGTGGCAGCTGGCACCGCACCAGGGTTGCAAGCCGGAGAATGCGCAGAGGTTCGTGGGTTAGAGGGGGTAGTGGAGAGTGTTGTAATGGTAGGGATGATAGCGTCGTGATTTATGGCACGGCGGGTTATGCGTATTCACCTGTCCAGGCTTAATGAATGTCTTGAGTCATTCCAGGCTACCTTGTGCGCAAAGTGTTTACATCGCAGTTCGGTACTTGAGTTAAGACAGGCGGTCTCATGACAGGAAGTTTGTATCCCGTTCATGTACTTCAGTGTTGATCATATCTATCTTTGCACAATGAGTTGTGGGTCAACTCACGGCACTCTAGGTTGCATGGATACATGGTGCCAGGATTCATTGACGCTACGCCGAGCCATGCAACATACGCGCTACAAGTACAACAACGGTCCAACCCCAAGGACTCTGCTCACAGGTTCCTTGCTCTCCGGCGACGGGCCTTCGTGGTCTGAGGCTCTCGATGGTGTCTCAACGCTACGTAGCTCTCATTCGCACTGTACATCTACGCTTGTCCGCAGAGAATGCTGCCGCTCAAACCTTGCTCAACCACAACATGAAACCCAGCTGAATGACATAGCTGTACACAAACAAGAACTGCGTCCTCGCGCTCTTCTGGCTCCGCGAGCTGGTGTACCCGGCGGCGCCGCCCCCGACGCCCTGCGGGTTCGACTCAGGAAGCAGTACGTAGCGCAGACTACGCAGCAGAAAGAAAGCATTCGCGTTGAAGCAGTAGACAAAGACGACCCAGGAGATCCAGGCGCCGCCGAAGTTGAGCTGGCTGAACAGGCTGGTGAGCAGGAGACTGACGATGACGCCGACGAACTTGTACCCGCTGTAGGCGACGAGGTCGAGCAGCTGGGAGGAGCTGCTGATGTTGAGCAGGAAGGTGCCGAGCTTGATGATGAGAATCTCGAGGAGCATGACGGAGATGGCCTGGGTGGTGGTGTAGCCGAGGAGCTCGGGTTTGAAGGCGCCACGGAGGCCGGCGAGGAGCGTGGACAGGAGGATGTAGGTCACCAGGGCCATCATGGGGATGTACATGTCGGGCGAATTGATGTCCTCGCGGGGCGGCAGGTAGAAGACGTCGGAGGGGTTGTTGGCCATGCGCTGCTGGCGCGACCAGGGGCGGTGGCGCCAGGGGAAGAGGACGATCCAGAGCTTGTTGGCGACGTACGTGTTGGAGACGTTGAAGTAGTGCTTGAGGGCGGAGACGCTGATGAAGCGGCCGAACTGCAGTCATTCGAAATCAGCATCGTCGTCGTGGCCTGGCCGCCGCGTGGGGACGTACGTTCTGCTCGACGTATTCCTGGCCCGCGTTCATGGCGCTCTTGCCCATCTGGAAGCCCAGCTGGGCCGTGGGGTCGTTGATGAAGCCGCCGAACGCGGGCGGGATGTTGCCGCCGTAGGCGCCCTGCTGGGCGGGCATGGCGTGCTGCTGGCCGTAGCCATAGCCGCTCTGGGGCTGCGAGGGCGGCTGGGGAGGCGGCGGGGAGCGCAGCTGCGGGACGGTCGAGACGTGCTGGGGGACGGGGTGGTGGAGCGGCGGCGAGTGCGCGGGCGGCGGGTTCTGGTACATGGCGGGCGTCGGTCGCTCGCTGCGGGCGGTCGAGGCGGAGGGCAGGCGCGGGTGTCGGTGGGCGAGCGAGCGAGCGAGCGAGTGTCTTGGGCGGTCAAAGGCGCTCCCGCAGGCTCCAATATTTTGGTGCTGGCGCCCGCAGCTGGCATTCCGCCCATCTGGCTTCGCCAAGGCCCCCCCGGTCGTCATAGCTCTCGCCCGCCGCCGCGCCCACAAACCTCGCAGACAACGGCACATTGCACCATGCTCGACACGTTTGAGATCCTGACCACCTCGGGCGTCGTCCTGTGGTCGCGCAGATACTCGCCCGTCGGCCCCCACGTCATCAACAGCCTCATCCGCGATGTCTTCATCGAGGAGCGCGTGCCGCTGCACCAGGACGATGCGGGCTCGAAACCGGCATATCGGAAGGAGGGCTACACCCTGAAGTGGACCACCGCAAAGGACCTCGGGCTCATCTTTGTGGTACGTCGGCCCTTCGGCGCATGCAGAACGTGCAGAGCCGTGCAGGCAGTGCACTGACACGGGCGCAGGCAGTCTACCAGTCGCTGGTGCACATGACGTGGATAGACAAGCTCCTCGACAACATCCGCGCCCTCTTCGTCGGCCTGTACGGCGAGCAGCTGAGCAGCAAGCACGGCAGCGTGCTCAACTGCGACAAGTTCGCGCCCTACTTTGAGCGCCAGATACAAGACCTCGAGGGCCAGAGCGACAGCGGCTTCTCCGCGCCCGGCACAAAACTTACCCCTCCCTCCAGCACAGACAACGAAAGCGCAGATGAGTCTGTCCCCACGGTACCTCTGCAAAAGCTGCAAAAGCCCCTGTACGACACATCCGCAGATTCGACTCCGGTTCCCACACCAGATACCTCGCGCCCGAGCACGCCTGCGCAGAGCCACCTGCTCGCCGGAAAAGCAGGGCCCGGTGGAAAGCTGTCGAGAAGAAACAAGAAGAAGTTCGCGGCATCGTCCGCGCCAGTGTCGTCGGGGGACGAAGCGTCAGTGAAGCGGAAGGGCAAGGGCTCGGCCAAGAAAAACAGAGTATGGGGGGACTTTGGTGCCGAAGAGGACGACCCGTCCGTGGTGTTGGACTACTCGCAATCAGACCTCGGGGACGAGGCACCAGAGGGCGAGGCCCTGGCAGAAATCAACCCCGAGTCGTGGGGCAGCAGAACGGGCAAAGGCCAGTTTGTGCTCAAAGATCTTGATATGGAAATGGACCAGATAATAGCGGAGCAGAACGCAAAGAAGGAGGCACCCGCATCGGCGGCGTCTGGAGGTGGTCTCGTAGGGTCGAGCTTAGGCGCTATAGGAGGGCTGTTCCGGAACGTAGTAGGCGGAAAGACACTCACAGAAGAGGACCTCGCCAAGCCGCTGAAGGGCATGGAGGACCATTTGCTCAAGAAGAACGTCGCACGAGAAGCCGCGGTGCGGTTATGCGACAGCGTAAAGCGAGACCTCGTGGGTCTCAAAACCAGCTCCTTCACGAGTGAGTGCCATTCTAGCCTGACGTGACCATATACTGACCTCTCTTCACAGCCGTCGAAGCCACAATCCGCACCTCGATGGAAAAAGCCCTCGCCAAAATCCTCACACCCACCTCCTCCCTCGACCTACTCCGCGAAATTCAAACCGTCAACGCAGCAGGCCGCCCCTACGTCCTCTCCATCGTCGGCGTCAACGGCGTCGGCAAATCCACCAACCTCTCCAAAATCGCCTTCTTCCTGCTCCAAAACCACCACCGCGTGCTCATTGCCGCAGCAGACACCTTCCGCTCCGGCGCCGTCGAGCAGCTCCGCGTGCACGTGCGCAACCTGCAGGAGCTCAGCAAGCGCGAGGGCGGGCAGGTCGATCTCTTCGAAAAGGGCTACGGCAAGGACGCTGCAAACATCGCGGCCGACGCTGTCGCGCACGCTGCGAAAACGGACTTCAACGTCGTCCTCATCGACACCGCGGGCCGGCGGCACAACGACCAGCGCCTCATGTCGTCGCTCGAGAAATTCGGCAAGCTCGCGAAGCCAGACAAGATCCTCATGGTGGGCGAGGCGCTCGTGGGCTCCGACTCGGTCGCACAGGCGCGCAACTTCAACCAGAGCTTTGGGCCGGGGAGGGGCCTGGATGGCTTCGTCATCAGCAAGTGCGATACCGTGGGCGATATGGTGGGCACGCTGGTGAGCATGGTGCATGCGACGGGGATCCCGGTGGTGTTTTTGGGCGTGGGGCAGCATTATGCGGATTTGAGGGGTTTGAATGTCGAGAGTGTGTGTAGGCTTTTGATGAGCTAGGGGTGTGGATAGGATAGGATAGATGTTAGGAGGGGGAGTGGCTCAGGCATAGAGTGTGTATGTTGCAAGTACGTGGGGCCTCAGGCCATGTATTTATGCTTGTATGGAAAGATGCATTGAGCATTCTTTGATGCAAATATTGTCTTGGAGAAGGATAGTGAGATTGGTGAGCACAATCACAGGAGGACGCTTGAGGATTACTTTAGCTGTGGTCTGGAGTGTAAGAGTGAATCTTCATGCACGCTATAGTGTCGTCGGCCACCTCCGGAATCATACTGTCACACACTTTGACCAGACAGATCGACGTGGAAGAGAGCTATGGAGCTGTGGTGTCATGGAAGCCGCCGCCGCCGCCGCCGCCGCCGCCCTCAGCACCAATTGACTTGACCACAACAGTCCTGGAGAGGGTGTGATCGATGCCAACTAGTGTATCAGGCATAGGGATATACAGATTATTAACACGATGTACTTCTAGTAGTGTATAAAGTGGCTTGTACGTCTAGCCGCGCCTCCAAATGCTTCCCTTGCAGCGGCCAGGCAGATGTAGGTGGAAGCCTACCCAGCGCGTCTCCTCCAAGCCTAGGCACCACCAGCACCATAAAGATGCACGTACTGTACGGTGGTGAATCGGCGCCCCAAACCAAGGTGCGCAAGGAGAGGAATCAACAGCGCTGCGGTTGCCGGCAAGGTCAACGTGCGGACCCGTAGTTATCTCGGTATCACGCGAGCACCGTGTACCCGCTCAGGTCTGCAAGCGTGCCTCCACCGCACGGCACCCGGTGGCATCGCGGTGTAGGAAACCCGTGTTGTGGCAGCTTTGACCACCGTCGCCATCGAGGCCTGAATAATCAACGCAACGAAAGCGTACATGCGCCACGACTCTTGATATACACCATGTGAAACATTGCCAGTGAGGCATAACCCAGCAACGCGGCCCAAAGCGCGGACAGCGGCAACACGGTGGCGTCGACATTAGGGACGTCTTTGTCCTGTCTCTTCTACTACAGGTCATGGCAGTGGCACAGGATCGGCGCCTTGCTATGGTGGTGGTATAAGGACCGAGCACATACCTTGGAAGAGTCGCTAAAGCTGCGAGTGGTGTGGGTTGTACATGGCCCTCCTCCGGCTAAGGAGTCCATGGCTTCAGGTGAAGCGAAATCGTAACAGACGGATCGAGACCAGGAGAGGACGTTTCGATGTCAATCTGCCGCGCGCCTTGTTCGTCGAAAACGCGTGGCATCGCAACATTCGAACAGCAACCTAAACAAACCGTCAGCACACTCATCAACAATACCATTTGTTCACACCTTCACTTAATCACCATCACCAAAGGAAACCCACGTAGATGGACAAAGATCCATATCTACCTACTACTTACTACTACTACTATCCCCCCCAAAATCCCTTCACCACTATAATAGCTTACACCCTCCATCCAGTCCATTTCAGTCCAATCCAATCATTGTAGCAAAATGTTAAAATTCTCCAAAGCCAAAGCGGATAGGATTACACATCCCCAACTCCTTCCGTCCGAACCATCTCGGACAGATGTATGCACCAATCCGCACCAAAAACAGCTCCGTGGAGCCATGTCAAAAAGAACGCCTGGCCAACAAAGGAAATTAACTGTTCTCAAAAACGGATGATTCAAGATGGTGTGTGATGTCCAGACACAAGTAGAGCGGACGTGAGAAGAGGGAAAGGATTTCTTCAGCACATGCAAGCGTTGAAGAGAATATACGCGGCGAAGGTGTTTCGGTGGAAAGAGGCATCTCTATGCCCGCTATTCCGCAAGTCCACGCTGTGGCTGTCGACTTCATACTTTCGGTCTTTCTATAGCACGCCTTCCCACATTCCAGGGCCTGAGCGCCGGAAACCTTGGGCGGCCTCGGTTCCACAGCATGTCCGCTTCTTGCCGAACTCTTTCTGGTACGGCACCCGACGTTCCGGCACGGTGGACTTGGGGGACTGCAGCCCCTTCAACTCCGCGCCAGAAGGTGTGGGTACGAAAGACTGAGCGACCGAGCGGTCGGGCAGTACAATCCTCGAACCGTAAGAGGGGCCGTAAGAATTAGAACGGGAATCCTGAAGTAAATGGCGAACGTTCTGTTGCAAGTCCGTATTCGATCGACCACGCTTCTTGTTCGCCTTGGCGGCAGGCATGGAGATCTCGGCGGGACTGTCGACCTTGACTGGGGTAGCATCGGAATCATCGATGTGGAAGCTATCGAGGTCTGGTGATGACATGACATCGCTAACAGCATATTCGCTGCATTTCGACAGCGCAGGATACGGCAGCCTCGCGCTGCGGCACGTCGCCAATCGGGCCAATTTGGCCTGATTCGGCGCCCAGCCAGCAGACGAGACGGACGAAATCGAGGACGCACGCGAAGAGCGAGAGTTGTCTGTGATCATTGACTCGGGCGATGAGGCAGACGATGCAGTCGAGGGCGCAAGAGAGGGACGTCGGCTGGGGAAGTGGTAGGCCTCCAATCCATTCCTAATGCTGGGGGTGTATTGGTCGACGCAGCTGCGCGCCAAAGACGAGCTTTGCGCCTGCGCCATTGCAGAACACATAGACGGACGTCTCATGCCAAATGCCATAGCACCCGCTGCAGGAGTGTTTGCGACAGTGGACTGAGGTGTCAGAGTAGGCGTAGGCAAGGGACCCAAGCGTGGAAGGCACGGAGTAGGGGGGAGAAGATCAGGATTCGGCTCAAGGAACCGTGGAACCCTGTAATGGGATGGAGTAGGCGTGCTCTCCTGTGATCCGGACGACCGCTCCGACGTGGGAGATCGGACGGGGTACTGAGTGGCATAAGATTGAATCGTTGGCCGCACAGGAGTAATGGGTGTCTTGGGAGTGACATCAACGATATCCAACTCGGGAGTCAAGCACGGGATGACGTGCTTCCACGTGTTGGGTAGGCAGCCGCCAGGAGATGGGGGCGGGTTCGACGGAGTGTGACGCAGAACAATCTCCTGCCACTTATCCCACACGGGATCGGTGATGTGGAGTTTCCAGTTCACAGCTGCGAGGAAGGCCATCTCATTGGTATTGATCTCGCACACCTTGAGGCCAGAGATCTTGCTCCAGGCACGTGCAGAATAGTTGCGATCCTGCAAGTACTTAGACGCGAGGATAAGAGCTGCAAGGAACATGCGGCGGCCACACTGCAGGGCTCGGACGGACGCAACATCCTCAGGTTGTTCCATAGTGAAGTCATGCTTCGGCACATGTGCCTTGATGAGGATCAGGTAATACAACGCAACCTGAAGAGTTGAGTAGCTCGTCCGAGAACGGCGCAGAGTCTCTTGGATAAAGGTGCGCAGAGGAAGCACACCACGTCCAGATGACGACTCGCACCGGCTGGCGGGCACAGATGTAGGCCAGATCACTTCAACCATTTGAGTGGCGGAATCTTCAAGGGGAACGAATCAGCGGAGGGACCGAGGAGTTGGAGGTGCTATACTAACCGACAAGGCAGTCGACAAAGTTGACCTTGCGATCGCTTTGGCGGACCAGCTGGGGAGGCTGACGGCCAATGGTTGACGACGACCGGCGAGGATGTTGTCGCTGTTCCGTGAGCATGGGGACCTCCGTACGCAGAGGCGGGAGAACCCTGTCGCGCGCAGTGTCCCGGCATGGCGCCTGATACTGGGGAAAGGTGCTGACTCTGCTGATGGGCGCTAGAGAAGCCAAGGATCCCGAGATGATGGGTCGGGAACCGGAGCTCCATTCTTCTGCACCCCAGCTGGAAGAGAGCGAGGTAGAGTTGGAAGTCTGAGATGCAGCCTCCGAGAAGACTGACGATGTAGAAGAGGAGGCGGAAGAGGAAAGAGACGGGGCATATGGATGACTTCTCGGGGAAGCATTGCCAAGATAGGAAAAGCAAGTGTCGTTCATGATGTATGGGAAGCGTTAAGAAGCAACACCCTTAACAAGAGGTGTTTAATAGAGGTTGAGTGGAGATGACTGCACACTATGGTGTTACGTCTCGAAGTGCTGACCTCGCGGTAGACCAGGAGTTGTGTGGCAAAGTGTGGTCGAATGGTCGTGGGGTGACCGAGGAAGGAACCGATAGACGAACCGTACGGATGGGATCCTACGTCTTGATCGTGTGATCTTTAGAGACTTGAGTACAGTCTTGTGGCCTTCGAGATTCGAAGCACGATCGAGGAATGTAGGTACGATTGGCGGTTGCGGGTGGTGCTTGTTCGAGCAGCGGTGAGGATGATCGGACGGGCTCCAAGCGCTACCGGAGAGTACTCCAGTAACCGTCAGCCGCAGAAATCACTTAAAAGATCCTGGGAGGAGACCTGGCCGCAGTACACTTCGAAGGTGAGCTCTGGGATAGCTGTGGCTATCGCGAAAGCTCGAGGTTCCGAAGGAAAGCGGAGGTCTAGCAGGCGAAACCCCCGAAAGCGAAGGTCTTGATGGTAAAAGTGGTAGTGAATTTCTGGGCGACAGTTACTGGAGTAGTATCGTTCACGGTAAGGGACATTGCGACAAGTTCGTTCGTCGTGTGAAGTGTTCGTGTAGTGACTAGCTCAAGGCGGAGTCACCAGTCGGAGCGCTTCGTGCGTCGGCGGAAACGGGTGCAAGAGAGGTGCGAGTTGTTATTGGTGAGTGATTACGGTCCAGTGATGGCGCATGTGAAGTTGTATAGGGCGATCCAAGGTGGGCGGGATGGTGGTTGTTGAGGTCGAGGTCGAGGGTGAAGTGGCGGTCGGTCGGCACTCGGCGCGGCTGCGACGAATGCGGAAGGGACGGTAGAGGGGTGGGAGAGGAGATGCAGGTACGCCTTTGGGATATAAAGGCGGTCGGCGAATGACTCTGTTTGTGTGAGGGATGAGTCTTGTCAGGCACCAGAGCTGTGGCAAGGTCGCTGGCGCGGTTTGTCCGCTGCTGGCTGAAGCCAAAGGCTAGGCAAACGGGGTCGGAGAGCGGAGAGTGGCGGAGAGGAGAGATGGACTCTTCGCGTGCAGTGTGGATGGGCTGCACACGCTCAGATGAGGCCCTGGGGCTCTTGCGGAGGTATTGAAGGGACCATCTTGATGCGAGTATGGAGGTGAGGGCGCTGGCTGGGGGCGAGGGTCTATATCGACACCAGCTGTCCAGCCCGAACGCAGCGCGCACGGGCCCCTGGATGCGATGAATCATACGGTGGCAAGCTGGGACGCTCCCGTGGCAGAGCCCGCCGAATTTTCATCCACAGTCACGCCCTCGGCGGCGACAGCAGCCACACCTCTTTGCTGTTTGCCCTGGCGCGCGAGCGTGCTGCCTGCCTGCGAGTTGCAGCACGGTGGCTCCTCGCAGTGCTGGCCCGCCGCGTGCTCGCGCTCATGCTCACTCTCGACAACCGTGACTGTTCTGGGCGCTCGCGCATGGCAGCGGCGGCAGGCTGCAGCGGTGCAGGCTGCGTCGCAAACCGCTGCGACACTCAACACTGCGCCTCGCCTCGCCTCGCCCCTCTTGCCAGGCTGCGTGCCCGGCGCGTTCGCCGCTCAGCCAGGCTCTGGAGGACGCCAGCAAGCCCGACGCGAACGCGGCGGCTCGTCGCGCCATCGCGCAGCCCCTCTCCACGGTCTCCTTTTCCCAGTCCGGCTTGCGTACACAGGCTCAGCTTGTCCCCCGCTGCGTCGTCGCACTGCCAGCCCAGCCCGGCCCAGCCAATTGCGCGGCCTCTCTCCTTTGTGACTGTGCGCCCACCATTGGCCAGCGCCGCGACAAAGGCCCCGAACTGGCGCAATTTACCGTCTTTGCTGCTCCCCGGCCCCGATGAGGGCATTTAGCAGCGGCCGGCGCACCTGTGACTGTAACGGTTCTTCCACGCTTCAGCTCGGTGATGAGCTTTCATCTGGATGTCCGGCTGAAGCCCAGCGTGAGGCTACTCCGCCGCCGCGTCGGCCGTCGACGAGACACTGCAAACAGCAGACGCACATGTGGAATGCGCAAGCCGCTCGGCGTCGCGGCACCGCCCGTAGCCGTCTTGCTCAGCATCTCCGCATGTTGGGGCTGTGGCACTTTGTTGAAGCGAACAATGATGACACGCATTGCTTGGCCCAAGCTGCCAACTGCCACCTCCCTACGTCAACGCGAGACGCGAGATGAGTTGCCGACACCGTGTCAGCAGCATCCTTATCTCCGACGCTCACACGTCTGCGAACAATCAATCAGCGACGTGCCCAAAGCCTGCTCTCGCCATTCATTGAGGGCCGCACAGCAGTGGCCACGGAGTCACCCATGACTGGTCTGGGCTTTGGTAATGCGCGCCCATGGTTCGCAGCTCGCGCTCCGATCCCTTCCGAGGGGGACTTCCGCGGCTTCGGCTGAGTCGCCTCCACTCCAGGCAGCTCTAGCCGGCCAAGCATTGTGTAGGCAGACCACGCCTACCCACAGCGCAAACCAGAATCCTGATGATCGCCGGCGTGACCAAGCAAAGGCTACCTTCGGTCTGTACTGTGGAGGCACCGAGGTCTGCTGACACCGTGTGGGCTTTGGCCACGGACGTGGCGCGTTTTATGGGTGACGAGACAAGACGAAACAGTCATTCGGTCACGTTGACATGAAAGCGTTGCTGTTGCCTGCATTCTTGTATTCGCAACGTGTCAACAAAGTCCGCAAACGATGGCCATAGAATCAAGGGCGACGTTTAAGGCAAAACGCGATCGATCGGTGGCGTGTCGTACATGCAGGCTGCAGGTCACCCCAGCACGCAAATCACTTCTGGATGATGTAGGACAAGAGGCACCTCGCTCTTCATCTAGTAGTAAACACAACATCACACACTCGCACAGTCTATAGGAACCTGAGTGCAACTAGATCGCTTTCGTGTTATACCGCTACAGTGCCGCTTTGATGCGAGAAGTGCTCACAGTGACTGACTACCAGTCTCAAGATCCAGCCTTCTTCGGGAGTTCGACGTAGGGATCCCGATCGGCATCTTCCTGTTTGCCACACTTCAAAATCTCGATGGTCTCGTCACTCAGCGGCGTATTTGGGTGTTCAAGCTTACTCTGCTCGCCACTGTCGCCCGACAGCCTCGATGAGATGGTCACCGAAGGCTCGTAGGGAGCCGCCGCCCTCTTGCCATCGTGCCCGGTGAAGGGGCACCCAGCAGCCTCCATCAGCTTTTGTGCATCACCGGCAGACGTTCGATCGGGCAGCGTTGTTGAGCCTCCCTCTGTCGGTCGCAGCGTCTGGTCAATCTCGACTGTGGTGTCGCTGTCCAGCGCATCTCCCGGTGAGAGGCTCTTGTCTACAGCTTCCTTTTTGACGACGCCGTCGGGTGCGATCTGTCGGAACATGTCCATCGGGTCGAACCATGTGCGAACGCTCTGGAGTTGGAGCCTGTCGTTGACTGTAGCAACGGTCACGCCTTGAATATCGATCGCGCCGCCGTGGGCCTTGGCCGAAACTTTCTCTCCCTTGCTATTGGGTTGTTAGCATGCGATTCGCACATACAAAAAAAGGGTGATGGGTTGAGATGTTCGTATCTCGCCGTGCATCCCAAGACTTGGTATGATAAGGCAGTCTTCGCTCCGATTACAATGTTTGGACCTACTTGTTGAAGCCCACATAGTCATTCTTCATCAACCCCCAATGTCGCCATCTGAAAGACACCGTCGGCGGACCACTGTAAACCTCAAGAACCTCCCATGCAAACGTGGGCATCATCCTCTTGAAAGTCTTGTGGCTGCTAGCAAAGTCCGAGTATTCGGGCGAGTAGTACTCATTCGGCGCGATGATCGCGTTGTATGTCCCTTGTTTCAACATGTAGTACGCGTCCTGCGACTCAGACCCATTGATGGCGAAGGAATATTTCTCGTGGTCAATTGTTCGCCAGTCGGATAGCGTTGGTTTGAAAGAGGCTTCGACTTCCCAATTTTTCACGAGATTCTCGACGAGCTGAGGTAGGGAGAGAGCTTCATGGTTCATAGTCTTCGCTGGTCACATGGTCAGTTGTCGATGAGCGACATGTGTGAATTCAGATCTCCAGAATTGCTCGCGAACTTCATCATCTTCCCAGAATAGATGTCGTTGCCGTCGACTGTGCTCACGCCGCGGGACGCAAACACCACTTTCCCAGAATATGGGACGGCAAGCATGTTACCAAGTCCACCTGAAATTGTCCCATACTCCTGTTCATACGGGTGCGCAACAAATGTTGGCACGTTGTTGTTGGCAGGAATAGTATACTTACTCGCGGCAAACACTTGTCTGGTCTTCGAATAATCTGGAGCCCGTCCATAACGCCATTTCACATTTGTATCCTTGAGTACCGCGTCTGGATCCGTTACATAGTCAGGGAGAGCAGGCGGTGCTTGAATGTCCGCAGCTGCCATGATGAAAGCGTTTGAGACGATGACGAGAAGAGGGGAGACGATGCAAGGTGAAGATGATGAAGATGACTGAACGCATGTAATCAGCCTGATCCGGCAGGCGTGAGTGGGGTATTGGTTGAAGAAGATGGTAGGTAGGTGACACAAAGCTGCAAGATAATATATGAAAGCAAGCAGAACACGGACCCGAGTGCGTTTGGCTTTTCCATACAACGGGGGTACGGGTCGTCAAATTAGAGGATCGGGGAAGCCGTCGTCGAACCCCTGATAGCATCTTACGCTGGCCTTGTGCATGCATGCATGCCGATATACTAATCGGCCGAGCCAGGGGAGTCCAAAGGCCATGGTTACATACCTAGATTATGGCATGTCTTCAGATTGTCGGATCCTTTGGTATTTCACCTCGTGGAGGCGCTGCAATATGGGCTCTCTCTTGCGAGGTATCCCAACACCTATCACTGCCTATTTTGCATAGTTGCCTCTATAGCTGTACGTTTCCATACTCCACATACTCCACACAAATCCCCAAACTGTGGGAGACCGTGCGCGTAGGAACAGTAAATGCAGATCTAGGCGCAAATCGTGCCGCCGCGGAACGCTTACCGACAGACCAATGCACACAAATCGTATTAGTCTACGCTGCCAACACGGCCGAGAACTTTAAGTGAGTGCTGAAACGGAATTTTTGATGATAGCGTAGCCACCGTTACTGGGATAGGGCCGGTTTGCGTTTAGATAGTGGAACTTCAAGTCGGCAATCGTCTGGGGAATGTTGGCTCCAAGTGTCGGAAGTATTGATCAGGCGTAGATAATACGTGGCAGGCCATTGTACAGCTCTGAGTTTGTTTGCTGGAGAACGCTACGAGGCCAAAAAGGCAGTTCCAGGATCGCGATGCCGTGCATGATACGAGGTATTCTGGACCTGGACTAATAAAATCAGAGTTCACGCTGTCTATGCAACCTGGGACTTGCTGCGACTCCGAATTTCCTCCACGGGATGTTGTACAACGCCAATTGAGCCACCATCCTGCTGGATGCTCCAGAGCGCTGCTTCGCGGCAGGCCAATGCAAGACGGCGACCCCACACACTACTGTTGGGCACTCCATATGCTCTTGCGACGACTTTTCACGTTTCGAAATGCGGCTTTCTGAAGTCCAAGATTGAGGCTTCGGACTTGGTCCGGTTGGTATTCGAAGCTTTTGACCAGAACTCGCAACGTTTGGTGGTACTTATGTCTCGCATAAGTCTGTACTATTCAGTACACGATGATCACCCCATAGACGCAGTCGAGGCTTCTGTGGTCAAGCATGTATCTCAGGCTATCGTCTTTAATGCCGCATGCATGAGAGATAGCTGGCCACTGCGTCGAGCGGGTGATGTGTTGTTGGTGATTCTCGGATTTCCTTTAGTGGTATAGGCCAGGGTCTGCTTGGTTAGGACCGTGACGGTTGTCTGTATGGATAGGGCGAATCTCGAGCCGGACCGCCCCTTAAGTTATGCAGGGCCTTCTCAAACATTGGGCGAGACTAGCCGCTGAGATGTTCCGCCACTCCATCTACACTTGAATTCAAATGCTGCAAATGCGACTGGCAGCCTTGAAAAACACCGAAGGCCCTGGTTGTAGTCTAGCTTTGTTGTGCGGCTGGGTCAATGTGGGGAGGTAAGAGTGCAAAAAGTGTGGAACTCGAGGTGGCAGCCACAGTAGCCGAAGAATGGGGCTGCGGGGTGGAGTGAATGGGGGCGCCCAGCGTTCGTTCATGTGCGGATCGTGTTGCCAAGAAATGACGTAACTGTTTATTGTACATGCTTGCTATCCAGCGACCGTATGTCCAGGCGCAAAGAGCATATACCTCCGACCACGCAAAGGCTTGAATTCCCTCAAAATGGGCAGGCGACAACGCCTCATCAGCAAGTCGATCCTGCGCGCAATCTTCTCCCCGAAGAGAGCATATGGTACAGATGACCGCCCCAGTCTGCTTGCGCGGATCCTAGCTTTCTTCGCTGTCTTCAACCTTACCCTAGCACGATACCGAGCAGCGCTCTTCAGGAGACTACGGAACGAAATATGGGAGATTGATGAAGAAGAGTACACGGAGTCATTCCGCTCCACAAGTCACAACAAGAGGACCGACCTCGTCGCTGTGGGAGATTTAGGCTACTCAGGCTCGGTATGAGAGCGCCTCCACGCACTCAACTTGCTCTAACAACGTTACAACAGACATTTTTTACGACACCAAACTCTAAATTCTTACTCAAGTCACTTCCCCGCCACTTCGAGCAATCCTTCTTCCGAGACCGCCTCCTAAATCCCTACGTCGAGCACATGGAGCTCAACCCAGGCTCTCTACTCGTCCGCATCACCGACCTCTTATACTCGCCTGCGCCGACTATTGGCGCTGCTCTGGGTACCGCGCCTGGACATCACATCGTGATGGAGAACATTTTGTACGGCAAGTCGGAGTGCTCGACAGACGATCAAGAACAATGGGAAACATATGACCTGAAGCCGAACGACTACTTCTATCCTGAGCGTGATGTAGCTGGCGGCAGACTTGCGCCCGAAAGCGTGAAAGATCGCTTGATCGACGAGTTCCCGGACAAGGTTCGACTGACGATCGACCAAAAGGAGGACCTTGTTGCTCAGATAACGAAGGATACCAAGATCCTGCAGGAAAACAATGCAGTTGATTACAGCCTCTTCCTTGTCCGATATCCAGCCTCCACAGCATCCACCTACAACGTTCCCGTTCCGCCCGGAAAAGACGCGCCATGGCGCACTGGGCTCACCTCAAATGATGGCAAATGGGTGTATCGGGCCATCCTTCTTGACTTCTTCTGGGCAAAAGACGCAGTCCAGGCGATGGCGATGACCGGCCTAGTCAACACATTTAACTTTCTCAAATGGGGCAGGGACCATGGACCCATGAGCATTACGACTACGAGTGACGAGTACCGCACGAGATTCTTGCGTATGGTCGATGACATGATCGAAGTCCCTGACAGCTCAGGTCAGCCAGCGGGTCAGCTACGGAGCCAGCCTCCAAGCACGGGGGACCTTATCGGCGAGGTCTAACCAGTTTTCTTTCCACGTTCCTTATTTCTTGGGCGTCTCGGTAATGGATAAGGAGTCAAACGTTGAAATCAGGACACAGAAATACCCCATATCAATTCCCCTTCCAACGTTAGCATCTTATTTTAAGCTTGCCTGATGAACATAGTGACAAACGTTTTCGGAACCCCAATGAGCACTTACTTTCAGCGTTAAATGCTCAGTGCTCGTAACAGTGGCTCGTTCGCGCGGCAATATAGACTTGTACAGTGGCCAAACTTAAAATTAGACGCTTGGCTCGTCCCTATATGTGAACATTGAGGATGGATCATCGAGGATGGATCATCAAGATACACTTCTATAGACGTATTATAGCGTGAGTTAGTACACGCCGATTCTAGCTCTTGGCTTCGGTCGCTGTATCGTAAGGGTGAAGCGGACGTCTAGTCGAATGACGAAGGCATGGACTTCTCAAATAGTATTATATACGATTCCATTTTGCCTTTGATCGTTTGGCTGTTTACGTCAGTGCATTCATGATGCGCTTAAAGATGTGCATGCCAATCTCGGAGCGCATTGGGCCGACTCTGAGTACGAAGCGCGGTGGTACTAGACAACTTCTGCACCCTTCTCTACTAGCTCACGCTCGCAACGAACGAACATTTGCGTTGCACCGCGCATCATGCATCAGGCCACTAGTGATATGATTTGCGCTTACATACTTCTGGGAGAGATGTTATCGCACTTTGTAAACAGTTATCAAAGCGATGCCAGAAGGCGCTATTGAACATGGGAGGAAGGTGGCAGAAGGACAGAGAGCATCCAGAGCATGTCGTCATCAAGGCATGACTGCGTGATCAAGTGTGGCTTGGGTAACGTGAAGCTGAAGTGGGGACTCACGATGCGGCCCGGAAAAGACCCCAGCTATGCTGAGGTGAAAGCCGGGCCTGTCGCGGGCATAGCCAGACTGGGCCAAACTATGTCAATCGACGTCGAAATTAACGATGATGTAGATGGTATGTTGGCTGTCGCACAGTAGCTGACAAGCAAGCATAGACGAGTTACAAGAGCACTGCACGTCGATTTGAAACTTGAGCCTGGCATCCATACTATACGGGTGCGCTCTTTGCTGTTCAACAGCGATGGAGAGGGGAGTCGCCCCACGCCGAGGGGTGCTTTTTTGTGCCTACGTGTCAAAGCGCGATCTGCACGGCATTCTTCTGAGGCTCTTTGTGAAAGGCCGTGCGGCAGAGCGGTGAGTAGAATAACGCCCAGCCTCTCTGCCAGAGACCAATGGTCATGCAGCGCTATGCGGCACGAGGAAGGGTCTCACGAATGGCAACGATTGGTGACGTCAGATCGCACCTCGGAGCACCTCACATGGGCATGGACGCAGCGCAACTGCCACAGAAATCGCCGCTTCCTTAAAGCGTACTGCGCGCTCGTTACTGTAACGCCAAAGACTGACTCGTCGTCGCAAGCTTCCGTCATCCAAGAAACCTCATTATTTATCGACTCTACACACCATCTGCACGCCATCTCCATCATCCAGAGGTCCCATTCAACTACACTCACGCTATCCCCGCTTAGGCTGCTCGCGGCTTCAGCAGACTGGCCTCCTCCAATCAGGCCCGCACTCATACGTCAGTCAGCAGCCCGCACCTCTGTGCAGCCAGCTTTTGTAGCCTGCCGGCGGCCCGCCCAAGATGTCTGTTCTTGCATTCAAGGCGCTAGACTACGGCGCAGACAAACTCCCGGACAGGATCTTCGAAGCGATCCCGGGCGGCTTCTTTACACCGGATCACAAAAGACACCCAAAGTCCAAGACCAAGCGACGCCCTTTACTCGATTCACGAGGCAAGAGCGAGCAGAGGAACGACCGCGGCAGACGCCGGTCGCAGCGCGAGCGGACCCCACCGAGCGAACACTTGGGCTACAGCAGCTACGACGACAGTGACTACGAGCGCGATCAGCGCCGCCAGGGTCGACGTCGCCGCGTGAAGAGCCTCGGGCGCAGCCCCAGTCGAAGCCTGAGCCGCAGCTCGAGTCGCGGAAGGCACCACCACCAGCGCAGCAGCGGGTTTGACGGCGAAGGCGACGAGCGCGCCCAGATGGACCGCGAGCGCGCAGACCGTGGGCCTCAATTTCCTCCCCCTCCTACTTCTGAGTACAGGCAATACAACCCGCAAGGGTACGCATCGCCGCCGCCGCCAGCCACGGGTGGACAATATGACCCATACCGCCCGGCGCAGTCGGCAAGGCAAGACCAGGGATACCCCCCTCAGGTAAATACCACCACCTCTCGTAGTCGAAGCGCGACACTTCCGGCAGGCCGCCCTGCGCCGACGCCGCTGCAAATACTGCGGTCGAAGCTCATGAGCAGGTCGCCGTCGAACATGTCAACTCCCCTTCTTCCTGTTTCTCCACTTCATACTCCTCCCACCATGGAGTCGCTACGCATCGGCACTCCGCTTGGTGCTTCATTTTTACCCTCCTACGAGCCGCCTCTTGCGGCTCTGCTCAGCCGTCCAGCTACTAACTCACCTCAGCCAACGTCTCATACAGCTGCGCGATACACACCAGGTGCTGGATACGCTCCATCGCCTGTGAATGTGAACTCGCCTATACCTCCACCACCCAACAATGGGTATGCGCCATACAATCCCGCCGATTACGCCTCCTCAAACGCGGGCTATCCTACTGCGGGCAATACCTATCCGTCTCCACCGCCGTTCTATCGACAATCGTCGCGTTCGCAGCCCTCGCTAGCCCAGTACCCATACCCAGACAGCCAGGTCGCTGCGTACGACTCGCCTCCGGACCGCCATGGCAGTTCCTCGTCCTCGCGCCGTCACCGCCATCAGGATGACAGGCGGCACAGGGCAAGGTCTGCTGGTCAGCATGGTCGCTCTCGTAGCCGAGTCACTGACAAGTTCCGTGACAGGTTTGAGAGTATGGACCTTCATGACAAAAACTTGGCGGCTTCGGTGGGAGGTGCGTTGGCTGGAGGACTGGCTGGCAGGGCAGTGGGACACGGGACGCTAAGTACTCTTATAGGAGCAGGTATCGGTGCGTTCGGCGGCAGAGAACTGGAGAAGAGGCACGACAAGTAAGTGGAGCTGTGTGGAGTTGACGTTGTGGGTTTATCGAGCGCTGAGCATTGGCTTTGATTTCGGTTACGCCGCGGATTTCCCTTGGAACTCTTCACTGATTCAGCATCTCTCTCGTACAGGAAAAGAACTAGTGGTTCGACATCGCGGGCGCGTGAACAACGTGGCCGGAGCCGGTCCAGAAGTCGCAGCAAGAGAGACTATTCTAGGTCCCCATCTCGCGACCGAAGGCGCGACGATCGGTACAGCGAAGATAGCCACAGCGACTCTGACTCCGATAGCCGCCGGGCTGCAAGGAGAAGGAGACAGCGTAGCCGCAGCCGACTCGACTCGAACTACTAACGATTTTACGTTCCCACTAAGTGCGTTGCCTTGTCATTGCAGTGGTTATTTCTTTTGTCGGCTTGGCTGTCTTTGTTTATGAATCCTTTGATGGGTCTTTCAATCACGACTTTACGAATCATGACGGCTAGAGCAAAGCTTTGTGTCAGACTTGGGTGGGCTTGGCATGGTATTCGGCTTGCCTTCCTTACAACTCGTCTAGCGGTAGCACAATTTACCGCAGTTTACGCGATTGGCATCGCCGGAGCATCTCCGACGGCAACAACGGCTGAGTCGCATGGCCTTGAGACTGCAAGTGGGGAAGAGACAAGTCATGCAGCTGCGCTTCCTGGTCTTTGGGTTGAATTGCGGTTTGACAAAGGATTCTTCGGCATTGTACATTACAATCAACAGCATCAACCATTTGCCACGTACCATCCTTGCTGCATCTGCACGAGAAAAATTGCGTCTCAAGTTTTGCACGCCGAATCCTCCCGCGATGGCAGCTTCGCCGGCTCGCTGCGTGAGGCACATGGTATACCACTGCTCGGAAGATACACTAGCGCTTCAAACGCGAACGCTTCGTCTCGGGTGCTAACGCTTCTAGTCTGTTTCCAAAGCTCTTTTAGGACGTTGTTCACCTTCCAGAAGAACAGCTAGCTCCGCCGCGTGAGCCTCAGTGGGCCAAAACCCCCCATGTGTTCTTGGTCGTGGTCGCGTGAAACATGATCGATCACCGGAGGTGGGCCCGTGGATGCGGAAGGGGCGTGTGTGGCGCGCGCGTCATGGCGTGCAGTCTTTGTCGCGAGGATATAGATTGTCGAAGGGTCCGGTGAGAGGACGGCAGACTGGTGTCCTTATCGTTTCTTGAGTTCACGTTTCGATCTCGTAGCCTTGTGGTTCGCTTCACCCTGTGTACACCGAGTACGAAACACCAAGAACACCATACTCCTCTCCGCAAAGCGGCTAGCGGTATGCTCGAGAAAGGAAATTCCGTTTACGGGGCCCAGGAGCGGTGTTTGTTTCTCGAAGCCATGCCCGCAGAGTTGCGTGTGATGGTGTACGAAGCTCTGGTTGTCGGTTCCGAGCCTATCACAGTACTTCGCGAGGAGCAGACAAACGAGACGCACCAGCTCGATCTTTCGCTTCTCCGCGTCAATCGCCAGATCCACGACGAAGCCGCTGCCGTCTTCTATTGCAAGAACACTTTTTGCATCCGCCCAGGGAAAGGGAAAGATGTTTGCGGTGGTGTGCCTGCGCCGCGGTATCTCCATCTAGTCCGGCACTTGAAGGTCGAGGGATTCCTCCACCCAGACACCCCAGGCAAGGCTTGGGCAAAGAAACAGGGCGGCCTTGGGCAGGACGGTGACGGGAACCAGGAGAATGAGAGATACAGTAGGTCTCCATCCTAACTGCCGAAACCGAACCGACTCACAAAACTCCCAGTATCGATTCTAACAACGCTTCTCCCCCAACTCCGCAACCTCCACACCATCCACCTCACCATCACTCCCCCCGATCGCCTCTCCTCGAAATCTGTCCTCGCCGCGCTCCTCCCTCTCAAGCATGCTCTCCCTTCCATACTCGCATCCCTTTCCCCGTTAGTGCCCATCCTCCTCAGTTTCGAGTTCGACGACTGCTACTGTCGCCTGCGCGTGAGCCCGGAGTTTCTCAGAAAAGACTGTCTGTTAGTGGTTGCGTGTCAGGTATTGTTTTGGAAGAGCCACTTTAGGGTTGAGACGATGGTGAGGGAGGCGCGGGGCGAGAAGGTCTCGGTGGGGAAGGGGGGAAGGACGGATCTGGGGCCGTTAGTTGGGGAAGGGGTGGGGAAGGTGATAGAAACAGGGAACGGGGTCGAAGGTCTGATTGCGAGGCTGGTTGGGTAGGAAAGGGTGGGTTATGGTAGAGATCGTTGATGCGGTCTGACTCAGGCCGAGGAAGTTGGTTCGAAGATTTTGGGATTCGCCGCCCTCGCCTTTCGGCCTATTTTCCTTTTTTTTTTTTTTTTTTTTTTTTTTTTTTGGGCTGGATTGGGCTGTTTTCCTGGCCCAGAGCATCGTGGACGGATGTCGTCGTGTTTCAAATGAGTCATTTGCAGCTACATGTTGCTATCTATGTCAACGTACAAAATGAGGCTGCGGGACAGGACACCGGAGGGGGGGACCACCAGAAGGAGCAGCTAATAGTACCAGAATCGGTATAGGAGAAGTCGTCGCGCGCGGAGTGAGAAGAGAGCCGTGGATAGGAAGTATCCCGGACACGATGAAGTAGGCATTGTCTGGGCTTGGTCGGAAAATGGTGGCAAATTCTTGGGCCATTGAGATACTAAGCTATCAACAGCGTTCTATTACCACTCACGCGAGCCACCACCCGCTTGTTCTTCAATGACTCCGAGATCCCACATTTCACCACTCAACCATCACAAGACTTCGTGCAGATCAGCCACATGGGGTCTGGCTAAGGTGAGCCGTAAGGTGTGGTATTGACGGCTTTTAAGTACACCCACGATTCTCTGAATCCGACTCTAGATCCGAATCACACATGTTGAGGAGATAGATTGACTTTAGGAGTTTGATGATACAGCCCAATATTAGAGAGGCCCTGAACGTTTCGTACACCTGGTAGATTTTCCTGTAATGGAGCTCTCCAGTGATTGCAAGTCGGGCGAGAGTGGTCATATCCAGCCTGGGCGTGAATTCGAGATATTAGAGACGATGCTTCAGAATAGATATCACATCATGGCTGCGCTAAGACCTATGCTCACTCGTAATGGAGAATCGTGTTACTCCGCTATTGAATTATTAACGCTGCTAACAAACGCAGATTTGCTCTTATAGGAAGAGCCATGGTTTGAGGTTCGTCGAAGTAATACGTATTACGCACTTGATTCGGCCAATGCAATCCCCAAGTTAGTGGCATCAGTCTCAACAGTCATCGTAACTGTCGTAGACAGGTCAGCAGATCTTAGATCTATCCTGAATCAATTTGACAATATATGAGGACATAGAAGGCATCGGTACTAGGGGATCTCTATAGAGGTTACGGTATATCACAATCGAGGATCTCATTGGCTCAATAAATAATGAATTTACTACATATTTCAACCCTCAAAGGCTCAACCTGTCCGATCACTTACCGCTATGTGAGAAAATCACTAGGTAAACTTTGGATTTGTCCTTTTGGTCGAAGGAAAGGCTGTGTTCTCGTTTTGCTGAGACAGACACCATCCTAACTCAACTTGCACAGACTATACACCTCAGGGCCGCAGAGAAACGTATGATCCTTATCACAGGTGCGAGTGAAGGAATCGGCTACGATACCGCGAAGTACTCAGCCAGTGTCTCCTCGAGCTCAGTTCATATTTCCCAGAACATATGTACCATCAGATTGACTTTTTATGAATAATTCAAGGCGAAGTTCTTGCTCTTGGGAGGAAGCTTATGCTGGAATGCCAAGTCTGTGAACGGTCTGACAAATGAATGGACGTGAAGGCGATGAGCAGCAAAACTGCACTAAGTAAACCGGTGATTGTCCCCCCTCGTCAGTCAATCCTCACGATCCAACTAAAGATGGTCGAGCCAAAGCCGTCTACCAGCGTATGTCAGCCACGTGCCATTTTCCATTCACGGCCTAACACCGGTGGCTGAGCCTTAAAGCGCTTGCGGCTCTTTCGCATTCGCCTGAATCGAAGGACATCCGATTTATCAGATGCACCAGCCGCACGTGGCGACCCTGCGGAGATTTGAATCATGAGGAAGCTTCGGACTTTAAAAGTGGGCCGAAGCTCTTCGCTTTGCAAACCCGAGTCTGGTCATGGTCTTGACAAGGTCAGCACTGAGGCACGTGGTAGCCCTGCATGCTGTCCCGTTCTCAACATGGTTATACCTGTCGCGGTGTTTGTTGTGGAAGTCGCGCGGGTCGCTGGTGTACGATGCATCCCCGTATAAGATAATGGGTTGGTATACCTGTAATCGGTCGCCGGACAGTACTTGGCATATCGTCAGCGCGTCACAAAATTATCGATCAAATTTAATATGACATGTTTGCGCTTGATTGACATTGCTGCAGGATCTAGTTTGCTTTGTCCAGTGACAAGATTAATTTCTACCCCAGCATTGACTACAGCATGCAGGCCGTGGGGATGCACCTAAGAGCGGGAGGCCCCAGTTCATCGGAGAATATGCCTCGGAGACCGACCTACTTTTGGACAGCCACTTCGCGCAAGAATGCCTACTTCGGCGGTAAAACGCGCTCTGCTGCGCGATGAGCCGTTTTGTACATGGTCATATCATATACGAAGAGTTGAAGTCGTGGACCGCCCTTGGACTGGCCGAATCGAATTACTCTGAAATAGCCAGGAGCCGCAAGGGAGAGCAAGTTCTACTGTACAGTGTGTGGATGCCAAAGTGGAAAAACGCGATACAGTATAACATCCAGATTCTGAATGCGTATAGTAGCTGAAGTACCCCCACAGTCAACTATCAACAATCCGACCTAGAGACCGGACTTCGTATAGTAGGCTTTCGCACTAGTATGTGCACACTGGATGACCTTTGAGGGTGTAGGGTGGTAGAGAAATAAAGACATGAAATGAGGTGCGACAAGTGCACTTCGTCTGTGGCACAGACATTGAGAGGACAAAATATGCCTCCGCACATGCGATGAAAAGGGATCTAGGACGATCACCAGGGAAAGTGTCTGCCCAGGGTTCGAGGCACAGTGTGTATCTCACTGACATTGATATGGAGGTGACATCATACTTGTCAGGTATGGCCTCGGTGGTGGAGAGTGAGCCGTGCCGAAGGCGTGGTGAGAATGCTCACGGTGCGAAGCCCGTAGGATAGCGTACGCTAATCACTGCTGCGATCTGCCAAAGCAACGCAGCAGTCGCTGATACTTGAACGTCAGCGGCTGATCATCAAGGTGGGAGCGTACAAATAACACGTGCGAATAAGCCGCGTGTTAAACTTGGTCCAGCTTCGTTGGCTCGTGAGGCAGAGACATGCAGCGAGGCGTGAGTGGTTCCAGGCTGCGGCGCGTACGAATGAAGTCATTCAACACATCTGCCAGGAGCGATACTTTCGTCATAGGAGTAGAAAATGCTTCTGGAGGCACATCATCCATGGATTGTACGAGCACCAGACGCATCGATCGTCGGTGTGGTGTGCCTCGAGGATGCGAAAGGACCGTGCGTCGCGTCATCGCTCTCGGGCAAAGCGGCCTCCAGCGCATCCCGTGACTGCCCTGTCGCAGATGCTGCTCCTAGACACTGCTGCACTTCGATACATGAAACAGACGCAGCGCGGAAGACGCAGTTCCAGTGGCGTGGGCGGACAAAGCTACTGGCGTGGTGGAGAGGTAGGCGCAAAGTGCGGGCTCGGGTTGCTCGATAACTGCCTATTTTTGACGCACACCAGCCCCCCAGCCTAGGATTAGACATGGACCTGCAGATCCTCAAGCATCCCTCCGCACCCACCCTGGCGGTGTCCGAAGCGTCAACAGCTTTGCCCGATTCTCGCGGCGCGCCTGCGTCTCTGTGTAGCCATGACTCTGTCCTGTCGGCGGCGACAGTGGTTGCCCGCGCTGTGCCCGGTCATGTTCACAGCATTAAGTCCCGCGACGCCTGCTTTCCTGGGCCTTCGTTGTCTTCCGCATCTCGAGTCGTTCTCTTCCATTGTTATGGCCATACAAACTGTTCTGATCTCAGCCCCAGTCTAGCGCGCCACTCCGCCCGCACCCTGTCTTGCTCAGCTGCATGGTCCACCAGTCCACTCAGCCCAGGCTACTGCTATTTTGGAGCCTGCATTTGTAGGACTTGCTTGCTTCCCTGCCACGATGCCATATACTGGTGCCGGCACCCCGGACGTTTCGTCTCTGTTTTCGCAAAGACAGTCATCAATACAGCACCATTCAGCAGAACCACTCTCCGCCATACGCCGATCGATATCGCACCGCTTCTCACATCAGAACACGGACTCTGCACAAAAGCTTGCGCGGCGGTCTTTGCAGCGCTTCGGAGGAACCACCAAGGCGATCGCGCCAGCGCTTAGCACGTCGGTCAGGAGCCCGGTCCAGAGGGGGTTCTCATTTCATAAACGCAAGCCCTCTAACAAGTCGGGAACGATTTTGCGCGCCGTTCCTGCCAGTACTACCTGCGCCCCGGCTCCCCTCCCCAAACGTGCTTCTGTCATGGCCAATCATGCAGAGCAGCCTAGCATTGGTTCCATAGAACCAGCGTATAACCACTCCCACACCCGACAGCAATCTCAAACCCATATGTGCACCCGAAAGCGCAGCAGCAGTACAACCTTGCCCACCACTCACCATCATTCGGCAGGAAATTCTTCCTCTTCGCCTGCATCTCTCGCAGGTGTCATTGGAACCTATAAGAACGGACAGGTGCAATGGAACCATAGCGACCTTCATCGCAGAACGAGCATTCGTCACAGTCCAGGCAGTCTCCGCTCCAGAGTATCGAACTCTTCACCAAAGCCAAAACCGCGAATCGAGGTTGTCATTCCCAACGAACAGCTTGACGAAAAGCCACTTCCAACCAGCCCATTCTTCCAAAAGCCAAATCACAATCACGCTAGGGCGACATCTGGAGAAATCGAAATTATCTACAACGTATCGCCGCCCTCAGCCTCAGGTCAGATGCTGATCCGAGACTCCATAGTCTCGCCACTAAGCTCACAGGACGTCCGTCCTCAGCCTTTAATTCATGCTGGTATTGACCCCAAAACAACAAAGTCCGATATGGGGTCCCCGGATCTATCGCTTGGAACTGGAAATTCGTCGGATGATTCCCGCGACTATGACTCGTCGTCAGTCTACAGCAACCATTCTTCTTGCACCAGCAACGAAAGCGAGCGAAAACATGCCAAAGCACACTTTTCCCACAATCGTTCTTCCAGCGAAGGGTCTTCGGTCGCGTCTCCAGTCAATGCACGGATCGAAGAGGCGCCCCGTTGTGAGACTGCGAAGTCCGATATTTCTGAAACCCGACATTTAGCGAGTCCGTCATTACTACGACGCCACGCACAGCACCCTCCCATAGAACACGACCATGCGTTTATACCTTCGTGCTCGCTCCGACCTTTACGTATCGCATCGGGTCCTCCACCTTGCCGCCAAGCATCTCTTGCTCGAACCTCCACCATTCGCAGCAGCCACAGCAGACGTGCATCCGCTAAAGCTATGGGTATGGTCGCCATTCGCCAGCCTTTCTCGCCCAATATCCGCAGTCCGACCTTGAGCGAAGCCGAAGATGAGCTCGAGGCACAACTCACTGCCTTCTCCGACGACAATGCTTTTATCTGGGACGATGCATGGAACGATATCATGACACAACAACGATCACCACTAAGCCCGGTAGGCCTAGCGCGAGCCGACTCCGTAACTTACGACATTTCTCCTTGGGTTCCTCCCCCTCAAGTGCCCAGAAAGTCTAGTAGACGGACAACGATCGTGGACTACGATGGCTCTTTCCGTTTGTCCAAAGTGCATGAAGACCATATTGTATCGCAGCTTAAACGTTCTCGCAGCAAAGCAAAGGACCTCAGTATAAAGATTCCAGAGTCAAGACGCATGACGACCGATACCTTCATTCTTTCGCCGATCCCGATACCACCCAAGGACATCAAAAGAACCATTACGCCCGAGGTGGCCGAAGGTGTCATCTTCAGCATCTTGCGCAACCTCGAAAGCCTCGACGATCTCTTTGCATGTTCCATCATCAACCGCGGCTTCTACCGCGTATTCAAGCGTCACGAGCTCGAGCTCATGAAGGCTGCCCTGCGAAAGATGTCGCCGCCTGCGTGGGAACACCGCGAGATCTGTTACCCAGGCCATGATCAACTTAATGAAGAAGAATTGGATCGCCCGAGGCAGGAATACACCCCAACCTCGTTCATCCAGTACTACACTCGCGACATGTACATCATTGCAGCTATCAAGTCGTTGATCAAAGACAAATGCCAGTCCTTCATGCGACCAGAGATATCCGCGGCCATCGTTAGTGAGAACCCGTATCGTTCAGCACGTGTTGATGATGCACTCTGGCGCATCTGGACCTTCTGCAAGATCTTTGGTTCCGGAAGAGGACGCGAAGAAGATATCGTGGCACAGATGGACTGGCTTAAAGGTGGCCTAATGGTCCATCAGAAGACCGCTACGCACAGTGCTCTCTTCGCCGACGACTTCAACGAGACTTTGGCAAGTGCCCCGGAATGCTTTGCCAGGGGCAATGAAGGTGGTCTGTCCGCGGAGCAACTTTTCGACATGATGGAGCTGTGGAACTGCCTAGGTGTTTTATTGCAACCGATGGAAGGCCGCACCATCCAGGCTAGAGAATATGGCATATACGAAAATACCAATGTTCGCGGCGGTGACATTGATGGTGAAGAGTTGATGCTTGGTAAGTGCTGCTTCTGCCCTAAGCTGCAAGCCACTAACATATGCAGACGAATGGTACTACTACCTTCTCACGCTGGGTCTCTCCACCATTCTCGAGCTCACTGCCCCATGCACCAAAGCCGATGCTTCAGTCTTCATCCTTGCTTCTCAGAACGGATGGGCGAACTGGAACCCTCCTATGTTCGGTGCTACGCGCCGTAACTTCCTCAAAGAAGCCGCATCGCGGGTGTACGAAGACAAGATCGCCTGCACCTATGCCGAAAACTCCAACAAGGACGTTCAGCGTGCGCTGTCTAAGCAGCGTATCCAGAAGCATATCTCTGAACTCCGTCACAGGAAGAACAGTGGCGAAAGACTGAACGTTGTTCTCATGAGCCAGGAGCGACCGATCAGTGAGTGGGAAGGTGTTATCAACAACCTGACGAGGCCACTCCCAATTCCCACGTCGGGCAACAATCTAGTCTCTCACATCCCTTCTCTGCATTCCGCAACTTTGTCCATCTCAGTTCCGGAGCTTCCGACGGCCCGCACGCCTTCGCCACTTCCGCGCCCTCAATCTCCCCCACGCCGCATCGTGGCGCAACCACTTCTCCCTACCCCGCCACCTTCAACTGTTCCTAGCACTAGAGACCGAAGCAGCGTTGCGCTTAGCGACACGCACCCTGCATTCAGGCAGTCGCGATCTGGGAATATCCCAGAGATGCCACGTCTGGACGAGCACCCTGCATTTGTCAACCACATGCGACGAGTGAGCACTAAATCTGATCACGAATCGAATCCCATCTCGGCGCCAGCATCAAGTACAACCAATAGCCAGACCCATAGCCAGCGGAGCAGTCCTTCCTTAGATAGCCACTCGGCCTTCCAACAACATCCTGTTCAACGCATGGTCCAAGATCTCGGACCTGTTGAAAACACCGTCGACCGCGCAGTCTACCGCATCGTGGAGATGGGCTTCACACCCGAGCAGGCGAGACAAGCGCTCAGACGTACCGATTTAGGCGACGGCCTGAGAGTTGATCGAGCGGTCGAGCTGCTGCTCCGGGATATGTGAAATCGCATCGACTGATTTCTATTTCACGCCATTATTCAATTCGTTGCCCATATTTTATACCCGTATTTTAGTCTACGATCTTTCATGATACCCAAAATTTCTTATGTCTGCGGGAGGAACCATCAACGAGCAAGGAGTTAATCAGGTTTCCTTCATGTCACTTCTTCCAGACTGTACTTGAGCATAGCGACTTTGGGGTTGCCGTCATTATCTTGTGTATACTGGATAGGGAAGAATCTTCATTATCAATCAAATGGTCACGTTCATGAAAGTTCTCTGATTTGCATTGTTGATATGAGCGAACGTCGTTGCATTAACTCTAAACTACGGCAGGACAAACTAGCTGCCTTAGATCTTACTGAGCGATAATTCATGATTGCCGTCGCTAGTTGTACGATTGTTCAGCGAATGAAGATATTGCCGACCGCACAGCAGCATCCATCGGGCGAGACCGCTGAATCCTTCTTTCAACGAAGGCGTTTACAGATCGAACGAAACATGGACTTCAAGAAACGTATCGTCGATTAGAAACGCAACTTCTCTCGCAGGCTGAGACCCCTACATCATGGAATGCTTACGCTGGGCCACGCTCTCAAGTTGCGCCAGGATCATTCCTCTCACCCACGCCGCACCAGGCTATCATGTTCCTTCGACATGGACATCGTGGCTAGCGCGCGGCGCGTCTTGAAGAATCTTGCTTGGATCACGCTATCGTGGCCTGACACAGCCCTTCGATCCATCCTCGCTTCCTTCATCCTGCCTTCGGGGCAATATTATCAACGTCTCCTTCCTTGTCGCGCCGCGCATCCGCATTGTCATGGCATCCATAAGCGCCGTGCGTCAAGACAGGCTGGGCTGTGCAACGTTGTCCGCAAACGGCGTGGTCATGCGCGAGTCGCGAGGTTTCGCATTCGTGCATAGCCACGGCCAGCCTGATCGTGGGGGCTGTGAGCGCTCCGCACGAGGACACCGACCAGAGACGGGTGCAGCCGGCTAAAATTCCGAACCTAATAGACGGTCGGATCAAGCCGTTCGAAAAGCTTACGAGATTGCGCAAAGTGTGCACTGTGCGGCACTTCGCTGTTTGACGGAACGGGCTGGAGGCCGTACAGTCGAAACTCCGAACTTCTCTGCATCTCTGGAGCCAACCGAGTCGAACACGAAGAATGACTTCTCGGAATTGTACACAGCAAGTCGACATTCGGTGAAGATGCGCAATGTCGGTCGCCTTGCTGCCTCATTGCATCTCACGGCGGAAGAGGTTCAATCCTCACTAACGTACCCCATTCCCTTCCTCCACCAGGTCCAGATGCCCAGCTCTTGTATCTTCGCTCCGAAGTCCTTGACACTTTCCACTTCCTCTGCTTTCCCATAGGTCACGGGTCCCTCTGGGCCTTCTTGTAATTTCTCACTCGGCTTCTTGACGAGTTGGAAGTCCTTGTAGCGAAGCCTTTGCACGGTCGATACCCAGTCTCTTACGCCAGATTCTGTGCCTTGACAGTACATGATGCCGGGACAGCCGCCGTAGCAGAGAAGAGCGTAGACATTGTGATTCGATGCCGCGGCACGGAGTTTTGCGACCTTCTTGCGGGAGGTTATGTGGTGGGTTCGAATGAGGGCGTTGAATGTGGGAGGCATGCCATCGAATAGTAGCCTACTTCTTCCTGTATAGACACTCCTTTTGCCCCTGTGAAGATATCGTCGACATCAATCTTGATGGCATGGCGACAATGATGCACATTGAAACGCCCTCCCACGTGACGCTGACGCACTAGCGCATTTTTTGATTTTCCAAGCACGTCAGACGTCACGGCTCTGGGCAGAGGTTCAAACCAACCGTATGGATCGCCGCCGAATATTCGATTCTGCGAATGGAGAGTTATGAAGCTGATGCCGCTTCGTAAGATCGCAGCCCCTTCGCCGTCGGTGCTGAGTTTCCTGAGACACGCCCTCGAACCGACGAGCGCGCCCTGCGTGGCCTGGAGAGCACCGAGATGCGGATTCGCAGCGAGTAGCATTGGGGGAAGAGGAGGTACTGGCGCACGAGGTGGATATGCTAGGAGCGGGGGTGTGGCCTCTTGTAGGGCACTTGCGCCGCTGCGAGAAGCTCCTCTCGACGCGGGCGCGATACATTCGGAAATATCAGCTTTGTTCGCGCCGCAGCGCTTCAGTCGCAATGTGCCAACATACTCACATGCCTCCTCGTTCAACCGACGACCTTTCTCCACCACAAGCCTCAACAAAGCATGGGAACTCTTTGGACGAAGAAAGCCGCGAGAATCGCGCTCGCTACCTCCGCCACCTCCCCTGAGCGAGGTCATGGGAGACGCTCCTATTCCAATTGGCTTCGAGAGCTTGGGACGAATGACACGGGCCGCAAACGAGCTGAAGATGCGATGTACCGAGCTCGACGACCAAGGCAACGTCACAATGGTCAGCGGGGAGTTCAAGAAGAGCGAGCTGATCGCGAAGGTAAATCGCGCGTCTGTGGAAGACTAAACATAGCGCTGACCCAACTCCAGTACGGTCTGCTCCCTCGCGATCTCCGCAAGATCGACTCGTCTCTCCTACCCAACATCCTCATCCGACCGACCGCTATCCTGATCAATCTCCTCCATATCCGCGCCCTTATAAAACACAATCGCGTGCTGGTCTTCGATGCATACGGCACCACAGACTCAAAGTCCCAGTCCGTCTTCATGTATGATCTTGACTCGAAGCTGCGCCAAAAAGAATCAGCCGTGACCGGGAACCTGGCTTACGAATTCCGCGCCCTAGAAGCCGTCCTCATCAGCGTCACGCTCAGCCTGGAGAAAGAATTCGAAGGTGTCAGCGAGCCCGTGATGCGGGTGCTCATGGAGCTCGAAGAGGACATCGACAGAGACAAGTTGCGGTATCTTCTCGTATACTCCAAGAAGCTGGGTTCCTTTGAACAAAAGGCGAGATTGGTGAGAGACGCATTAAGCGAGCTCCTGGACGCAGACGACGATCTGTCTGCGATGTATCTGTCCGAAAAGGCGGCCGGCACACTACGCGAAGAAGACGACCACACCGAAGTCGAGATGCTGCTAGAATCCTATCACAAAGTCGCCGACGAAATCGTCCAAGCAGCCGAGAACCTCGTGTCCAGCATCCGCAACACCGAGGAAATGTACGTCGCCCCACCACTCCACCCCATCATGTCCCCAGCTCATGCGCTAACCCACCCCCAGCGTCAAAGCCATCCTCGACGCCAACCGCAACTCCCTCATGCTGCTCGACCTGCGCTTCTCCATCCTCACCCTCGCCCTCACAGCCGGCACCTTCGTCGCCGCCCTCTACGGCATGAACCTCAAGAACTTCATCGAAGAGTCTGACCTCGGCTTCTGGGGCGTTTCCGCCTGGTGCACTGTCTTCGGCTGCATCGTCGCCGTCTACGGCATCCGCAAGCTGCAGCGCGTCCAGCGCCTCAGCATGTGGGGCCACGGCGGCGACAAGCACGTCGCGACCAAGGGGAACTGGGGCGTCGGCGCGTGGGGCGGGAAGAGCAGGGATTCGTGTGGGCCGGGGGAGAGCATGGGTGTGCCCAGGTTGAGGGCGGGCGAGAGTCTGGGGGATTTGATTCAGAGGGAGCGATTGCTTGCGAGGCGGATCGCGAAGGCGGAGGTACATGCTGAGGAGGCAGCAAGGTCGGGGGCTCCTGGCGTGGGGAAGCTGCGCTTTTGAGGGTTGACTGTGAGCGCCATGTGTTTTTGTTTCTGGTTGCTTTGTGCTTGGTCTGGTTAGATGCGTTTGGCTCTCTACTCAGATATCCCCCCTCTGTTTCTATTCTTTCTGGCGGCTATAGAGGCGTGCATAGACTGGGCGGATTGGGCTTCGCATAGCATAGCGGCGGCGTTCTGGGAGTATATGTTGAGCAGCGGCGAGAGTGGTCTCGCTGGGCATGCATATACCGGGTACGAATGTGTAGAACAGCAATGTACATAGTAGGCTCACAGCCTGCCAGCATGATGCACAAGGGGCACGCCTGGTCCTGTAATATCTCGCTCCATACTACAACTATATAATAACTTGATAGTCTGTCCTGGATTCTCATAGCTATGAGCCAGTCTTTCTTATTAGCCACTGTGATCATTTCACATCATCAAGTAACGTAGTGGCTTTTAGTTGAGCAGAGCACGAGTCTAGCAGAATTTTGATTCACCGTCATAGAGTCTATGGAAACCACCAAACCCACCTATGATCTCTCCCCGATATCCAGAGAGGTAAAGCTCCACGTAGAGCCATTTATCAGGTTATGCCAAGGGAATGTGGCCTTTCCCCTTGAGCAAGCCACCGCATACGCCATTTCGAAACCAACCAAAATGCCTCCACTGAATGTGAGTCAGACCACACGCGAATGGATCCTGTGTATTGCTTCCGTCATAACATCGTATAGTTCGTATCACGTCCTGCGCGGAGCTCTACCTAAGGATGATCATTCAGGTTGTGCAGACTGATGTCTTGACCAGAGCCACCACGAAGCTCTTCCAAGCTGGGTCTACGGCTCGAGTTCAAGCTGCCGGCTTTTACAGTGCCGTTGGTGAGGCTGGTGCCGTTCAACGGGCCCCATTCCGGACTTCCACTTTCGGCGGGAATGACGTTGCCGTGCTGGTCAACCTCCTATACTGCAATCAGCAGAGCTTCTCACAGTTATTGACATGATTGAGACTTACCACTCCTTTCGCAGCCATACGAATCTGTGTCTGATCTGCTACGCCATGCATCACTGCCTCGCGAGCCTTCTCCACGACCTTCTTCTTTTTGCTTTCGCCACGCACTTTTTCGAGATGCTCAAAATAGCCGTCATCTACTGGGGTGACATACTTGCCGCAAAAGACGCCAACCTCGAACTCCTGCTCTGCCGGGTTACGAGGTGACAAGGACGCACATGCACGTACGAGGTCCTCAAGGTTTTGATAAACGACATCATCTGCGCCAATGTGCTTCGCGATAGCGGTGGAGTCTCGGTGGTGGGCAATGAGCTCTGAGGACGACGCAAGATCGATGCCGTAGATATGTGCGTTGGTGATGGGAGGCGCGCACGAGGCAAAGTAGACCTTCTTTGCGCCGGCTTCTCTCGTCATGAGTACAATCTCCCGCGACGTGGTTCCTCGCACGATTGAATCGTCAACTAAGAGCACGTTCTTGTCCTTAAACTTCTTTGGCATAGGGTTGAGCTTCGCTCGGACACCCTTTTGCCGTAGTTTCTGAGACGGCATGATAAATGTGCGGAATATGTACCGGTTCTTTACGAAACCCTGCACGTATGGCTTGTCGAGCGCTTCAGCAACGCATATGGCAGAAGTGATGCTGGTCTCCGGAATGGGCATCACGACGTCAATTTCGGCCAGTTTCTCGGGGCCAAGTTGGGTTTTGATAGCTTCGGCCAGGGTAAATCCCATGTTGCGACGACTCTCATCAACATCGATGCCGTCGATGACACTGTCAGGGCGCGCAAAGTAGACATACTCGAAGATATCTGGTGTGTACTTCAGCAGAGGGTGCACTTGGCTGAAGACAGGCTCTTCGCCCTTCTCGATGAAGACGGCCTGACCAGGAAGGATATCCTTGAAGTCTTTGTAGCCACACTGGACTAGAGCCACGCTTTCGGAGGCCATCATGTAGTCTTTTCCAGTGCCGCATTCGGAGGGCTTAGACCCTAGGACCAGAGGACGGATGCCGTACGGGTCGCGGAAGCCGATCAAGCCAAATCCTGCAAGCATGGCCACGCATGCCCACCCGCCAACGCAGCGCTTGTACATCCGTTCCAGGGCTGCAAAGCAATCGTTGGCGTTGATGCGCGCCTTCCCAGTCTCGTTGAGCTCATTTGCGAAGATGTTCAGCATCAGTTCGCTGTCACTCTCGGTGTTGATATGCCTGTGTGCCTCCTTGTCCAAATGCTCGCGCAGTGCCGGCGCGTTGATCAGGTTACCGTTATGGCTCATGGCAATACCGTACGGACTGTTGACATAGAAAGGCTGAGCCTCAGAGTTGGCGCTGCTTCCAGCAGTTGGGTAGCGAAGGTGCCCGAGACCCATGAAGCCAGGAAGGTCAGCAACTCGTGCGCCATCCTGGAAAACCCTAGAGGCCATGCCATTTCCCTTGCACTGGTGGAAGCGTCCACGCGAGTCACCGCTCACGATGCCTGCCGCATCCTGTCCGCGGTGTTGAAGGAGGTATAACGCCTCATGTACCTCGCTGGCAGCGTGTATAGATTTCCTTCGCGTCTTAGCAGGGCTCGATTGAGTACTTGGTGGGCTCTTACGGATCCGCGTGGATCACGGCAATGATACCACACATGGTGAATCAAGGGGGGTAATTGTTGTATGTCTGTGAGTCTGCAGACAACGCGTTAGCCGTTATCGGTGTAAAAGTGGCGGCGGTCAGATAGTGGGGAGGCTTTGTCAGGAAGTCTTTTTTCGCTCAAACCCTAGGGTCGCAAGTCTAACATCTAAAAAAAATGACGAGATCATCATAATGAGGGATAGTGTTGAAAGTTGTAACTGAGTGAATACGCACGTATGACTTAGTTCTGGGCTGCCCCGCGGATGGTTCAATCCTCAGTGAAGGTGGGGTGTAAGAAGAAAGGGTGGCCGGAGCAGGCAATCAGTAGGGTGCAAGGTCCATATTCTGGGCCAGTAGCGTAGAAGACGATTGGACTCGTAAACGGGTTGGGGCTGTCTTCCCAGGAGTGGCCGCACATGGTTGTGGACTTTGGTAGCTTTTTCCACGTTTTTAGGTTGAAGATTTTCTGCCCGACTGCTCCGGGTTCGCGGCCTTGGCGTTGTCCACCGCCCTGCCCTCCACGTGCAGCGATATCCCTCCCCGCATAATACTAGCACCTGGGCCTCTCATGATTTGCTTCGCGTCAGGATTTTGTATGCAGGCTGACCTGTGACGTAAGAAATTTTCCAGCCGTTGCCGCAGCCATGCTTCCGCGCCAGCCTTGCAATGCCCTCGGAGGCACTACGCTATCCCGAGTGCACTGCATACCTCACCTGGTCGTTCACATGCTGCTCTCTACATGTCAAGAGCTCACGAACTTGGATGCGCAGTGCATCCTGAAAAAGAAAGAAGTCTGCGTTGAGTAGGCTGCTGAAAATCTGGAGTGTCATACCGTACTCTTGATGTTAGTTTGCTTTAATCTTCTCCTGGGTGCTGGACCTGTCTTGGAGCACGAGGTTGTTCTCTTATGGAAACGTGACGACCGGGCATAAGCTTTTTGATCTTTTGTGGAGTCTTAACAGTCAACTCTGGGATGAGCTGAGCTGATATCAGCATGTGGATACAGACGTGATACTGTATCTCTGACATGTTCACGCGAGAGATTAATGTAAGAGACAAGCGCGGCACAACCGAGAAGATATTGCTGCAAGTAGCAGAGGTAATATAGTTGGTCTGGTTACTATGGTACTTGAGATATACTGTACTGGAAAGATGAGCTGACATTCGTAGTCGTGACACACATGTATGAACTGACGGCGGGGCTATCACAGAAAAAGGAAAGCAGTATGTCCATTCATGCGCAGTTTTGCAGAAAGGGCACTATCCGCCCAGAACAACCCAATACGTAAATGACAAGAAAAGATATAACCGGTACGACTCCCAACCCCATAACTATGCTCGCTATCTTATCAGTTCGAAACCATCCACCATGCACCCGCGAGGATACCAATAAGGACAATGGTAGTCAGGAAGCCAGCTCCAGCCTTGTCACCAGTGGTGATCTCAGAGAATACGATGGGGTCATTCTCGGCTTCGCCTCCTGCAGAGGGGTCGCTCTTTGAGGTGCCGCCCTTCGTCTCGGTGACCGGTCCAGAGACGTTCGTGATCAAAAGATTCTGAATGATCTCCATGGCGGCCATCTGCTCTCCGACACCAGTGGAACCGTCATTCACACCGTCTTGCCACCAGCGAAGGCCGCATTGGTTGGTTCCGGCGGCGTTACACTGCTTTGCGGCTGCGGCTGCGGAAGTCCGAATCTTTGTCCACATCAAGTCCTTCGTCCAGGGAGCGACGAGCATGGTGTATCCCATCCAGCGAGCGAGGTAGGCCTTGAACGATCTTTGGTCGGTGTTGCACTTGCCGTTGAGCTCGCACGCGACTTCATACATAACGTCGTTCTTGAAGAACGTATCACCCATTGTCTTAATCATTTGGGTGATCCTGGTCTTCCAGATGTCATCTTGTGTCTGGTTACTGTCAGTGGGGATTCAACATTATCCTAAAGCTTACTTACGGCATTCCACATGGCAGCAGCGCCAGACAGATGCACACCCAAGTTGTAGGTCCACTGAATTTGGTTGATATCAGTGCAGTTCTTGGTCTCATCGCTACCATCGTAGAAGTGAAGATCCTTATCGAATAGACCGATGCGAGATTCCCAGTTCCAGGTCTTGATTGCCTCCTTGCTATAGGTGTCGTTGCCGGTGTATTTGAAAAGGCGGGCAGCAATGTTGAAGTAGCATCCGTTTGAGATGGTGTTTCGGTAAGTGTATCCATTGTTGAACTGGTAGATTTGCCAGTTTAGTCCGCCGCCACAAGTCTTGTCGTTCCATCGACCAGCCTGGGTGTTGAAGACAGCTTGTGCCAGTGCTAGCCATGAGGGTCCCGCCAAGTCACCCGTGGTGGGTAGATCGGGTAATTTGTTCTCTGCCGCCGACATGGCAGCCATACCCCAGAAGGCCTGGTCGTCATTTCCTAGTGATTTACTCTGGTTGGTCGGCATAAAGGCGTTGTACTGTCCGATCTGGTGCTGCATGGCTTGTACGGTGATGTTGTTGTATTGATCATCGCCCGTGTAGTACCAGTAATCAATCAGAGCACCGAACATCGCACCAGCCTCCCACCAGTAGTATGGGTCTGGCAAGTTACCCGCGACATCACCAGGTCGATCGCCCGTGTACAACTTGCGCATGCCTGCCGCAGCAATGCCCGCAGCCTTTTTGATGGAGGCTGGCCGGGTCAGAAGTGTCCGTGGAGAGCAGTGGAAAACGTACCTGGATCGTCTAGATTCAAGTCCATGGCGCCTGCACCAGAGAACAACAGAGCCGAAGCGCTCAGGGCGCCGAGCGCCGAAGAAGCGAACTTCATTATGTACGGTTATCCGGCCAGCGTCCTAGGCGGCAATTGGGAGCATGCAAATGCAAGCTTCAGACGGGGAAGAAGCTCAGCGCGGGGGAAGCAGGAAGTCTGCTTTGGATATGCCGTCGGAACGTCGTACGTCGAGTCAAGGTAGCGAGAGTGGCAGTGTTGGGGTGCGAGTGTCGTTTGGCGGCAAGGTGAAACGAGCGACAGGGCAGCGACAAAGGCGGACTTGCAGAGGTGCGCAAAGGCGGGTATTAGGGGAGGGCAGGTCGTAGGACGTGAAGCGGCGGGGTGAAAGAGCGTGGTGGAGTGGGCGCGCGGCAGCAGGTAATGGTCTGGTGGTTGTCTTCGCAGCTGGTCGCTAGCCTACGCCCCAGAGATTCAGGGGAGCGGCAAGTTAGCGGGCTCTTCGGACTTGTCGCAGCCTGCCAGGGTTCACGGCGCCAAGGAGGATTGACCTTCACCTTGGTCCGAACAACACGCCCACCGCTGGGAACAGGTCTCGCGGCACGCCCAAGCATCTGCTGAGGCACCGTCAGGCAGTCTACACGCTCGCTGGAGCAGGCTCGATCGCGCTTCACCTTCGTGCCCTTCTGCCAGCGAAGTCGGTGCTGCTGCGGCGGTCCGCGTCTCAGCCCGCTTCACAGACTCGGCGCCATGAATAGCAGCGCTGGGGTACGTAATCGCCAGGGCTCCGCTTTGTTGCCACAGCATCCCAATAGACCGCTGACCCAGCCTTTGGCTTTTTGCCTGCCTGGGCGTGCGCTGTAGAAGGCCGGGCAAGGCACGTGACGCTCAGCAGGCTTGCTGGACGGGTCTCGGAGTGGCGCAGAGCAGTGCATTCATCATCATCAGAGGCAGCAGCCGCAATAAGAGCGACCACTTGCTCCGGCGGTATGCACCCGGCATTTACGCACTCTTGCCTGTTCCAGTGGCAGCACGTTGCAAACCCGTCACCCGTGAATTTCGTCGTGTTCGAATTGTGAAAGTTGCACGACCAGCCTCAGCCTGCGCTCAAACCGTAACGGCGCTGTGACCAACTGGAAACACTCGCCGGGCTCCCAACTCTTCCACTTCGATCCTCCAACCTCCACACCACCACACGCCCATCACACCCGCTATCTCCACCGCGCTTTTGACCACCACGCCTGTCGCATCCTACTCTTAAAACACATCGCCTCTCATCATCGCCATGGCCGACCGCGAGCAGCCCTACGACCCGTATATTCCCGCCGGCGGCAATGCTCCCCAGGGCGGCGCCCAGGGCCAGAGCGGGAACCACCGCACCGCGGCCCTTCAAGCGGTACGTCGCTTTTCTGTCGTCGCTCGATGCGCACCGCGATAGCTTTGTTCCGGCGGGTGCTGCAGTGGTCTGGCGACCGCGCGCTCGAGCGAGGCCCGGACAGCTGGCATAGGCCGCGTTCAACTGCTGCAGCCATCGCAACGGTCACGCACTTGGGGCATGACCCGCCTCCAGTCGCTGCTTTATCGCATGTCCTTCACGGGAGCCCACGGCTACCCTTTCGCTTGTGCACGCAATGAACAAGGTCGCTGACATCACTGGTGATAGGAAATCGACAGCACCGTCGGAATCATGCGCGACAATATCAACAAAGTCTCAGAACGAGGCGCTCGCCTAGATTCGCTCCAGGACAAGACCGACAACCTGGCCACCTCAGCTCAGGGCTTCCGAAGGGGCGCCAACCGCGTGCGCAAGCAGATGTGGTGGAAGGACATGAAGATGCGCATGTGCCTCATTGTGGGCATCATCATTCTGCTCATCGTCATCATTGTCCCGTCTGGTGCGTCCAAGACCTCGCAACTGACGATGCACCGCTGACCAAAATAGTCATTGCAACGAAACATTAAAGTACCCACACATACCCCAAATAGCTAGTAATATGAGGAGAGGAGAGAAGTATGACGCCAGGGCGCAATGCCGACACGATATGGCTTGCACTGGTGGTCTATGACACTGGGTCTGTAAGTTTAGGTTCACGGCGAATTGGGAGCGACGGGACGGCTTCTTTTCTTGTCTTTCTCTGCATTCGAACGATCGACCTGCAGTGGGATACAACTGTTATCCTTGTTCGGGACGCCCCTGTTTTGCGATACCTGAAGGGGAGCTCTTAGCACGTCGTAGATGATATCAATGGAGCTTCAGTAATGGCTTGTTCTGGGTGATTGGCAATGCCTCGGTCTGCGAATGCTATCTCGATATGCGATCATCGTGCGACTAACCGCGCGAGATGCGGGACTCACGGCCCATCGATATTATGAATACGAGGTGCTCGACTGTGAAAGCTGTTTGCGAACGACGAGTAGCACTCCGCGCGTCTACGTTGATGTTTGTTCGAAGACGGGCGAATATGTTACAGCGTAGCGGTGAGGGTAACGGCCTGCGTAGAAGAGCGGCAGATCGAGCAGCGCATGTGCAACTCTGGAGACTGGCGGGACGGCTACACAGCGCGCCAGTCCATAACGGCCACGCACGATGATGTAGCATGCGCTTTTTGCAGTCATGAAAATCCAGCTGCGCCCCAGGTCCAATCACCGCGTGCCCTGGCCATACGGGTCGTGCCTGTTGCGGGGAGTGTTAGTGCCGAATATCGGCCTGGTCCGATTTTTTGCAACAGGCGCAGCTTTATCTGATCTGGTCTTGACTCTTTCACGTTTCCTCGCCAATTCCCTCTCCACTCCCCCGCCGCGTCCAGAGAGAGCCGTAGAGGCCGAGCCAGCGAGAACATCAGCCACCATGCAGGCCGTCGGGCGTTCTGGTGCTCGTTTGGCAGCACGCTCGTCCCGCCGAGTCACGGCAGCGTGTGGAGCTTCACGCACCCTGCAGACCGCCCTCGTCACCACCGCGCGCCCGTACACGTCCTCCGTCGACAGTCGCGATGCCACGTCCATGCGCTCTGCCTTCCTGAGCCTGCTCGGTAGCGTCAGCTCGCGCAGGGAGATTGACCAGTACCTTGCTCAGTTCCGCTCCGTGTCGTCGCAGCAGTTCGCTGTGGTCAAGGTGGGAGGAGCCATCCTGACCGACCACATCGACACGCTATGTCTGGCGCTGCAGCACCTGTACGCCATGGGGCTGTACCCCATTATCGTCCATGGCGCGGGTCCCCAGATGAATAAGCTTCTTCTGGACGCTGGCGTCGAGCCCGAGTTCATTGATGGCATAAGAGTCACAGATAAGAAGACGCTCGGCATTGCGCGCAAGCTCTTCCTGGAGGCCAACATGGACCTGGTGTTGAAGCTTAGGCAGGATTGGGGTATTCCGGCGCGGCCCATCACTGCAGGTGTGCTCGAGGCCGACTATTTGGACAAGGAGAAGTGGAAGTACGTTGGAGATATCACCAACGTCAACTCTCGGCCAATTGTGGACGCCTTGAAAGCCAAAGAGCTACCCATTCTGTGCTCCATGGCCGAGACTGTCGACGGCCAGATCTTGAATGTCAACGCCGACGTGGTAGCTGGAGCTTTGGCAAGGTCACTGGAGCCTTTGAAGATCGTGTACTTGTCGGAAAAGGGTGGCCTGTTCAACGGCGAAACCGGCAAGCTTATCTCAACCATCAACCTGGACGAAGAGTACGACTCGCTCATGAAGGAGCCATGGGTGAAGTTTGGCACCAAGCTAAAGATCGTCGAGGTCAAGAAGCTCTTGGACGATCTGCCCAAAACCTCCAGCGTCGCTATTATCCACCCGCAATACCTTGAGAAGGAGTTGTTCACTCACACCGGAGGTGGCACGCTCATCCGGAAGGGTGAGAGCATCCAGACCGTCAGCAAGTTCGAGGATTTCGAAGACATTGCAACGCTTAGGGAAGCCCTCTTGAGAGATCGCGAGAGCCTCGACTCTGGGGACGTCATCGACCGATACTTGAACAACCTTAAGACCAGACCTTTCGAGGCTTTCTTTGACGATTCCATGGGAGCTGTTGCCATCGTGTACCCTCCTTCCAACGACTCTGAGTTTGCCCGACTCTCTACTTTCACGACCACCAAAGATGCATTCTTGACCAACGTTGCCGACAACATTTTCGAGCGCATGAAGAAGAAGTACCCGAAGATGTACTGGACCGTGGAGACACAGGATGAAAATCTCGGATGGTTCAAGGAGAAGGCCGACGGAACCCTTCGACGGGAAAAGGAGATCTTCTGCTTTTGGGGCTCCGCAGATGCATCCGAAGTGGTGTCACTCCTGAGCGAGTTCTCTGAGCATGGCAGAGCCATGTTTGGCGACCAACACTTAGAAGCACAGTTGCGCAGGGCCGCCGATTACGCTGCAAGCCTGAAGCATGGACAGCAAGCCCGGGCATACTCCACGATGACTCAAGGTGCTCGCGTCATGGGTCAGTCGTCTCGGCCGACTTTGCGGTCACAGCAGGGACGTTCTTCGTCCCGCACGTTCTCCACAAGCGCACCACAATTCATTGAGAACACCAACCCGAACCCGCCATATGGAATCAAGTTCAAGAGTCGGGATTACCCGGCCAAGGTTGCTTTGATCGGCGCTCGTGGATACACCGGACAAGCTCTCATTGACCTCCTCAACCGACACCCCAACATGGACCTTCGACACGTTTCTTCTCGTGAACTTGCCGGCAAGAAGCTCGAAGGCTACACCAAGCGCAATATCACTTACGAGAACCTTTCTCCCGAGGACGTTAAGAAGATGGCTGAGAAGGGCGAGATCGATTGCTGGGTCATGGCGCTGCCCAACGGAGTGTGCAAGCCCTTTGTTGATGCTATCAATGAGTCCGGAAAAGAGGATGCGGTCATTATTGATTTGAGCGCCGACTACCGCTTCGACTCTTCGTGGTCGTACGGTCTTCCTGAGCTTGTCGACCGCCGCAAGATCTCCGACTCTAACCGGATAGCCAACCCTGGCTGCTACGCCACCGCTGCCCAGCTTGGTATTGCTCCTCTACTCGAGTTCATTGGCGGTCAGCCTACCGTTTTCGGTGTTTCAGGCTACTCAGGAGCAGGAACTAAGCCCAGCCCCAAGAACGACGTCAAGAACCTAGAGAATAACCTTATTCCTTACAGCTTGACGGACCACATTCACGAGAAGGAGATTTCGGCCCAATTGGGCAAAGAGGTCGCATTCATCCCGCACGTTGCCGTTTGGTTCCAGGGTATTCACGTAAGTCTTCCTCCACGCACTTACCACGCACCAACGCCATACTCACGCCGTCTAGCACACCATCTCTATCCCTCTCAACCGGACCATGACCTCCCGGGACATCCGCAACATCTACCAGGACCGCTACGCCGGCGAGAAGCTCGTCAAGGTCGTCGGCGAGTCCCCTCTCGTCCGCAACATCTCCGGCAAACACGGCGTCGAAATCGGCGGCTTCGCTGTCCACAGCTCCGGCAAGCGCGTCGTCGTCAACGCTACCATCGACAACCTCCTCAAGGGCGCGGCGACGCAGTGCCTGCAGAACATGAACCTGGCGCTCGGGTATGGCGAGTACGAGGGCATCCCGTACTAATTGCAACGGGATGTGAAGCTGGTAGTGCTGGCGACGATATATAGACCGTGCTCGTCTTGCGAATGGAGAACGGGGTCTCATTGGCGCTGCGACCTAGATAGGTTGTTTGTTTACTTTGTATATATCAGTTAGCATGGTCGGCCTGTGTGCGGGTCGGTTGTGCTTTGTTGTATGGTCTAGCTCCACGGCGTTAGGCTTTCCTGAGCGAATCAATCTTTTGCAATCTAGAGACTAGACTAAGTTGTGTGAGAGGTGCGTTTGCAGTGTCGAGTTCTGGTGGATGGCTCCTGCTCACTTGTGCTCGCCTTCACCTAGATCCGACCAACGTCACGCCCAGACTGGAAAAGAGCCTTTGCGCGCTTTCGCACTGCAAAAACATCTTCTGTCCCTCTTTCTTGCGCGACACCTTGAGACCATCGTCAGCTTGCGACCTACACCGTAGGTAAGTTAAGCATTGTGCTGTCTTGCAGGTCGTTCATGCTGGCATGGACAAGCTCGCGAGACACCCATCAACATGGAAGCTACTCTACCGGGGTTTCCCCACTGAGCTGTTACAGAACAGTGTGGAGCACATCGAATGTACTCACCCCTTTTTCGAGCGAAATGTACAACAGCGTACGCATGGCAGCCTTCGGGCGACGTGCAGAGAGCTCAATCACAAGCTTTCCCGGCCTTCCAGCATGCAATACTTCCGGTGCCTGGACCTCAAATTGGATGGAAAGGGTTTCACGACACTATCAGACCTAGCTCAAAGGCGAATTGGGTATCTATATCGATACGAGTACCATCGATGCCGAGACACTGTTTTGTAGCGAGCGTTGGACCGGAGCTCTGGGGGCAACACAATCTATGATATTTCAGACTACAGCAAGCCCTTTGGTGCAGTCCCCCTCATGTATAATATCCGTAGTCCGGCATTAAGTATTTCTTCAACGACGTAGTCCGCGACTTCCTAATCCAGGGCAAGTGTCGGGACCTGCGCGGAAAGGCTTTCACCGGCATGCCAGATTTGAAATTGCTTTCTCTATGGCAGACTGTACATACAGAGGCGTGGCGAAATAATAGAGTCCGAACCCAACAGCTCAAACTTCTTGACAAACTGGGCATGGATATAGCGGCTGGCGGTGACAGCGATATGAGCATCCTTAATACATGTCAATCAGCTGAATTAATCATTGCAGGCACATGTCCAGATTTTCAATGGTTCTTCCGAAAGTTACTGAGCAGAGTCTCCACTATTTCATACCTGCACCTAGGGTGGAGTTTGTGCACTTCTCCATGAGTGCAGCAACCAGATCATGCACCCTTTTCGAACAGATTTCGGAAGTGTCTCGTTTGGGAATATAGGACGCCTTTCTCTGTCCGATATGCTAACGCGAATGAAGTACATCCGTGTAGCGCTTCGTTCCTGTGAAGCGTCTTTGGGAATCTTGCTTCTCGAATGCATCTGCTTGAGTTCGGAGGATTCCTGCAGCTACGGTGGGATCTTCCGAGTCTTGGTTGACGAAACGGACTTCAAGGAACTTTTTCTATACTGCATCAATCTTGGAGGCGGTGGAGTACGTTTCACTCGTATTCATGATGTTCGATGCATGCGTCGTCACTGCAGCTGGGATTTGCCCGATATGAATACATTCTTGCCTGAAGATGGAGACAGCTAGAAAAAATTTGCTTCCGCGATTGGATGATCGTACGGATCATCTCGGTCCAGCCTGGTCTTGGGATGGTGAGTGGTAGTCCAATAGTCCCACACCTAAGCCACAGCCTCGATATGACAACAGAACAACAGAAGTCATCCCTTGTGGACGGTAAACACTAGTGAAGACATAGTTCGAGAGCTTCGGAGAAATCAGCTCCGCCGCTTTGGAAAAAGAGAGCATGAAACATCCATTGCACAGCCAAACTGGCAGGCGACGTTCCAGGTCTCGCAATTGTAGGATCTTCCTCAGATTGAGATCTCGGGGTATAACAAGGGAGTCATCAGATGCACGGGGTGACGCGGGAAGGAACTCGGACACTGCTCCTTTGCGAACCTGAATCTTTTCGGGCATATTGACGTACTCGTTGCTTCCAGGCATAGTTGGAATATCTTCGATCCAGCTTCGAAGAGTGAAAGTCAACAGACTACGTAGTCATGCTCCTCAGTCGGAAAATATGTATCCACATGTTCCAAAAGAGCTCGATCTCATGGTGCACTACGTCCAAGTGACATCCCGCTCTATCCCCTCGACTCATCTCAGACGAATACTCTTGAGACACGCGGAGGACTTCATTCATACAGTGCAAGCACCCTAACACATCATGAGATAGCTATTTTTCTCAAGCACAATTACTCCCCTCTCCAAACCACCTCCATAACCACCATGTACGTCAACGGATTCGCATCCACCCGCACAATCTCAAACCTCTCGTCCGCCCTCTCCACAATCCCCTTCCACGCCTCCAAGCTCCTCTCCCTCGCATTAAACAACGCCATCATCCTCAAATCTGTGCTCGTCCCAAACTGCGTAATGCTCCTCGGCAGCCCCGGATCAATCTCGCCCTGCTTGCCCATGTAATCCATGAACAAGATCTTCGCGCCCGGACGCAGCGCAGGCCGCAGCTGCTGCACGATCTTGATGGCCTGCGCGTCGGGCCAGTCGTGCAGAATCATCTTGAGGAGGTAGATGTCGGCGGACACGGGCTGCGGGTTGAAGAAGTTGTGCTCACGGAAGGTGACGCGGGAAGCGAGGGTCGCGGGGACTTGGGAGGTGAAGATGGGGCCGCATTCGTGGAGGTCCTGGACGGTGATGGTGAGGGAGGGGTGGGCGGATGCAAGGGCGAAGGCGTCGTGGCCGCCGGAGCCGCCGATCTAGGGGGGTAAGTGTACTATCAGAGAGAGAGAGAGAGAGAGAGAGAGAAACAGGGCTTTGCGAAGAGAGACTTACATCCACGACATGCGCGCTCCCTTCCTTCTCCCAATCCGTGGCACCGAGCAACAAATCGACGGTCCCGAAGATGTCCTTTAGGTACGCCATCCACTCGATGAACGTCCGCTGTCTCCACCCTTTCTTCTCCCCAACGCCATCGTTCTCCAGCAACTCCCAGCTGTTCTTGTAGTCACCGAACACTTCGCCCCCACTGTGCGCCAGCTTGAATGCCGTTTCGCTGACATCAGTCGGTAGGTCCTTCTTCCCAAGAGAAAACTTCTCCAGCGCCTCCGGCATGACCAGCATTGACGGCCCGACATTCTCGATGCAGCCGCTAACCAGCGCGCGGAGGCCAGGAAGGCGGGCGAGAGCAGCGGAGCGGGAGGTGTGCTGGATGGGGGATGTAGAGGGATGAGCCGGGTCGGCATAGGCAAAGTAGCGGATTGTGGTGGCGTGTTCTATTACGCGCTGGACTGCTTCTTCGGGGAGGTTGACTTGCTGAGCTATGGATTGGACTGAAGCCGAGCCGTCGAGGGGAACGGCCTCCCAGAAGTTGAAGCGGTTTAGGATGTTCAAGGCGGCCATGTCGGGGACAGCCTGTGCAGGTCAGTGTCTGTCTAGGTAGAGGTACTACCAAACTCTTGAATCAAGTTGCGCTCAAGTGTACAACACGGTGTCCTATCTCACAACCGCCATAGCGAATAGCCTCGACTGAGCACCGCCCAGAGTAATATACCAGCAACTTACATTGTGCGCATAGTTGAACACACTCTCGCTCGGCCCCTGCGAGATAATGGAAAGATCATTCATCGCATCCTGCAGCTTCTGCTTCGTCGTAAAGATCTCAGGCGTAAACTTCGAGATATTGACAGGGCTGTCCGACGCCAATGTCGGCGCCTCGACCTCGCTCTCCTTGAGCAGCCGCTCCAGCGTCTCCGATAGCTCTTTAACCTTTGCCCCGAGCTCGCTGAGCGTGGGCCTGAGATTCGATGATGCCATTGCTGCGAACAAACCCGAGTTTTCTCGTCTTAATAGTTGTATGCTTCTAGGGAGAGATTGCCACCTTATACTCGTGTCACTCGCATGCGCAAAGTTTTCTCCTTGCGCTTCCGCCATCGGCGTCGTATAGCTAAGCCTCTTTGCTGGTATGCCATCACGTCGTTGTGCATCTTGTCCCTCTTGGCGTGGACGACGAGACAGTGGGTATGCCTTCCACAGGCGATCATGATTCGTTGTAGGAGGCCCGAAAGGCGAAGTACAGCCGTGATAAGATAGATCTAATCAATCAGATTAGATTTTCCTTGCAATGCCAATGTTGCCAAGGGCGAAGCGGGCAGCGACCTGCTGGATGCTTCTTAGGCGATGGTGTCATAGGCTCCGAACAGGCGACCGAGGCATCCGCGGGGTTAAAACGCTGGGTCGTGTTTCTAAGACACCAAGACGGAAGAACCCAGCCTAGGGTTGCTCGATGCGGAACACCATGTTAGACGCCTTGAAAAGCATTGTATGACGGGTAGGGAGAACGGAGAACAACGCCACGTGGATCGATCTCCACTAATTTGTCCGTCGCTAAGCAGTAGAACGGGGCCTGATCAGGGGTACTTTTATACTGATGTATATATGCATACACACACTACTGATAGCGAAATCGGATCAGCCAACTGCTCACTATATACCATATGTAGCCATTCTCAGACCATTAGCAGGTCGCACACTAGCTCGCCGAACTCACTCGCCTTCCACTGACGACTTCCACGACGTGGTCGACATCGTTTTTTCTTTCGCCCGCACCCCTGAAACTCTTCCGACCTCGAACGAACCAGTCCACTGCAATGATGATGACTACCACGGCGTACACTGCACTGACATAGTTCATCGTACCTGCCTCCACAGGCTGGACGTAAGGGAAGGAGTACATGATGAGTGTGAAGAGAGTCCAGGCAAGAAGTACAAAGTTGGAGAACATTCCGAAGGGACCGAGCCAGAACGGGCCGTGCTTGATTGTTGAGCGACCGCGTGCAAGTAAGCAGACCACAGGAATCGCGTACGAGATGTAGAGAAGAACGATGCAGGCAGTAATCATCCTGTGCTTGTGTGAGTGTCCGCCGTCCCGAAAATTGGAAGAACTTACGAGTTGAAAGCCGTCAGAGAAGCAAGGTAAAGACAGCCGATGATGGCCACAATAACACAGGACACGAAATGCGCATAAACGGGTACGTCTAAGCCCTGATGCACTTTGCCGAGCCATCGGTGGCCCGGAATGCCCCTGTCCCTTGCAAAACTCCAGCACAGCCTGCTCTGCCATGTATGGCAGGCGATCAGGCATCCGAAAGCTGTGGCTATGATCATAGCCTCGAGACATATTGCGCCGCCCTTGTTTCCTATCGCTCGGTAAAATAGTTCAAGAATCGGCACCCCGGTCGAAGTGGCAACAATCTCCTGGAAATCGCCGACAATGGAGAAGAACATTGCCACGCTCCAAAACCAGCCAGTGACGAAACCAATTCCGACGGTTCCCATGATGGCAATAGGCACCATCTTTTCAGGTCGGTGGACTTCCTCGGCAAGGTGGGTAGCGCAGTCGAGACAAGCAAAGCCCCAATTTACGTTTACCATGCCGACAATGAACGCGATCCCGCCTTCTTGCCATCCAGTATTGTTAATGAAGGTGGCAAAGACGAACTTTGCGTGCTGGTGGGTCGGCGCGATTGCCGGGACGGTGACCATGGTGATGAACCAAGATACTAAGGTGGTATAAAGGGCCACTTTGGCGACTCTGGGGAGTGTCTTGCCGTAGCAGTTGAAGAAGAAACAGAAAATGTTGACGAGTTGGTATGCAACGAACACCATCCACCTATCGATGACACTGTGCGGCAGTCAGCTGCGTTACTCTTATGCTGTGCTCAGTAGTGGTCCAGTCTTGATACGGCGCGCTCAGTCATACCAAGAATGATACCTAAGCTGGGGACCAGGAACACATCGACTCACAGATCTGGATGGGTGAGCTGGTACGACCCAACTATCGCACTACCAGCGGCCAAAGCCACGCTCGCGCTGGTGAACATTGCACCCGCCCAAGCAAACCATCCCGTGAGGTAGCTCGCGAGGTTTGCATATCTCTTCGGCGCCAATTCGTTTGCCCAAAAGTACTGCCCGCCCGCGTTGGGCATGGCACTAGCCAGCTCGCTCAGAGTAACGCCGACGGATATCGACACCACGAAAATGATGATGACACCATAGATGACGAGAAGCGGTCCTCCTGAGTTGATTCCGGTGACGAGAGCCGCGGAGATTCCGAACCAGGTATTCGTAAGTGAGAAGCCAACGGCAAGGACCGACAGCACGCTAAAGTTTCGCTTCATGTCTTGTGTGTAGCCCATCTCTGCCAGCTTGAGGGCATCTTCATCGATACTCGAAGCATCTCCTTTGGTCATGTCAACTGACTGTTGTGGCGCGAGTGCCTTCTCATGGTCGGAATCGCCCATCTTGATGTGCTCCCGACTTCCACGGCGAGACTCGAGACGGAGGAGCTGCTCGTGCGGACGTTGCCGCGTTGGGTCGTATCCTGGGTAAATATGCGAAGGATCCCGTCGCTTATGCTGGGGAAGCTTGTAGGGGTGAGCACAAGCAAGCGCAGCCTACGAACAATGAAAAGAGACAAAGCCAGAGGGTATGCCGCGCGAGGAGGGGCGAAGATGGCGATATTTACACCATCGGACGTAATCGTCTAGGATGGTGAAGGCAGGGAAAGAGCGCAGATAAGGCACGACGACGAATGGGAAGGCGCCAATCATACGATGTGCAAACGCAAGCGCAGACTTCACGCCGGGGAAGCACGACCGCAACGTGCTCCTCACCACCAACCAGGCTTGCCATCCACTGCCACGAGTGCCGACGCGGGACCGAGCCCGTGTAGAGACCCAATCCTGACTATGCGGGCAGTCGTCCTCGGACGAGTAAACACCACGGACACGTCGGTCCACTAGCTGGATCAAGCAATCGGACGCAGAGACGAACGCTTAGGATGGGCGTTCGTCAAGCGCGTGGGTGAGGCGTGCGGAGAAAGAGACGGCGTCCATTTGTTTTGGTTCCAATAGGGCGGAGCGATTGGCACGCTTAGGCTCGAGCAAGGAGTGCGGACCCTACCCTATAGTACATCATGATAGCACTTGGGAATGCTATCTTTGATTGTCAATGATTGACCAGGTATCTCGACTTGTCCTGACAGGAAGTGACATTGACAGACAACGGCGGCACAGCGTCTGTATGTCTCAAGCCCGCTTCCTTTGTCGTCCGGGCACGACGCGCCGCGTGCTTTCATGTTGGTGACACTCGAGCCGGCAAATCGTGCATACGATAATTACTCGTATTCCAAGATACTGGGCAGGCCGCGGAAGCGGCTGCAAATGCCCCCCGAGCGCCTATCATCGACGTTCTGACCCAATCTGCAGCCGTCACCAGGTGAGCATTACATGCGTGCCGGCGCAGAGAGCAGGGTGCCATTGGAAGCGGAACCGCGCCCGCGCATGCAAAGACACTGCGTTAGCTCGTGATTTTTTTGGGGTTGCACAACAGCTGGTCGCCCCGAATGATCATCTTGCACATTCGGGCCACAGCAAATCTCTCGATAAGTGTATCTTCTGATGTATCTGCGCGGGTCGTCCAGCTGCGGATCCGCAGGAACACGAGCTAGAGATGTAAGCTAATCTTCTCTCCCGCTGCCAACGCGTACGCCTATCTTCTGGCGCGCGGCTAGAAACCTACCGGAAGCGGTATCTGAGTCCAGGCGAGACGTCTTGATCCGATTGCTATCTAAGAGATGGTCTCCGAGCTTCTTCGATACCTGATGCTGCGACTTTCAGAAAGCAACAACGCACTATGCACTAGATTGCGTCTGAGATCAGCTGTGGCGTCGGCAGGTAACCGCGCATATAAGAGAGCGGCCCGCGCACTCTTCTTCTGGAAGGCGTATCACCTTCGCAACGTTTCTTGTAAAACTCCTGCAGATGTTGTGCAACCGGCAATGAAATCGCTTCCGTCATCGTAGCGGGTCTCGCGGGATGAGTTGCATAGCATGAGCGCAACGGAAGTTGATGGGTAATGATGAAGGTAGCAGATGGATAGCCTGTCTAACAGATAATGTCATGGAACTGGCCGCGAGCTCACACACCATCTGATGCACTTGGAGCGATCTGTGATCGTGATGTGCAAACGCATAGAAGTATACTGGGTATTGGTGCAGGTGCTCTTGACACCGGTAGGCCATACCCGATCGATGTTCCTCTTTATAGGCCACTGAGTACATCGCCTGAGATTGTCCAGACTGCACCCGAAGCAGAGGAAGAAATCACGTGTCCAGCCTCACTTTTTCCTATCAGAAGCAGGAAACATTCTGACCACAACACAGGCCCAACGAAGCCGTAGCTTGGGTGTTTCCATTGCACCCGCCGCACACAGTAACGGTGCACTGTAAGATTCAGCCGAGATCCGAACCTCATCGAGTCCTGTACCATGTTACATCAGCTCCTTCTGCCAGCTGCTGCCTCGGTGCCTGATCAACGTGGTATCAGGAACGTGTCACGAACCACAAGTTGCTTTTTATGCGCTACTTCGCGCCTTCCCAACAGATCATTCTGACGGCATACTTCCTACTTGGCACGAAAACAAGTCTGCTTGCGTTAGCTCGTGTATGGAATTGCGATCACGCCTCGTCTGAGTGTGACACTGGTCAAGACCGCAATGTCGTGTACATGCATCAGCGGTGTTGGCGGCGTGGGCGGGAGAGATCTCTGCGCGACTGCCTGTTCCTGACTGCCACCACAAGATGCTGCGCCCCGCGGCGATGCGATGGAATCTGTATGCAGGCCGCTTGAACGGGGACAAGAGTAGCTACTTTGAGCTTGGCCTTTCTGTGTGTAAGCATCGTGTTGTGTAGCACAGCATAGTCTTCCCGATGCGGCGATGCGGTCTCCGGATTCAGAACGTGTACATTTCGCCCCACATGTACACGCACTGCAGCGCAGGGAAACCTAGACGATGCTCAACCACGAATAGAGAAGCGATCGACCGGGAGTATGACCCTGCGGCAATGCGGCGAAGCCACTCTATTGCTGCGCGGCCATGCAAACTTGTGCAACACAACCAAACCCGCGAAGCGATCAAGAGCATGATTACGAGTTTTGTACGATTGGTGATGCTGTGAGGGGACTCGAAAGTACATAAGATATCGTGAAACAAGCTGCAGAGATATCGATGTTGTAGGAAAGCGGGTGACAGACAAGTTACTGAACAGGTCCAGTAGGTGATAGTAGGAAAACTCCTCGCCATATCCACGTAAAGCCGTACAGCATCCATAAACCTAACGCTACAGCCCAAGCGCCCAACATTGCCCTCATCATATACCTCCATCAGTTCCTACATATGCAGACCATTGCGGGCTAGACCAGAATACCGGCCGAGCCGCAGTTTTGATTATTTTCGCCATTAGTAGGGGTATCCATATCCGAGATGCGCCGCCGGTGCTGTCTGCTCCAAGTGAAGACAGAAGCGGATGTATCAAATTCAGCTCAGCTTCTGGTCCTGCGGGTAGTGCTGTGCAGGGTGGCGGGGCATACCGCCTTGGGGCATTCCCGGGTACTGCGTTGACGGCTGCTGTTGCTGGAGGTATTGCTGGTAGTGCAGGGCGGCTTCGGGGGTCATGTACGCCGCGGGCATGCCGCCGCTGGGCGCCATTCCACGGGGCTGGCCAGCGGGGACCTGGGCGTGGCTGTCTTCGGGAGAGTCGACTGGGCCGTCGTCGACGCCGTTTGAGTTGTCGGTCGAGGGCTCTGGCGCGTTCAAACAGGCCTGCGACGCGTTAGTTTACAATGCGAAGGCGACGGGACGCGACTTGCGCACCTGGATGAGGTTCTTGCCCTCGGGTTTCGTGACAAGCGGCTGCAGCTTGGGCGTTGTGAATGTGTACACGAGACCCGTCTCAGAGACGACGAGCAGCAACACCTGGGTGCCGGTGAGGACTGATAGTTCGTAGGCCTGCACATAATAGATCGAGTTAGCGAGGAGCGCTGCGCGAGGGTTGTTTCTCATGCGACGCGGGTAAACAGGGTGCGCGTTAAGACGGGGATGCTGCTAGCAGGCGTGCAGGCAGCGCGAACGTCGACGCACCTTCTTCATGATTCCGGCCTTGCGCTTGGAGAAGGTGATGTGCCTCCTCGACTTGTCCTGGATGAACTTGATCTCGATCTTGCGGCGCTCGCGACCGGGCTTGTCGTCGTCGTCATCGTCGTCGTCCTGAGCCGGGCGCGGGCGCTTGGTGCCACGGTTTGCATCGCCCTGCACGAGCGCGCCGTTGTTGGTGAGGTCGTCGTGGACGCTGGGCGACGCGTTCTGGTCGTGGTCGGTGATCTCAGAGGCCATGGTGTTGTGGTGGATTGTATTGGTTGCGCGTGTTTGACCTAACTGCTTTTGCGGGCGAGGTGCTTTTGTGGGGATTTCCTGTTTGGCCCTTCCGGCGTGGAGTGGTCGTTACAGGCGCTGTGGGAGGGGTTAGGCCAAAAAGAATCGGGGCGGTTGAAAGAGGAAAAGCAGGCGCGCTTGGAATGAAAAAGATCAGTGGTTCGGGGGCTGCGCTGACTGAACCCTTTGTGGTGGGCGGGCGGGCAGGAATGCAAGGAAAGGGCAGCCAGAGGGGCGCTTCGGTCGCACAGCGGCCGGCGGAGGCAGCGCGGCCCATGGTTGGCGGGCAGCTGATAGTGCGGCGGCAGGGAGAGGCTGGGGCGGTACGTACCTGTGCGTGCAGAGCAAGACTCGGTTCAATCGGGTGGCTACCGTTTGGGCCTGGTTGGGGTGAGAGGGAGCGCAGGCCTGGGGCGCCGTTGCGGAGGCTGGGCCGAACGGGCTTAAAGAGGAGCCCGCCGTGAATGGCAGCGATGGACACAGCGCGCTGGGAGAGGCTCGCGGGCGGGCACTGGGCAGTGGGAGTGTCTCAGAGAGGGAAAGCGACGGAGAGATTGGGGAAAGTGAAACGGGCGGCAGCACGTATTATTTTGACGGCTCCCGACGACTGGGGGCGGGACACGGTTGGCTGCGCTTGGGGACCTCACCCTGCCGACTGAGTCGCTGATCGCGCGGGCGTCGCTGCGCGCGGGCGGGTTGGCGGGCACGTGGTCGCTCTCAGTGCGCCGCTCAAGGGGCCGCTGCGCTCTTCTTTTTCCCGCTGCCGCCGCTGCGCTCTTGAGCGTGCAATTCACCCCCGTTCACTCTTCGACATGTCGCGCGCTCAATCAGGCAACTGTCAGTGCCTCTCTAAGCAGGCACGCCCAGCGCGCTTTCCCCAGCCGGGTGGCCAGGGTGTGCCTCTTGGTCCGCCTAGCGCGACTGCAGCAGCCAGTCAGCACGCCGGCGGCCCACTTATGGCAGCGCTGCTCTTGTATCTAGCGTCTCCTAGTCTGGCCGCTAGCTGCTGACCTCAGCTTGTGTATGCCGGCGCCGAAGCAGCCTCGACGGCGGCCAGGCGGCGCTCATGTGCACCCCAAGGCGTCGGGGCAGTTGCATCCTTACCGCCTTCCGTCTTCGGCTGGCCTCGGTCCAGACGCTGCAGGCGCCACCAACCTTCACCGCAATACTGCGAACGTGCATCAACACCACGCCGGCGACGCGTCGTAGCACGCCCGCGAACACCGACGCTGCGTGTCGTCCGCCAGCAGTGTCTCTTGTCGATACAGACGCTGCATCTGTGCTGCTCAGGTCGTACGACGCCTTCGCAAAACGTCGAGCCACACTGCGTTCTGGCACGCTGATTCGCCCGCGCACCGCCTGCTACACTGCTGAAACCAATCAAGCCTCAACCTCGCCCACTTGCGACGCGCCCGCCAGAGCCTCTTAATGCTACTGACCGCTAGATACTATCCCCCATGCTCCTCCACTCGCCTTCCCGTTGTTTTCCTCTCTTTACTTCGTTTCTCTGTACCTAATTTTCAATTCCAACCATCGTCGTTCGCGAGCTCGCCGGACGGCTCTGCATCGACTTCCATTCATTCATACACTCAAGTGCAGCAGGCCTCTGCCAATCTCCAACTGAGTGACACCCTTAGACCGACTGCGACCGTCCCGTAGGACGATTATCCGCCGCCATGCCCACCAAGCTGATGATGATCTTTGTGGGGCTGGACTTCGTCTTTGCTGGATGCGGAGGACTGCTGCTAGGCTTCTCCTTGATGTCCGAACAGCGGATGCGAGAGTCTCCCAGGGTGGACAACGTCACCGAAAATCTGCTCCTCGGCCAATGTCCACTGACAGGTACGATCAATACATGGCGCAACTGTGGCGGCGCCTGTGCTGGGTCGGACAGACCGCGACGATATTGATGTTCCATCAAGTTGCACACGCAGCCACAGGCGGTCGAGGCAATGGACTAACAATTTTGCAGGCGGCGTCGTAAACGCTGTCTTTATCTTCGTCACATTCCTGCTGTCCCTACCTGCGCTGTTTCTCCCGGCCAATCGAGGCTGGCTACGTACGCAAGGCTGGCTGGTCGTCATCTGCGCCACTTTTACCCTTGGACTCGGTCTCGCAGTGTGGGTAGACACTCTGCAAACTCGTGCCCACCTCGGCGAGCTCTGGCAGCGCGAGGCGCCTCTCATCCAGAGTCTGCTGCAACAGAAGGTTCGTGGTATCCAAACGCTAAGCATTTTCGATGTCCGAGAACGGCACAAGTGTTGTGCCGCAGCTTTGTTCCACTCCATAGGATCCAGAGCGGGTGCTATCCCAAAGACGGTGCTGACATGAACCTAGTTTGATTGCTGCGGATACTTTAACTCGACTGCACCTCCGTTTGTCCAGGATGGTACCTGCATCAACTCGCTCGTTGCTGCGCAAAAGGGTGGCTGCATCGGGCCATTCTCATCGTTCGCCAACAGATACCTCGACCTGATCTTCACTGCTGCATTCGGTATCGTCGGTGTCGATGCGCTTCTCGTATTGTGTGTCGCGATGGTCCTCCAGTACAGGTCGGAACAGGAGCGCTACAGGCACATTGACGAGAAGAACGGTCTTGGTGGATTGTAGTAGGGGTACGAAAAAATACATGGAGGGGTGGCAATGTGTAGAGGAAGTGTCCAGATGGGTTTTGCAAGAGATGGCTGGACAGCTCGTGACCATATCGACTATCTGAACGTCTCTTACTTTCCCAACCATCTTCAGACATTATTGCGTGGCGGTAATGGCAACTTCAGCAGCGCTGAGGGACTGTATATCCTTTCTTTGTTCATACATTGAGTTTCTGCATTAGCGCTCTTCTCATAGATCAATCCGCCATCATGTGCAATGAATATTCAAGGACAGCATCACAACAATCGCGAATGCCACTTCTGATGTCTCAATGGAGCGTCTGTAAAGGCACCCTAATGAATTCTGCAATGTTTCCTCGCAAATCCGCTTCGTTTTTACACCCTCGTGTCTCGGCCCCCAACTCCTACCCGATACCGGCAAGCCGCAAACCGCACGACTCGTGTCCTGCATCGAATCTGCACCTCCTGCATCTCCCCACATTAATTGTGAACGTGACCAGTGAGGCACGCTCCGGTCAGGCCAGCACAGTTCCACGACCCCGCTTGTGCAGGTGCTGGCATCGGGAATCGTTTGCGCGAGCCCCGGGTCTCGAGAACCGCGTGCAATTCGCACGCCCACGGACTCTGCTGGGCAGGACAGGACGGGCAGGAACACGCGACGCATATCTGCTGCCGTGTCAGCTGACGCTTCCTAAAATAACCCCGCGGGCCAGCCTCATCTCATCTTCATCTCACCTGGCCCGGTCTGGTCTGGGTGACATGGGCTGGGTGGCCGGCTGCGCGCTGCCTTATCATCACGGACGAAATTGCATTCCCGCACGGCTCGACTTGGCGAACCTCGCGTGCCATCCCAACCTCATCAAACAACGCAACGGGCACCTGGCTCGTCGCTGCGCGCTCCAGGAACGCGAGATGAGTTCGTGGCGATCCCCCTGAGACACGCCAGCGAGCCGGACGCGCCGCGACACGTCGGCAATGTCGGGCGAGCTGGGAGGGAGCTCTGGACGCGCGTGCTTGAAAGGCGTTTGGGACAGGGGTGCGTAACGTTGGAGCGGGATGGGCCGCGGCGCGAGCTAGGCGGTTCGAGGGTGCGTGTGTGGGCCCACGGTGAGCTCGACGTGGGCGCGTCGTAGAGTGAGATTCTACGCTGTAGGTGGGTAGGAATGTCTGCGCAAGGTAGACAGTAAGTCTCAGGGAATAGTGGGTGTGATCAGTATAGTCGGCAATAGATAGGCAGTGTGGGTAGGAGGAGACGTGGGTTTGCGGTCTTAGAGATAGGTCAGTCGTGTGGGCGCACATCTGCTGAAGGTTCTTGCCAGCGACGTGCAGACTTACTCTATGCTGCGGCATATGGAATATTCTTCTCATACGCTTTCCTCGTGACGTTTGGAAGATGTTTCCTTCCTTGAACACTCTTTTGCCGTCCTCTGGTAAGCAGAGCCCACCGTGGAGCTCTGCTTGAGTTGCCTCTCCAACCATGTATACGACCCCACATGCTTCCAGATAATTGATAGTGTCTCATAAACTCCCAAGAACAAACATGCGTTGTCTGCGCCACGTCTAAGCTTTCATCCCCCTCCTCTGATGCTAAAATATGAAGTGCCACAGAAAGCGTAAGAACTGAAGAAATCCAATTCTGTGTCAGGTGTCCCTCACACTATAATCGCGATTCGTATTACCTAGTAGCCTCTCGAACAGTGCTTTTTTATTGCCACAAATTCCTCGCGCAAACAAAGCCCTTGTAAGTTCCGGAATCAGCTCGTCTCTCTGCATGGTAAAAGAATGCGAAATGGATTCGGAGACATGATTATCAGGCTACAGTTTTCGCTCTTGCTAAGGTACTTGCATACCATTCGTTCATTACTGTAGGCTCTTTGCGGGGTTGGCGTCGAAATTTATCTTTGAAGTCGGCAAGGTCTGTCCGAGAGACGAATATGTGAATTTGAACTACCTCTCGATTGGGACCCGCAAAGAGTTCACACGAACGTGCCCGCAGTAAGTTGAATATGATGCTAAAAACCTCCCAGGTTGCCTTGCTGCATGCATTCTCTACTTGCGTGCATGCATGTGTTTTCTAACCGTATGTGACGTGCATCCTGAAGCCAGCAAATTGACTGTTGTATCACCGAACTGATTATATCGGGTCACACACGTCCTCAAAAGGAACGATGAATGGTGCATAATAAAGTTTAAGTTTTCTGTCCCTTCCACACCTAATAGCTATAGTTGTACTTGAGGTTTTCCATAATTCTTCCGGTGCTGAAGGCGTAGAAATTTAGCTAGTTGAGACATTAGCGCGGGAGAAAGTAATTCAATCAAGAATATACTATAGTGACTACTCGATTTGGTCTGGATGGCCAGGAAGACTTTTACGTCTGTGGGATATGAGCCCAAATGGATCTGCATCTACATACGTTGCTCACTCTTGACGGTCTCTACGCCGGGTACGGCCACACCGGAGACTGAGACCTCCAAAGAGTCTCCATTTCGCTCAGGCTTCAAAGCGCTGTCCATAGCCGCATCCATACTCTCCTCAGCAGCTACTCTTACGCCAGCGTCATGTACGTCAGCGACCTCGGTCTTAACGCCATTTCCAGCTCACATTTCACTTGTCCTCGGTAGTTGCAGCTTCTTCCTCGCAAAGAACTTCGCGAAGGTCGCCTTGTCACCTTCACTCTCTTCCTCCCCACCAAAGACATGCCTCGACTTCCGCCCACCTATCCGAACAACATGGCCTAGTCTTATATGCAGCCTGTCACAGGCATCACTCGCTGTCAGTCTCGATAAATCCGTGATCGCACCCGCCACATTAATGCTGTTCCCTATCAGTCTGATCTGCTGTGCAAGCGCATCGACCTCTCGGTTGAAGGCATTGACTTCGTCCGACGTCGGATTTGGCGGTTCGATGGGCTCTTGCGATTCTTGCGATTGAGACGGGCTGGTGATTAGTTGGAAGGGAACAGTCAGTGGGCCTGGGCCAATAGCGATATCGAGGAGCATGAAGTGCGCGGCCAGAACGTTGTAATCGATGTTTTTCTGTACGCGGAAGGTGGTCGATGTTTGGAGGTAATCATGTATCGACTTGAGAGTCTCAGGGCTGGTGAGAGGGTGAGTGATCTTCGCTGGGTGAAGCAAGAATGAGAGGGCGAGATGGCGTTGAAAGGAAGCCGTAAGAGGATAGCGAGTCGGCAGCGCAGTGACGAGGTTGCGCTGGAGGATGGGATGTCTGACGCGAACAAGTAAGTGGGATATGATATCCTCCAGTATGGAGGCGATTTCGCCCGTGTTGGGTATGGGGCATATGAGGGACTCTATAGTATCTTGGACAGTGCGTAGCACAGCGTTGTCCATCTGCACCCCGTTGTCCATGCAGAGAATGAAGAGAATCTTGAGAGCTCGTCTTCTTGAATCGACATGAAACAGTGAACCTGGAAGCTGTAGAAGCTTGCAAACGTTGGTCAACGCCGGAGGAAAAGTGCGGCGTTCTCCTGGATCCGATCCATAAGAAGGAGCCACCTCCGAGTCTGATGTGGTATACTGCCTGTCTGCACCAATGTTGTTGAAGATCTCCTCCAGTCTCGCTACGTCGAGTAGTTTTCGCAACTGCAATTGACTCGCACTGAGAATTTGGAGATACTTTTCACCGAGGGCTTCGCTTGCGCCGAAGCATACTTCATCGATCATCCAATCTGCGAGCTCTTCTGGCAGTTCTCGACTGAATAGGAGTCTTGCAAAGCCAGATGTGAAAGCCTGATCCCTGGAAGTTTCGTCTCGAAACATGTCAATCATTCCCGGGTTTATGCTATCGATTGGAAAAGGCTTCTCAAAATCATCTGGTCTCTGATTGAAGAAGTGGAAGACACAGTCTACTTGGAAAGCATTGGTTCTCTGCATAGCCAGGTACAGCTTCTTTGCCTTGTCGGGGTCGTCTTCATCATGCACTACATCCGCTACCGTGTTCTCGCTGAGTTTGAGACCACGCTGAGGCGATTCCTGGCGCAAAGGTTTGTCCAGCTCGGCCTGCGCTTGTGCGATCTCCTGCTCCCTCTGAGCATTTTTCTTAGCCGCTTGCACCAAGCGTTTGAAAGCATGGTCGTCTTTCTTTCTTTTGGGTGGCTGGGGCAATGCAAGAGCTTCTGGGTCTCCTCTTGTCCAGACTGCGGCTGCTCTTGTGACCGCCTTCGATCTAGCGGGCCTGTAGTCCAACAGGTCCTCTAGATCAGTCAAGGAGTCAGTATCTGAGTCGGAATTTAGGACCACTGGATTCCCTCTAGAGAAGGTTCTCTTGCTAGCATTAGTCGAGTTGCCGGACGATTGCGGTAGGCTGGGTAAGCCGCGCTCTGCGGTGTCCTCGTAGCTTGCGATACCGCGTGGGTCCGTTGGCGACGGGGAGCGCGATGCTAGCGGAGAAGAGGGCGAGGAGGGCGCGGCTTCTTCTAAGCCACCGTCGTTCAAGGTAGTCGTCGGGTCGTTTGTGGGTGTTTCCTGGATGGTGGACGGGGCAGCGGGGCTTGAAGCTTGCCGTGTGTTAGTGGACAGGGCAGCTTGTCACTGCGCAGGGATGCGTACCGAAAGCTGCATTCTGGCTGGGCTGCGACGGTGTAGAGAAAGAGAAGTAGCTCGAGATCTTGTTCTTCTGGAGAGCAATCGCTTTGGGAGGCATTGCATCTGCGATGTGCTGGGATGTCTCGCTGCTTGGCGCGTTGCAGCGAACAGAGTGCGTAGCGCCGAGACGCGCGCAACACGTCCCGCCCGCACGCCGTCACGTGCAAGGCTCGGCCGACGCCCGGATCAAAAGTGTCCCGCCCGTGGCCCGCCAGTCCCTGAAGAATCGCGCATCTCAAACTGCCAATCGTCTCGTCTCGGCGCGAACGGCTGCGGAACCCTGCGGCCGAAATGCCCCGGAGCACTGCACTAGAGGCTGACAACATGGCATTGTTGATGACGGTCACACCTGCAGGCGATCGATCCCTCAACCTTCGAAGGCAGGACTCGGCACCAGAGTCCCGCGGCGACGTGCGACAGTACCACGCGCCCTCGAGCTGTCTCCTGCCCGTGCTGGCGGTTCGCAACAGCGAGAATGTTTCTCTGTTTCGCCAGGTCTCGTCGAAAGTGCATCCCTGCCTTAGCGTGTCTCCGTCCTGCCTCCGAGCAGCAGGGGCCGGACTATCCGGGCTTTACAGAACATGTCCGACAACTATAGCCCACGCAATATGACTGCATATTGCTCACCGTGACACGCCCAGGCTCGTCGACTTTGTGCACGGCCGGAGTAGGTAGAGACAGGAGTACACCACCGTGTGCAGGCGGCGCAGCAGGGCGTTCCTGCCAGCCAGACGGATGGGCAGTCGGTGTTTGGCGGGCGGTGCTTACTCGCGAATCGCTACTTGCGCCCCCTGGTGTGGACACGTTTGGACGAGCCTACAGGGCTGTCGCAGTGGGATGAAGCGCGTCGGACCCTTTGCGAGAGGTGCTGCCGGGCTGTGCCCGTTGCTGCTGACGCTCTTGGGGCGCCCTGGGCTGCGTCTTCCCCCGAGACGCCTCCCCGTCGTAAATTCTGTAGCTGAATATATTCCCGAGCGCGCCTGCACCCACGCCCGCACCCTTTGCACTCTCCGACCCATTACTATCGTGAAGCTGCTCGGCATTCGCTGCGAGAACCCTCCGGCACCGAGAGAGGCAAAGAACACGACGCACCTACGCGACGCTAATTTCCCATTTCCGCCCGGGCTTGTCCTCTGCGAGGGACGCGCTGTAAACGGCGCCGCCCCGGCCGAATCCGCTACTGCCACCGGTGCTCGGTCAGCATCATTGAAAGCATCAGACAGAGCAAATCCTCGCTCGTCCGCCATTCCGCCCAAACCGTCCCCCGTGAACGGACTGACGCCGCCTGCGTCGCTTCCCTCGCAACCTCACCAGCGCCGCGTCTCTCGCCCTTCGCTTTGTCCCATGCTGTAGAAACGTCGCTCGCTCGCGTTCCGCCCGCCTCACAACTATTCTCGCCGCGACTTACAGCCAGCACCTCACCTCACCGACCGCGAACTCGCCTGCCGGGCACGCTCTGAATTTATCCTCGTCATCTCGTCATCGCGTAGAGCACGACAAATTGGCGTGCATCGTATCGTGAGGCCTTCCCGGCTGAGGCCGGACAGCAGCGATCCCAGCTCCACCCCCGAGCCGCCTCCGCGCGCGCGACTGCAAACATGGCACCAGAGGAGGAAGCTACCGAGGTGTCGCACCCCACGAAGCGCATAAGATGGGCAACTCACCGCGCAACAGGCGCTAAAGCTGAAAACAAACGCATGTCGCTGAAAGAGCGCCTGCACCGGCGGGTCGGATCCAACGGCGAGAAGAAAAGGGACTCGATGGGCAAAGAAACCGGATCGCCCGAGAATGGCGACATGGCCAGTTCCGAGGCCGACAGCGACGAGCAAGATGGTGGTCGCACTGTCTATTTCGGCGTCCCCCTCCCCGCGCACGAGAAAGATGAAGATGGCTACCCTCTCGCACACTTTGCGAGGAACAAGATACGAACGGCCAAATACACTCCCCTGAGCTTTATACCCAAGAATTTGTGGTTTCAATTCCACAACATCGCAAACATGTACTTTTTGTTTATCATAATTCTAGGCGTACGTCTCCCCTTGAGCTTCTTGTCGTTTGCGCTAACTCGTCCTGTGTCATAGATTTTCCCTATCTTCGGTGCCTCGAATCCTGCCCTCAACGCCGCGCCCCTCATCGTCATTCTTTCCGTTACTGCCGTTAAGGATGCTGTTGAAGATTGGCGCAGAACCGTCTTGGACACAGAGCTGAATAATGCCGATATTCATCGGTTGGTCCATTACAGCAACGTAAACACGGCTGGCGATACTATTTCTGCATGGCGCAAGTTCAAGAAGGCTTGCACAAGAGCCGTTGTCTTCACGTACCGCTGGTTCAAGAGCAAGGGGAAATCAGGCAAAGGCAAAGGGGCCTCGCAACAGGACGTAGAGTCGCGACACTCTGTGGACACTAGGCGTGCTTCCGTCATGTCCTACGCCGGCCCTCATGATGAAGGCGACATCCAGATGACCCCTGTCCCGTCGCCCTTGCCGGGACAGTCTCCGCGTCACTCGGATGGAGGGCCTTTCGCGGACGTCTTAGAGGGCGATAAGATTCGCGAGCCAGGACACAATCATCCCAGGAAATTCTATGGCAGTGTTATAGACCCCTACAAGACCGTTCCGGACAAAGCCCGGTTTATCAAGGATCATTGGAAGAATGTCCAAGTTGGGGATTTTGTTCGATTATATAACAACGAAGAAATCCCGGCAGATGTGGTGGTCATTTCCACCTCTTCCGATGACGGAGCCTGCTATGTCGAGACCAAGAATCTGGATGGTGAGACTAACCTGAAAGTTCGCAATGCTCTCCACTGTACGCGCGATGTGAAGCATGCGCGCCATTGCGAGCGATCGGAATTTTGGATTGAGAGTGAGGCTCCCCACTCCAACCTTTACTCCTATACCGCTGTTATACGCTGGATGCAGCACAATGCAAAGGACCCTAATGCAGCCCCTTACGAAATGGCCGAGCCGATCTCGATCAACAATCTACTCCTTCGTGGATGTCAACTCCGGAACACCGAATGGGTTTTAGGAGTGGTTATGTTCACTGGAGAAGAGTCGAAGATCATGCTGAACTCCGGTATCACGCCGAGTAAACGTCCTCTCATTAGCAAGGAACTCAACTGGAACGTCATCTACAACTTCATCATTCTGTTTGGTATGTGCCTTGTGTCCGGTATTGTTCTGGGCGTGTTCTGGGCCAAGCCAGACACATCCCATGCTCTCTTCGAGTTTGGATCTTACGGCCACAATCCCGCTACTGATGGTGTCATCGCCTTCTGGGCTGGTGTTATTCTCTTCCAGAACTTGGTGCCTATCTCTCTGTACATCACCTTGGAAATCATCCGGACACTTCAGGCCGTATTCATCTACAGCGACGTGGAAATGTACTATGCGGCTATCGACTATCCTTGTACGCCTAAGAGCTGGAACATCTCCGATGATGTTGGCCAAGTTGAGTACATCTTTTCGGACAAGACTGGCACCTTGACACAAAATGTCATGGAATTCAAGAAATGTACTATCAATGGTGTACCGTATGGAGAAGCATACACTGAAGCACAAGCTGGTATGCAACGAAGGCAAGGAATCGACACAGATGCGGAAGGCGCTCGCGCACGTGAGCAGATTGCGCGAGATCGCGTTCGCATGATCGCCGATATCAGGAAGATGCACGACAATCCATATCTCTGGGACGATGACCTTACATTCGTGGCTCCAGACTTCGTTGAAGATCTAGCCGGCGAATCGGGACATGAACAGAAGCGGGCCAATGAGGCCTTCATGCTTGCACTCGCTCTTTGCCATACTGTAGTTACAGAGAAGACGCCTGGGGACCCACCTAGAATCGAGTTCAAGGCACAATCTCCTGACGAGGCCGCTCTGGTGGCAACAGCCCGCGACGTGGGCTTCACTTTCGTTGGTAGGGAAGACGATCGCCTTGTGATCAACGCGCTTGGTGTGGAGAGTCGATACACTGTGCTCAACACTCTCGAGTTTAACTCAACGAGAAAGCGGATGAGCGCGATTATTCGGATGCCTGATGGCAAAATAAGACTCTTCTGCAAGGGAGCGGATAGCATGATATACTCGCGACTAATCGCAGGACAGCAGCGAGAGCTACGTGCAACTACTGGAGAACACTTGGAAATGTTTGCCCGGGAAGGTCTCCGTACCCTATGCATCGCCCAAAGAGATATCCCCGAACAAGAGTACCAGGAATGGAACAAGGAGTACGACCTGGCTGCGAACGCTGTTGCCGGCCGTGAAGAAAAGCTTGAAGAGGTTTCTAGTCGTATTGAAACCGATCTTTGGCTTATCGGAGGTACCGCCATCGAAGACAAGCTGCAGGATGGCGTTCCGGATTCTATCTCTCTCCTTGGCAGGGCCGGTATCAAGCTCTGGGTCTTGACTGGAGATAAGGTGGAAACTGCCATCAACATCGGCTTTTCCTGCAATCTGCTCAACAACGATATGGATCTGATGGTTCTCAAGGTTACAGACGGAAATATAGCAACAGCTGAAGCCTGGCTCGACGAGAAACTCGCTCTTTTCGGCATGACCGGGTCCCAGGAAGAGCTCGATGCCGCTCAGACCGACCATGTCCCGCCGCCAGCCACCCATGCTATTGTCGTCGACGGAGACAGCCTGAAACTGGCACTGGATGATGCATTGAAGAGGAAATTCCTCTTGCTTTGCAAGCAGTGTCGAGCTGTCTTGTGCTGTAGAGTTAGCCCAAGTCAAAAAGCTGCTGTTGTCAATATGGTCAAGACTGGCTTGGACTGTCTAACGCTTGCTATTGGAGATGGTGCCAACGATGTCGCCATGATCCAAGAAGCTCACGTCGGTGTTGGTATCGCAGGTGTCGAAGGTCGCGCCGCTGTCATGTCCTCCGATTATGCTATTGGCCAATTCCGCTTTCTGACAAGGTTGGTGCTTGTTCATGGACGCTGGTCGTACCGAAGGCTGGCAGAGTGCATTGCAAATTTCTTCTATAAGGTGAGTAGTCTACGCAACATTGTCTTGCATAATACTGATCGTGCAACAGAACGTTGTTTGGACCTTCTCTCTGTTCTGGTACCAGATCTTCACCAACTTCGACAGCCAGTACATCTTCGATTACAGCTACATCGTCTGGTTCAACCTGGCTTTCACGTCCCTGCCCGTCATTCTGCAGGGTGTTCTAGACCAAGACGTCAACGATCGTGTATCGCTGGCCGTTCCTCAGCTTTATGTGCGAGGTATCGAAAGGAAAGAATGGTCGCAATTGAAGTTCTGGTAAGCCCAAACCCACCTCTTTGCAACTTTGCAGCGCTAATTTAATGCTTCTCAGGATGTATATGGTTGACGGTATCTATCAATCAGCCATCGCCTTCTTTTTCGTCTACATGGTCTTTGCCCCAGGAACTTTCGTTACCGAAAATGGACTCGACATTGCTGAACTGAAACGCATGGGCATAATAGTAGCGACCATTGCAGTATGCGCGGCCAATTTCTACGTCTTATTCAACACCTACCGTTGGGATTGGCTGATCTGCCTCGTCGTTGTCATCAGCACCTTGTTCATATGGTTCTGGACCGGTCTATATACGACATTCACGGGCAGTGCTCAGTTTTACAAGGGCGGTGCCGAGGTCTACGGTGCTTTGGTGTTCTGGGCTGTACTGCTTCTGGCCGTGGTCGCATGCTTGCTGCCAAGGTTCTGTGTGAAGTCGCTTCAAAAGATCTATTTCCCTCTGGATGTTGACATTATCCGCGAACAAATCAAACAGGGAAAATTCGACTACCTTAACCAAACGGACGCATTTATACCGCCGCCGCCGCCGGAAAAGGCAATCTCCAAGGTGCCCTCGGATGTCTCCAAATACAAGGTTGCAAACGCGCAGGATGGTGATGACGACGTTCGCCCCATCTATCCACCTTCTGTTGCTCCCACCGCCACCACGCACAACCCTAGGAGCCAGAATGGCAGCGGTAGTACTGACTACACGTTCCGCCAATCCGGCGAAGGCATACCGCAACATCGCATTTCGATGGATCGACCGCGCCCATCCTATGATCGTGCACGTATGTCAATGGACCGTGTTCGACCAAGTTTCGAAGCCAGCAATGACTTTACGTCTGCTGCGATGCTGACACGAATGGAGTCAGCGCACAGCCGCAATAGTTTGAGTGCGGCTCCAAATACTGGCCCTCAGATCGCCAGCCGGCTACGGAACGTGTTCCGAAGACCTACTGTCACACGAGAGGAGGCACCGGAGCACCTGCGGGATAGCGAACAACCTCCCGTACCTTCAGTAAACCACACCGAGGACGGCGCACGGAGTCCACCACGGAGCCCGCCCCGGTGATGCATTCACGCCTACTACATAATACCACATTCTTTTTGATGACGACTTGTACATATCACGGCTATTGGGATTTTGGATTTAAGCTCCCATGCAAAAATCATTCTTCTACTGTTGTTCTATCGATACTCTACACACCATGGGTCGGCGTTACCCAGACCACAGCACGCTTGGTCTGTTTTCTTTATACCGCATTGCGTTCCGTTGTTGCTTTCGATTCATTTGTGGAGAAGGATGGAGCGGTTTGAAAAGCCTGGAGTGGGCACGGCAGGACGCGGGCGCCAGGGCGGTTTCAGCTCCTCGCCAGTGTGTTATCTTGACACTGCTTGGTTCGGTTTGTGACATATCTCTGCTTCTGGAAAGGGCTTGGGGAAGGAAGGTGACTCTGAGGCAGAGTGTGGATACCCATGCTCGCTGGGGGTTGTAGATAATGTTTGCCTGCATTTGCGGGTCTGGAATGACATGTTAAATACCCAACGTCTTGTTCTGTGAACTGTGACCGTGATGAATGCAGAATGTGAGGCATGGGCTACGGCGCTACGCAGGTGGTGCAAGGCTGAGCGAATGTGTGCTAAATAGGCTTGGCGGCGGCGGCGGCGAGAACGCGCTTGCTGCGCGTCACGCCCGCGGCGCCGACTTCGACCCTTTGTGTTGGGTCTCTGCTTATTTCATTGACTTGGTCCACACTCAACTCACGGCTCTTTCAGCCCGCCCACTTACTTCTCCCACTCGACGCCGGCTCTGGTCTCCTCTCACCTCGGAGATCGTGCGCTTAGGCCCATCCTACGAGATACTTACTGCCTGCCAGGAAACCCAATTCTCGCCGCCACTCATTCGCCCAATTATCTTCGCAAAACGAGAGCGCTGCACCCGACCCCCAAGCTGCAGGCCCTTGCCCACCCTCTACCATCCTGGGCCACCAAAACCACTCACTAGTCTCCGCCTTGTGACCCAGCCAATGCGCTCGTGATTGTGGAGGAAGCAACTATCGCGGGCGGGAGCACCGGCCGCGTTCGAAGGCAACATGGCGGAGATTTTGGAGCGCATCAAGTAAGGACCAAACGACGCTGCTGACCTGCAGCATCACCATGCTGACCGCTTTTACTTGCAGCGAGCTTAAAGCGCTTCCCGAGGAACAGCATCTGTTCTGCCCACGTACTTCGCCCGATGATGGGTCCGTATACTTCGCCGAGGACATCGCAGCCGATGGCGCCGCAGACCAGGACCCCGCCGCTGTAGAAGAGCGGAAGATGAAGATCCAAGAAGCCGAGGACCGGAAATGGCTTACCCTGGGAGCCCTGCAGATAATGGCGTTTGATGGAGAGGATGCAGACCCGCACAAAGAATGGATGTTGGAGCGGCTGAACGCACTTATGACGTCCTGCGATGTCTGCGTGCGCGTATACCATCAGGCTCGGGCGCAGTGGCGACAGAACCTCTTCGAGTATGTGCCATCGTGACGGCGGACGCAGGCTTTGGCTGACGAGATCAGGCAATTTGATGAAGAGCATGTCCATGTCTTCTTGCAAACAGTCGACACTCAGTCTTTGGGTCGTATACAGCGAGGGCTGGACGAGGCACACGAAGTGCTCCGTAACGCTGAGCCCCAGAAACGTGGAGTGCGTATCTTGCCTACCGAGGCTACGTACGCTATCTTTGAGGCCTTGAGCTGCGACGCCATGATTAGGAATGAAGAGCTCCTGCAGCAGCATTTCGATGCGCCGTTCGAGCTCGTGCAGTCCAAAAAGCGTCTTAAGCTCCAGACAATTGTGCCTGCAATGACCCGATTTCTCTTTAGTCGGAACAAGAACCGGCGGACATGGGCTCAAGCATCTTGGTCCACTTTCAAGCGGCCCATACTGCAGTCTGAGTTCGACTGGGCAGTGAGGGATCATCTGGTGAGCGCCATGATGAAGGTACAGATGACAAACCTTGATCGTGCCTTGCTTCCTGACTACTGGGCTGGGGTGAGGCTCATTGTCAATAAATTGGGCAAGGACCTCATTACCAGCTCAATCCGTGACCTAGAGGGCAACTTTTATCGTCTGCTGCTAGACCACTTGCATCTTGAATCCGCAGGGTTTCTTGATCTGATTGAGACCATGAGGACCATCTTAGAGGTTTCTCCCGCAGACTTCTGGGATGCTATAAATGACATTACGACTTCCACGGCTACTGTCGTTGAACAGGTCTTCAATAGCCCTATCCTCAAGCAGATGTTACTGGCCGCAACTGAGGATAATGAGGACGACATGGCCAATCTGAACACCGCCGTTAGTTGGATCACCCCCTTTCTAACCTCCATCAAGCCAACGAACCTTCCTCCAGCTGTCCGTGCCTTTGCGAATGCATTGTTTGGTCAGCTCCAATCGGACAAATACTCGCGTGCCGGGCGTAGTTTCTGCTTCGAGGAAGGTCTGCGCGTCTTGGACTATGCTTTCCGCAAGATGTGCGAGGGCAAAACCGAGGCCAACTTTGTTGGGCAGCCTACGGTGAACAGCATGCTCGAGATACTGTCGAACCATATCGAGCTCATCGTGGGCAGTCTCAAGCGTCTCGAGCATCAAGAGGACCGACGACTGCTTTTGTCCACTATCCAACATGCCTTCACTCTCGAAGCGACATCTCTGCACATCGAAAAACAACTGATCGCCGCGAACAAGCCCTCGCCAAAGGAGACTCCTCCTTCCACGCCCTTGTGGACTGCCGTCCTCAAAGCTATTGACGCCCAAAACATCGATCTCGCAACGCACTTATTAATCGCAGGAAGGAGTCTCATTGGCCTCGAAGAATGTCTTTGGAAGACGGGCTTCGAAAATAAGCCCGTTGAAATCAAGCACTTCAACGGCCGATTCGAATTGTTATCCAAGTCAATCACGGATGTTGTCGATCGAATGACCGAGTTCAAACCGGAGCAACTCAATGATCTATTTCGACAACCTCGCGCTGCTTCCGCTATGATATCGCTGCTTTTCTCTTCCACAGAGGATACTCGAAGTTCTGCTATTGAGCTGTTGAAGATCATCACTGAGCAAGAAGAACGACATGACGCTCTACAATACATCCTAAAAACACACTACAAGTATGTGCTCGTCGGAATATCGGACTCTTGCCGTCTAGTCACGCGCAAGCGAATCTTTGCTCCCGCAAGTAGCATGGTGAGGACACTCACCGATATTATCGATGTGCTCTGCAATTCCCAAGACGGATTACTCCGATCCCGACAATTCGATCGCGAAGAAGAGCGTATCACCATGAATTTCTGGGAGAATTTGTGGAAGACACTTACGATGTTCTTCGCAACTACCGAACCTTGGAGCAATCTCGGCGTGTACCAGAAGGATATGATGAAGGACTTCTGCCGTGATGTCATGCAGTTCGCGGATTATCTCTTCGATCAATGCAGCGTATTCGCTTCTGCATTGGACCCTTCGACGCAAGGAGACGAGGAAAAGTCCAAGACCAGTGACTTGCTGAAAGAATTATTGCAACTTCCGGCAAGCACGATGGTAGAGGCGAAGCGGTGGCTGCGCCTTCGCGATGAGTACCTTTCAGGCAAATCCGTCACGCTCATTGGGAAGCTGCTCGTTCGTCTTCGCGCTGTTTCGGTCGAAATTGATCCAGATACGTTGGCCTTCATGATGGACATAGTCTTTGGGAAAATTAAAGCGAACCTCAGCGCAAATCAACAGGCCGAGCTACAGCGAGCGATAGAGACCCATCTCGGTCACTCCATGCTCAAGGAAGAAGCGCCCAAGCAACCACGACAAGCTTCCATCAGCAACTTCTTGGGAAGTGGCACTATTAAAACGCCTACCACAGACACCGATGCCCGTGCAAGGCTGATGAAAGCCATGACGCCTGCGGCGACAGCTTTCAAAGAGAACCGAGAATTCGCGAAGAGGAAAGAGGCACTGGCTGCGGCGGAGGCAAAGAAGAAAGCGGCCAAAGACGCTGATGCTGCAGAGTTCAAACGCAAACGTCAGCTCGAAAAGGAACGCCAACAGAAAGAGAGGGAGGCCGCAATTGCAAAGGCTAGGAAAGAGCGTGGACTTACGGGTGCTACTGCTGAGGCGGGCTCTGCTTTAGCAGGTCTTGGTGTCCTCGATAGAGATGCTGCCCCCAAAGGAGAAGGCTTGATGCACTCATCGGATGAGTCTGAGGATGAGAACGACGCGTTCGATATTGACGAACTGTTTGGAGCCACAAAGAAACCGGGGTCTGCCGGGCCGAAGACTAACATCACCAATGAGATCGTTAAGGCACCAATGCCAGTCAAAAAGCGGAGAGTACAGCGCTCCGCCAAGGATATGCGAGCTCGACTTGCGCCAGACTTGACGCCTCTGCACAAAACTATCCTTGGTTGGGACTTTTACCACGATGGCGTGTACCCCCCAAAGACTTCACAAGGCAACTATGCTGGAGTAGTGGACACATTCAGAACGCCTAATGATTACCAGAATACTTTTGGTGGTCTCTTGAGGCTCGAAGCATGGCAAGGATTTGTTAAAGCGCGCGAGGAGCTAGCATCCAAACCATATGAGATTCGCGTTACGCAGCGATCGACAGTTGATGCCTTCATGGAAATCGGAACTACCATGACCCAGGCTGAAAACAAAGATATACAGGCAATGGAGGGTGATATCGTCCTCTTATCGAAGACCAACAAGCCTTCAGCGCAGGACCCTCACTGTTTGGCTAGGATTTTCCAGAGAAAACCCAAGAAAGGGCACATTGAGGTATCATATCGTGTCATACCTTCCGGAAACCCGATGGCGTCGCTCTTAAACCCCAACATGACGGTATTCGGAACAAAGATCCAATCCATCACCCCACTGGAGCGCGAATATGGTGCTCTCCACGGGTTACAATACTATGATCTATGCGATGAGATCATTCATGCAAAACCATCTCCTCTCCTCGCGTACAAGGATGCACAGGTCGAACCGCTGATGCAGAACTATAACTTGAATAAGGCTCAAGCAAAGGCTGTCAAGTCAGCTTTCGACAACGATGCGTTCACGTTGATTCAAGGGTATGTGACCGTTCCCGGCGCCCAAGTATCGACTAACTGATGGATAGACCTCCTGGATCCGGAAAAACAAAGACGATTACCGCTATCGTGGGGACGATACTATCGGAGAACCTTCGAAAAGGTGGAAAGCCTGCTCCGATGCCTGGCCAGACTCTGACTGATGCCGCCGCAAAGAAGTTGCTCGTCTGTGCGCCGAGTAACGCTGCTGTTGATGAGCTGGTCATGCGTTTCAAGGCCGGGATCAAGACATCGGACGGCGTGGAGCACAAGGTCAACATTGTGCGTTTAGGAAAGAGCGACGCAATGAACGAAAATGTGAGAGATGTCACGCTCGACGAGCTCGTCAGCAAGAAACTGGGTGTTGGCAGCAATGACAATGACAACGATGCTACGCAAAAGCTCTTTGCGAACCACAAGAGTGTCTCGGCGCAGCTGAACGAAGTGCGCCAACAAATGGACTCTGGCGAACTCAAAGGCGAAGCTCTACAAAAGATTGAAGATGAGTTTCATACTTTGCGGAAAGAGAAAGCACAACTCGGCAGGCAGATCGATAATGCCAAGGACGACCAGAAGTTGGCGTACAGAAACAAGGACATCGAGCGACGACGAGAGCAAGAGCGAGTTCTGAGAGATGCACACATCGTATGTGCCACGCTTAGCGGCAGTGGTCACGATATGTTCCAGAACATGGCTATCGAGTTTGAGACGGTCATTGTTGACGAGGCCGCACAGTGTGTCGAAATGAGCGCACTAATTCCTCTCAAATATGGATGCGCAAAATGTATCCTGGTTGGTGACCCTAAGCAACTACCGCCCACGGTTTTCTCGAAAGAGGCTGCTGCCTTCCAATACGAGCAGAGTCTTTTTGTGCGCATGCAGAAGAATCACCCGGATGACGTCCATCTCCTCGACACGCAGTATCGCATGCACCCTGAAATTAGCTTCTATCCAAGCTGGAATTTTTACGACGGTAGACTCGTCGACGGCGGTGACATGGCTGGCCTCCGCAAACAGCCCTGGCACGAGAGCTGGCTGCTGGGTCCTTACCGGTTCTTCAACGTCGCAGGCCAGCACCAATCGAAAGGACATTCGCTCATCAACGTCAACGAGATCAACATTGCACTTCAACTATACGAACGACTTATCACCGATTACCCGAATCACGATTTCCGGGGGAAAGTCGGTATAATCACGCCTTACAAGTCTCAGCTGAGCTACTTGAAGAATAAGTTCAGCAACAAATACGGCCCCGAGATCACCAAGGACATAATGTTCAATACTACAGATGCTTTCCAAGGCCGCGAAGCTGAAATTATCATCTTCTCATGTGTGCGTGCTGCTCCATCCGGCGGCGTCGGTTTCTTGCAAGATATTCGACGAATGAACGTCGGTCTCACACGTGCAAAGTCCTCGCTTTGGGTGTTGGGCAACTCGCAGTCGCTCATGCGTGGTAAATACTGGAAACTGCTGGTGGAGGATGCTCAGCGCCGCGACCGCTATACGACTGGCGATCTGCAGAAGATGTTGTGCCAGCCCTCCCGTGCATATCCGGCGAGGCCTGGGATGTTCGACGAACCTGTGCCCGTGCCTATGGACATGGACGTCAAACCACCCATCAAGCGTGAACATATCAACAAGAAACCCATCATCAAACAGGAGCCGACGAACAACGTTCGTATTAAGCAGGAACATCGCAAGCCGGAACCCATTCCAGAGCTCTACGATACTCGCATCAAGCAGGAGTCGTATCAGAACGGCAGCCGCAAGCGCGTCCACGACGATAGTGGAGACGTAGAGATGTCCGATGCAGATGAAGCCTCGGATACAATCAATGGGAGCGCGGCCACATCGAACTCTGCAACCCCTGAGCCCATGGAAGGTATACAACGACAGAAGCTACCGAAAAGGAAGAAACCTAGACCGGCGGTGAATCCGCTGGTCAGCCATCCGCCCAGCAGGCCGAGAAAGTAGGCTCCCGCCGACCGAGGCAAAGGAGATACAAGGAGTATATGAAAGAAACGTAGCGGTTTGTGTGTGACTGCTGCAATGCATAATCGTGTGTTATTCCGGCGTTGGTTGGTCGGGTGAGGACAGCATTTTCGGGCGTTTGTGGTGAGTGCTTTGGCATCTCACGTGTAATTGTGGATACCGCATTGGCATGTTTAGGCTATCTAGCTTTCGTCGGTCAAGGTAGACGGAGGGCCCACCTGCGCGGCGTCTCTCCAGCCTTCAAGATGGTCATATAGGCAGTCCAGTCTTGGATGATCAGGTAGGCTGCCACCAAACGCTCTGAGGCGTGGTGACTGAGATTTACGACCCCTGATTCTCGGTGGCATGGCACGCAGTTGAAATAACCAGGCGTGCGGAACAAGCCAGCTCGTGCTACTCTGCGCCGATTCCTTCGTCAGGTGGGAGCCCCCTTCCCAAACGAGCATTGTGTGCCGATGTGACGTTGAAAGCGGTGCGATGTTTCCCTGGGCCAATCGTTCACGGGCCACAGTGGGAGCTCGTGAGACTCGCCCTCGTTGTCCCGATCCAGAGCCGTGAGCTCACATGCACCGACGTCACTGTGTGTTGTCGACAGCACGAACCGTCGCGTACCACAGGACTAGCATGGTAGCATCCTCACGCTGTCTTCTTGCCGCGCTCAACGCACTTCTTTCCCCTTCTCATCCTCTGCCCAAAACATGCCTCCTACGTGTTCCCCTCTCACCGCGTGCAACACCTCTTCTCGCCGTCACCGCCTGTTGTGCAACCTTTGGCGCTACGTGAAGGTAGGGGTCCCCTCTGCATTCGTCTGCGCCCATCTCCACAGCGATGTTGTACGACAGGATGGCCCCTTCGGAACTTTCTCTTGCGCGCAGGTCGCGAGCAAAGAACGCGTCCTCGCGCTGTAACGTCGACCGGGTTCCAGAGACTCCCTGATACGGGCTGTTACCCGCCGGCTCTTCCCCTGCGAGCGCGTGCCGCTGGGGAATGACTGCGGATATGCGTCGGAGATTTTCTCGTGGAAGAGGTGGGTTCGGCATGTGCTTTGGCATACCAGAACACGGCTTTCTTGGTCTCTTGTACGTTTCTGCTTCCGCGTCCAGGCCAAAGATCGAGGTGACGAGTCAGATGAGGACGCCCGGCTGCGCGCATGGTCGTTTCACGCCAGAGTTATCGCGTACGACATCGATGCATACGCATCATACAGCTTTGCCATTCGTGGTACGCCCCTGGGCCAGCCTCTCCTCGCACGCACCGCACGCTTTGACCCGACCAGAACGTCCAAGTCGGCTGTCTCTGCTGCTGGGGTTGCATAAGTGCCGGCCATGGCTCCCCTCTGCGTCGATGGGTGCTTCCATGCACGTACCTGAACCTTCTCCGACAGTCATCGCAAAAGCTCTCCGGCCATCTAACAAATAATGCTAGGACACCCAGGGATCAGTGCATTCGAGTACGCGGGGGCGGCCGAGGAACACTATCGTGAGGAGCGAGCATGGGAGAAGGCGACGGAGGAGACCATAATCACAAACGCCACCGAGCGCCATCCAACACTATCAGCGGATCTGGAGCGAGAAGAAGCTTCTCCACAGCCAGTGGCTCGCCCGGAGACGTCGGAACGTCAGCAACCGCAGACGTCGGTCGACGAGTATACTATCGCACAGCGACGCCGTGGAACCTTCGTCAACCATACCCCGCGCAATCACGAACTCCGCCTGTCTTCTAAGCTATCACATCGCCCAACTTCCGAGGAGGAGTCTGGGAGATTGTATGCCAGTTATAGAGGGAGCTCGGATGACAATACGGAGACTTCTAAGAGCTGTAGTGGTGGTCAGCACTCGTCATTTGGGTCTTTCCAAGTTGAACAGAGTGCTAAAGCAAACGCGAATGCCCCTGTCGAGCTTGATAGCAAGGAGATACCTCTCAATCCTTTAGTAAGTATGCAAGCCTCCAACAACTAGGAGAAAAGGCTGACTCCTGGGTCAGATCATGCATCCTTTGCCCACAGTACCCATCATACCAATCGCACTACCAAGACAACGGCGCAGCCAAAGCTCAAGTGCCGCGGCTTCAATCAAATCGTCGCAAACGGGTATCAGCAAGCGAAGTCTGAGGACCTTTTTGGGTCGAAACGCATCGCTCGATGCTTCTTTTCCACGTCAGCAAATATCATTCGATGAGCCCAGACCAAGCACAACTGGCAGTGTCTCAAAACTGCGGCCTCAAGCAGCAAACAGTAAGCGCCGTCGAAGACAAACACCCTACAAGGTCCCAGCACCGCTTGTTACAGATTTGGGTCGACATGCGCCTCTGGAGCCCTTGGTTCTACATCATCGTCGCGAGGTGACGGGTAGCGATGTCGACCCTTTACCACCGCATGTCGATATTGACAACGACATTAGTGAGGCGGCCACTCTCCTGGCTATCAATGAGTATTTCGATAGTCAGGAGGCTACTCTTACGGATCATCAGCACCCAGCAGATCTCAATGAGATCTCAGCATCAACATTGAAGGCGCTTAAGCAAATACAGCCGAGTTTTTCCCCCCAACAGACCCCAAAGAAGGGTGACGCAGCTCCGAACAAGGACCCTTCCGACTCCAAAGAATCAACTCCGAGCCTCCCCGAGCGCAACCCTGAACGCCTCAGCAGAATCAATACTCCTACCTCAGCCCGCCTCCCAAAGAGTGCCTCTTCCATCTCCGTTCAGAGCGACTTCACCTCTGCAGCCCAAGGCCAATACTCCCCCTACGATGAGCGATGCGACGCCGTTTCTAAGACCGTGCATCGCAAACCCCTACCAACCTCACCACGCGAACACGGCCGCTCCACCTCCTCCATATCAGGCAAGCTCGCACCCCGAATCCCAGGCCACGAGGAGCTGGCTAGTAGTCGGCTAAACGATTTCAACTACTTCCTGCGCATGACGGGTCCGTCACCAACGCACGAGACGAAAGCCGTGCCGCAGAAGAAAAAGAAAGGACTGAAAGTTATGAAAGTGCGGAGCAGGAAGGAGGCCAAGAACCCCATAAGCAGCCGTCGCTTCGGGGAAGAACACCTTCCAGTCCCTGCTTGCTGCCTCGAGGAGACGACCAAGGCCGGCGGCGTGAAGCATCTGCGCATCAAGATCCCGACGGAGGACGTCGATGTGCAGCTCGCGGCGGTTCCCCCGAGGACCCCCTGGACGGACGAGATGGTGCAGCCGCTTGCAGGCGTTGACGTCGAGCGCGCGATTAATCTCGCCGGCGAAACGTCGCTCATGTTCAAGAGATGCAGTCCGAGGCCTGTTCCCATCTCGCCGATGGCTGTGCCTGTGGAACATCACCCGCTGCTGGTCAATAGGAAGGAGAAGACGCGGAGTAGGAAGCTGAGAGATTTGAAAAAGGCAAAGGGGAGGACGGATGGGGATGCTGAATGTGGCGCTGAGGAATATATTGGAGAGGGTAAGGTGGAGAGGTTGGAGTGGTTGGTGGGTGAGTTGGCGGAGGGGTTAAGGGTAGAGGCGGGACTTGAAGAGGGTTTGGGGCCAGAGGAGGTGCTGGAGACTTGGAGGGAGGGGAGGGAGAGGGCTGAGTAGGTGGGGAATAGAATGTGAATTTGGCGACTTATTGTAATGCGTAATACGAGTGGCTAAGATGGAAATTGACCCGGGCAAGAGAATGGTGGCTGGTGAAGGTTGTGACCATCTGGTCTCCAGCGATTCAAGGTAATCAGCGTGATATGGTCATCTGCAGGAGATTTGGTGTGCGAGCATTTCTCATCTTGAACGCGTCATTTAGAGAAATTGCTTATATAAAGACAAGTGGTAATATTCAAGGACGTAGATTCTGATGAAAAGAAGCTGAATTTCAGAGTCGATGCATAGCGGTTCAATTGTGTCTACTTCGATATGATGACATCACACAAACCCCTATCTTCGGCAACCATGTACCGATGATCTTCGAATTGTGAATTCAAAAGTAAGAAGTTCATTCAGATTCTTGTACAGTCTTCTACTCTCAGCCATAGGAACTTACCAGACTGAACTTTGCATGCGTTGTGCGAGCTTCCAGAATCTCGTTCCCCAAGGCTTCCCAACGTATCCATCACTCCGCTGTCACCTTCCCGAACACCAAGTCCCGAGTGCACAATGGGCCCCAAGCACATGCGTATCGGTATCCTCGTCCCGTCCTCCAACACCGCCCTCGAGCCCCTGACAACGCAAATCCTCTCCCCCATCCCCAACCTCTGTCCACTTCACCCGCTTCAGAGTCACAACAATCGGTCTCGCCCCCTCCGCCCTCGCCCAATTCGACACAGCCAAGGTCCTCGACGCAGCCCAGCTCGTCGCCGACGCTGCTGTCGACGTCATCGGCTGGAGCGGCACCAGCGCAGGCTGGCTCGGCTTCGATGTCGACGAGACGCTTTGCACGACAATACAGGAGAACACCGGGGTGTGGGCGACGACGAGTACTCTTGCGCTGAACAAAGCGTTGGCCAAACTCGGAGTGAGGAAGTTGGGGCTGGTGACGCCGTACACGGGGGATGTTGTGGATGCTATTGCCAAGGATTATGCGGGTATTGGGGTGGAGGTGAGCAGGGAGAGACATTTGAGTCGTACTGATAATGTTACTCTTGCGGGGCTGGGAGCGGAGACGTTTGATCCGATGGTTGAGGGGCTGGTGCAGGGGGAGGACGGGGTGCATGCGGTGGCCATGTTTTGTACGAACTTGAGCACGGCCGGGTTGGTGGAGGAGTGGGAGGGTGATTTTGGGGTGCCAGTGCTGGAGTCGGTTACCATCGTCGTGTGGGATTGTTTGAAGATATGTGGGTTTGATACGAAGCAGGTTAATGGGTGGGGGAGGTTGATGGAGTTGTGAGAAGAAGCTACCGTGGCAGTCTGTTTTTGTTTTCGGAGATGGGGGTATAGGATCTCTGGAGTGGTATATTTTTTCTTCGTTGCTCAATGCAGATTTGGAATGTTCCTTTGATCCTTTCGCGGCGGGTAAATCGAGGCGTGATGCTGTACCGCAAATAGTGGCATCTCAAGTTAGAACAGCTGGCGCCACACCTATTGCTGTACCGCAGACCATGACATCTCTAAATTAGAACAGCAGAACTATGTTTCCTTGTTGTACCGCACGCTCTGGGATCTCATATTAGAGCAGCTGGCGCTTAGTATTTCGAGACAACATCGCAGCCAATGCATAAACTCCATCCGGCCCCAATGTGCGTTTGCAGCACGCGCAATCTGAGACAAGACTGAACGTCAAAGATGACTGCAGCTGGGCCCAACCCTATGGCGAGATTGTGTCTTAGAGACTAATTGAACAGCTTCAACTTGACGCCAGCTGAACGAAACAATTGACGCACAATAATAGGACAGTCTCATGAATGCGATGCGTGCTGTTTCTGAGCCGGTGCATGCTGCTGGTGCGATTGTTGTTGAGGCTACGAACAGCGTGCATACTGCTAGGACGTTGCGATCCACGAAGAAGAGGTGGATGAGCACGGGTATTGCAAGTGCCGACTTCTCCGTGGAGTGAGGAGTGTTTTTCAGCATAATCGTAGGTATTCGTGCGGAATCCGTATTAGGCGTCAACACGTGCTGGGGTTTGTCAAGTGCGGAGAACTCTCAGGATCCCCGGGTTATCCAGTGCTGCGAGCGGCCGAAGAAGAGTGCTCGATTACACAGTCGCTCGTTTTAGTGTACGCTCTGATGCAGATGCCATGCCTACCGCGCGACACGGCGAGGCGGAAATGAATGCGATGTGCTTGTTCCGAGTCCTCCCCAGGCTCGAACCGATCGCGCGAGCGTACTGCTAGCCTACTCTGGCAACTGTCGACTCGCCGGAATGGTTACGTGCTCAGCAAAAGGGGCACGACCTTGCAGGTCATACCCTTATTTGGCGTCCGAAGTCGACTTTCGTCAACAATGCGGATGCGGGTGAGATCAGGGCGCCCATCCTTCCGGAGGACGACGGACTTGAGTCGAGCGAAGCGAGCCAATCGCAGTTCCCTGCGCCGCACTTGCCTTACGACAACCTGCCCGTGACTTTGTCCGAACCTTGTCACAACCGGTCGATGAGTCTGAGTCTCCTCTGTTCGTTCGCGCGCAGGCGCTCTGCCATTGGGCGTGGATGTTTATGTCCGCTTAGCCCCACGCTGAACGACGCCCTGACCTTCACGAGCACAGAACTCGCCCCGGAGCCTCGCGTAGCGGAGTATCTTGAAACATACGGTGGCGCTATGTTCTGTGTTTGTCGAAACAATAGTTCTCGGTGTTGAGTGCGACGCTCAGGTGCAGTAAACATGGACAGTACGGGCAAAGGGTATATAGCACCAGGCGTTGCATTCGAGTCTCCCTTCTCATCATCATCCAGCTTCATCACTACACAGTTCTTTACTTCCAACAGTCTTTCGTTCAATAGTCACTCACTTTTCACACTCGCTCAGTCAAATACCATCTTAATCATCACAATGGCCGTCGTTTCTAAGCCCGCTGGCGCTCTTAGCAGCCTCGTCTTCCTTCTTCAGCTTCTCACCCTCGCTTCGGCCGAGGGTTACGGATACGGCGGTGCCGCTTCCTCTTCAGTAGCTGTCTCTACTACCGCAGCTGGCTACAATGCTGCACCTGTTCCCTCCTCGTCTGCCGCTCCTTACGTCCCGAGCAGCAGTGTAGTCGTCTCTGTCCCGACCGGTGGATACGGGAGCGGTCCTTCGTCATCTGCAGCAGCTTCTGCTCCTGTGCCTACTCCATCCGCTGGTGGCTCGTACGGCGGTGGTGCTGGCGGTCACCAGGGCGGCCAGGGCGGCAGCTACGGCGGTCACCAAGGCGGTCAGGGCGGCAGCTATGGTGGGCATTCTGGCAAGCCTAAGCCTTCCGGTCACGGGCCCAAGCCGAAGCCCTGGGGTAACAAGCCCAAGCCTTCTGGTAAGTTTCGAAAGTTCATGTTTTGGAAAACTTCCTCGATGACTGGGGCTGACTGAACTCGCAGGCAACAAAGGCCACGGCAGCTACGGAGGCAACAAAGGCCACGGAGGCTATGGAGGCAACAAAGGTCACGGAAGCTATGGCGGTCAGCAAGGATCGGGCAACAACCACGGTGGATGTAAGTTTTCACCCCCAACAACAGAAATTCGTTTCAGCATACTAATATGGAATAGCTTATGGAGGAGGAAACTCTGGTCACGGGAGCGGAAGTGGAAGCGGGAGCGGTTATGGTGGAGGAAACTCTTATGGTGGAGGAAACTCTTATGGCGGAGGAAACTCCCACAATGGTGGTTGTGAGTTCTGCCACGACATACTATCACGAGACCGCACTAACGTTCTACAGCGTACGGCGGCGGAAACTCCAACGGCGGAGGACACTACGGCGGCGGAAACTCCAATGGTGGAGGAAACTCCAATGGTGGAGGAAACTACGGCGGCGGAAACTCCAACGGTGGAGGACACTACGGCGGCGGAAATTCCAACGGTGGAGGACACTACGGCGGCGGAAACTCCAACGGTGGAGGAAACTACGGCGGCGGAAAGCCCTCTACTACCGCTGCTGCTTCTCAGCCTACTCCTCCCACTGGTGGCAGTGGCAATGGTTACGGCCAACCTCCTGCTGCTCCTTCAAGCAGCGCTGCTGGGAACGGATATGGTTCTGGCCCTTCAGTCCCTCCTACCACTCTCCAGACCATCGCTTCGAGCGCCCCGGTCAGCTCTGCACCAGCCACCACTGCTGCTGCGGGCAATGGCTACGGCAGTGGCTCCGGCTCCGGCTCCGGCTCCGGCTACGGAACTGGCAACAGCTACTAGGCGGCCACTCAGTTCTTTTGTAATGTCGCTAGGATCGCATAGCGTTGGTAGATCTTCTTTCTTCAAACTTCATAGATTTCGGGTTGGTATTTCATAGGTACGATCAACTAAACTGGGCTAGCATAATGGGTTGGAGCTGGAATATAATGACATTGGTATTTCCAGACAAAACAAAATTGTATGAGCCATTGCTTCAAACGTGGTGACTTATGAGATTCTGTCAATAACCCTAGTGCCTAAGGCTGAATGCGTAGCCCCAAGATGGGTGATACAGTTCCCAAAATCTTGATTTGTATAAGAGACATACGCACAAGGTGCTGGATCATGATACCAGCAGTTTCGTAGAAATGAATCAGGCGCAAGGACCTGCGAACCTACTCGACATTAACCAGAGATGGTTTCAGTTCAGGTCATTGTGTCTTGAATAGGTTCTTCATTTTGAATGAACATGTTTGTGCTTGGTTGAGATGCGGACGCACAATCAAAGTATATGAGATCCTTAAGATACGTCCACTGTGTCAGAAACCGCCACATCCGCAATCCACAAACACAAACCCAAGAATATCGCAAAAGCCTACTTTAATAGTCACGTATCCTGAACTCGATTGTGGCGCAATCTCATCAGCATGACTCGTAAGTTCTACCCTACCTCTGACCAGCGCCTATCAAAGCCCGATTTCCGACTTACACAAACACCGAAGTCAGAGTACGTCAGCTTTCCACGATTGCCTGAAGATGAGCATGAAGGTGAGGCTAGACTTCTCCCACTTCCCGTAACTACGCGCAACACTCGTCGCCTTCGTTCGATATGTGGCTCATGTATAAGATCTGCACGACCATCAAACCGGAGTATGCTGCAGTCACTTTGATACTGTACAACGGTGGCAAGAGGAAGAATAAGAAGAAGGGCGTGCGAAGATCAAGAAGTTCTTTCGAGTCTCGACGCAGGTAAGAGTCAGATGTCTGCTACGAGGACCTGGCTACTTCGCAGTAATCGCATAGGTTGTGTGATTTGGTATACAAGACATTCTATTGTACGACTGCGAGTTTTGAGAAGCAAATACAGTTATATATACTCATGAAGCAGCTATCAACAGTATCGAGTAAGAAGTCATGTTTAATCATGTATGCAATTCTAATGTGACCAATCTCGAACAGAGAATATAATTTTCTAGAAAAATCTCAAAGCTTCTATCGAGGCTGGTGCGGAACCCGTACTGTTAGTGCTGTTTGCTGCCTTCATGGCATTTCCGAACGCACTACTATTTGCCTGGGCTTGATCGAGCCATGTGGCCCTTGACCTCTATACGCTTACACTAACGGCGACGTTCACTCTCTCTACTTTCAGGATCATAAGATTCCAGCGGTTTTATCAGGAAGAAGACGCTGGTTGCCACGGGCACACCTCCATTCACGACGATTCCGAGGATGCTCCTGTCAATGATTCCGAAAATATTCCACGAGCCGCTCGCAGGGTCGTACAATGCTGTCCGATAGGATTTATCCGTGAAGTAAGGATTGTCGGACAGGGCTCCGGTGTGGCCTCGGTCGAGCCAGACATCGCCGGAAAAGATGAAAGTGCCTCTTGACACGTATTCGCCAGTTCCGGATGACAGGAAGGTGAACTTCAGGGTACCCGACAGGGATGACGCGTCCCCGATGTTAGGTGTTGGCTTCGAAGTATCCGTCGGCGCATACCAAATGATCTTTGGATCGCGGAACTGTGTAGTATTGCTATCCATGACTGGATTGCCAGAATACTTGATGAAGGAATATCCGTTGTCGTATGAGCACCCGATTTCTTGTATTTGTTTTTCTGCTGTGTTCAGAGTATAAATGGCCACTACGCCATTTGTCTGATTTGGAAGAAGCCAGATGTGTTGCTGACGTCAATAACGGCCGACCCGCTGAAGATTCCTTCGCCCGAAGCACCTGGGAATAAGGCAATCGGTTGATTCACCCAAGTGTATAGATCTTCACTTGTCGCGTGGCCCAAATGTACGTTCCCTGAAACCTCGGTAGGGTTATCTGCCGCACTGTGATTTTGATGCTTACCCAATTGAATGAATAAGCTTACACTGATAATACGGATGATAGAGTTCGTCTTGATCAACGAACATTCCGTTCGGGCCATTCATGAATCCAACAGGCGGACATTAATGGACCTGCCTGCATACTTACCTGGAAGTGGAGTTCCGGTAGGGACGTCCGACTCGGTGTACCTTGACGAATTTGCCGCTGCTGCTGTTCCATTGGAACCATCAGATGATGCTGCAACCGGATGATTCGAGGGTACTACAGCGGAAGGCTCGACAGCAATTGCGCTTCCGGAAGCTGGGGTAGTCTGCGCTTTCACCACGCGCACGCCCATCGAGGTAAGCGCCGTTGCAAGGACTACAGATGTGGTGACAAGTGGGAGCTCGTGGTCACAAGTATTCACGACTGTGAATGACGACCGACAAGGAGTCACTATGCAGATATGCAGCCACAATATTAATACACATGTTCATAGTGGCGATACTAAGGGTATGGAACCAGCGATACTTGAACCTACGTCGACGAAGGGCGTCATAGGCATTCTGTGTCTTGATGGACTTCCAGCAGCTCCACGTGGTACTACACAAGTTACAGCGTTACGATTATTCATCGAATTTTTTCTGGCAACCACCGCTGACATAACGAACACGAATACAGCTCACTCTTAACGTAGACACAACCCGCAAATTGTGTGCCGAAGCCATTCATATCGAAAGCGGAAGATCCGCCTCGCTGACGTTGGATAGATTTGTGTTGGGAGAGACAGACGATGCGAACATACCGAAGGGTGAAGAGGTGGCACTACTTGAAATACCTTGAAGAAACGACGAGCTCTAGAACATGGTTCTTCCATGTCACGATCAGCGGACATACCCGTTGGATCGGCAAACCAGGTTTTCAAAGCTTCACGTTGCATTCTCTGACAAGTCGTGCCATCCACTCGATCGTACAGACATCTTGCTCTGTGACAACCACGATGCCGTTAACGGATTACTATGTGTCAGTGTCACCTATTTCAAGGTCCTGACGACTGAGCCTGCTCAGAGTTTTTCCATTGGCTCCACTGCAGCAGAAATTCTAGTCAGCCAACGAAACAGATTCGGATTCCGAGTCAAAAAGCCTCATCTACTCCGATACGCAATACAATACCGAGCCTGCAACATCGAACTCCTATAGGTGCAGCCCTATTCTCGTGCGCGCGAAAGAAACGCCAAGTCGCTCAAGTAAGATTTTGATACCAGGGGCGGCTTTCGTCGGCTTAGCATGATTGGTCGAGCGGCATGTGAGAGCGCCACGCCAATGTCACGATGCAATGGCGAGCCTCATCAGACGTGTTGCACGTTCTGATGATGCATCAGGGGAGAATTCTAGGCGAAGTCAAAAGAAAACTCTATTTTACACAATGTGTATAAAACCATCGTGTTTCGTGCCGTGAAGCCATCATCAGCACAGCAAAACACCTTCACTACCAACAACCATCCATCTACAACATTTCGCTACAAGCAACTTCTACTCGCTTTCACAAACATCAAACTTAGTTAAGCGACTCCGGATTTTCTTCATCAAGCATCATGTCTTCGGCTACTTCTACCCCGATGTCGTCTGCCATCAACACTCCGGATCAGACTCGACCTTCATCGCCAGTCCACGCCGAGCACTCCAACAGCAAGATGAAGAAGCTCTGGAAGGACCTTAAGCACCGCGTTGCCGAGCACCACCACAGCGTCAACGCCGCATACGCCAGTTACTACGCGGCCGGACACGGTATTCCCCGCCCTGAGCACTTCGGTCAGGGAAACACCAGGATCTAGATGGAACGAGGATGATATATCGACTTGAGCTTCACGCATACCTGAAGATGCCGTTTCGGCGATGACTGGTCGAGCAAATCCTTGGGCGAGGGGACTCGAGGAGAGCAAAGATGCGGAATGAGACGACCTAAAAGTGCTTTTGAAACGCAAGATACCACTCTGCTTCTTACGATTTTGTACGCTTTGCGGTTTCGCATCGCAATCTTATCGTATAATTTTTAATTAATTGCAAATCTACCTCTTTTCTACCATTGAAAAAAATTGTTCCCGTTCAGAGTAATGTCGTGGCATTTCTAGACCTTATGGCAGTGAAGAAATGTTATTTCTCACGATCTATGTCCATACTATATAGTACTGGCGTAGCGGATTAGACAGTGATCGACGATGAAGTTCACAGCAATGATGTGCTAGTCTATAGGAGGGACCCACCCCGGCAGACCCGCACCGACAAAAAAAACCTGTAAAAACATACAACAGCGAGGATTCTCGCGTCCTCACGGACCGCAATACTAATTCGCCGGTACACTGCTTATATATGGCTGAGCGGACGGGAAGCCTAGTTCTCAGTGTCCTATGGTCGTATGTGCTAACTTTTGTATCTGACGCAATATATCAGGCAAGTACTACACTTGACTGATCAAGAGCACTGAAGGTAGACGATTTCCATTGGCAATGACTATTTGAAAAGAATAATTTTGTTCCAGCAAGTGCTCAAGCAGCTAGGCAGACCTTCGCTTCCATTGTAAAGTGGGCTCCAGCTTCGAACTTGGTGCCAGCCATCGTTCCTCTCTTACTCAAAGCTGGCTCGATCATGGTCTCAATCTTTCTATTCAAAGACCTAGATTCACTGTTCCTGTTGTTGATGTCGTCCATGCTGTGCCTGTCGTAACGTAATCTGCGCTCCGATCTTTGGTTGGGAAAATTGGCTCCCAATGAGCTCGTTGCTGTCGTAGGCGACAAGATAGATCAAATGCGGCTCGATAAATGTCGGCAAGCTTTTACTCAAGCTCTTCGGTTTGTGGGGGTTTGGCCTAAGGATGTAAGAGACTGATGACTTCACTCGCAGCTTTGCTGGCTATTGCACCCATAGACTTGTCCTGTATATCTTGAGGGGTTGCTTCTGAAAGCAGGTACGCAGTCAGAGCTCTCCAATCGTGAGTTGCGCGAGTCTGCACACCATGGTGGCGCTCAATCTCTATTAAGTGTCAATTTCATTCGATGATCTGGCTTAGTGCGCACTGACCTGTCTCAGAAAGGACTCGTTCAATGTGATGAACCGCATCAGAGTCTGCGGTGCGAAGCCAGCTATTTGGTGGCCAAAAACATCTTTCGAACATTATGAACGACGCCCAACCCCGAATGAAATGTCGCTTGCGCATCATGTCAAACTTCGTGCGAGATCTCTCATCCAGACTTTGTTCGTTTCGATACTGATCCACGAAAGACACAACTTTAGCAGTCTTAGTGCATGAGGGACAACCTGCTGATAATTGACGATATCTTCCGGCTTGAAGTCCGGCTTGCGCTCCGTGTCGCAAGAGAGTTTGGTTGACCATGTATGTATGTCGTTCAGCAAGCAGCCGAAGTCTTCGCAGATGTTCGAATTCATTCTTTGGGAGGCCAAAATGACCATGCTAGTATCCTTCTCCATATGTATCTAGTCCGCAAGCTGTCTGGCCAATGCTACATATTGTTTCTCTTGCTCCAGTTGTTGGTGGAGAACGCTATACCGCTGTGGCCATCGACGCTCGTTCAAGGGTTAGAAGTGTTTTCTACGGTGGTATTTTGCATACAATCATTTATTTGTCCATTGACAACGGCCATTGGTCAAACAGGTAGTGTCGAGTGCAACTGCCGCAGCTGTTGTGGATTGCTCCTCAGGAACGGTGACGGATGGGTGAACGAGGCAGATGTTGTTCTGGAGATGTGCACTTTTTCATGACGGTGTGGACAGAATGTAGGTGATGTCGCTACGCCTAAGGCATCCCACCTCCAATCCTACCTGCCAGCTTGAGCAATCCACATCATCCTTACGACTCTATTGTTTCCATGCTATGCAACCGATTATGACAATGTGATTCATACTCTGCTATAGCCGACCTTGGACGCGTCGCGTCGCGCTCCAATCGTGCTCGGCCAAACAGGCACCAACCTAAGGCAGCCTAAAACAAATCCCTAAGCGGGAAGGATCCGCATTGTACAAAACCCCGGCAACCAGTGTAAATTCGTCACTTCATCAAAATCCCCCCAAGAGTCGTGTACCAAATTCCTACTATGACCAAATTTCGAACAACGAAACTCCGATCTCACGGATCCACCACGATCCCGCTCTTCTGGTTTATTCATGCCGACAAAGAGCAAAGAGAAAGCACTGAGTCGGCGCTCAATAAAGTTGTCGACCAAGTTGGGGAAGAAAATCCAGAATTGAAGAAAAAACAGGTTGTCGGTGTACCCTGGCTGCGGAACTATACTGGATCTCTAGCCGACGTTTTTGACACAGCTCGCGGCTTCGACATGGGCGAAGGCCACCTCCTTGGCATTGACACGCAAAGTCTTGAAGATGGGAGCTTGTTAGTATTGCATTGTGTTAATGAGAAAGAGCCGGAACTTGGCCGTGCGGCTCGCCGGGACGCAATCGAAGTTCTCCTAAAGGATCATCTTTACAAGTACACGATTGCAGAAGCATTCAATGAGCGTCCGTGGACCAGGATTCCCTTCCCAATGCAAGAGCCGGAGCCAGCGGTCGAAGGTGATACCGCTGAATATATTCTGCCATCACATATCCCGAGCGATACGAAACTACAGGAGGACAAGATCATGCTGTTCTCATTGATCCAATTGACGGACGAGGAGATTATCATCCTTAGGCAGGATATGGGAGATACCACCGACGAAATCACCATTTATAACTGGCCTCGCGAGACCCCTGCATCGCAAGCTGAGACGTACAACATATTCCAGTGTGTAAAGCCCGAGGACCCAATCACCCGTGGTCAGACGTTCGTCATGTTCATTGACGCTACGCACTTATCAGGACCACAGCGTGCACCTGTTGTGGTCGTGGCCTGCGAATCTGCATCTGAGGGTGTCAATGATGGGACTCGGGAATCCAGTCTGGAGCTGATGCGCTACAAGCACATCTATCTACATGCTGAGGAAGCAGAGCAAGTGAGAGCGCTCTGGCCGCTGATTTGGAACCCACCAAAGTGCGGTGGTGTCAATGATGTTGTAGTAAACTACCCTTTGTTCTACGGTAGCAAACATCACTTCAACAAAATTACACCTGCTCCCGTCATCAATTGGAACAGCCCTGTTATGCGTTATCGCAGCAGCTTCATCGCAAAGCCAGGGGTTGCAATTTGCGCAACCGGTGCGCTGTCCCCCGAATATTTGGTCTATATCCTCTGCCCCGTAGCCCCGGAAGAGCTTCGCGCATTGCAAGATATATTGGTTACAGAGAGTGGGAATGTCCTACAGTTTCTAGAGCTCAACATCCTCCCCCGAGAAGCGAGAATCGAGCAAGAAGAAGACACAAGCGACGACCCTTCCACACTCTCCAGCAAGCGCCTAGACCCCCTCCTCGAATTCTTCGACACACCAGCCTACCACGCCATCGCCGACCCTCCCGACACCTTCGTCTTCCTCGACAACGCCGCCCTCGATGACCTCCTCTCCGGCACCAGCGCCAATCCCTCCGTCCCGCTCGCAACTATCCACCACTACTTCCATGGGGACGAGATGGTCGCATTAGAGAAACCAGCGTATGAATTTGCAAATATTCAAATTAATGATGGCCTGCAGTCGACGCTGGCGAATTTGAGTACCGGCAATATGTGGTTCTGGGAACTGGCTGGGTGCTACAGTGATGACATGGATGTGGCATTCTGGCCCGAGTATAGAGGCAGCATGACGAGGGAAATGCTGGAAATTGAGTGGGAATGGTCTTGAGTAGCATGCAAAGGGGTCGGTGAGGACTCGTCACGCCAGATGTCAAATACTGCAAACCTCTGAGCCTGCCCATATTGTGAAAGCGTTAGCAATCCTGTTTCGTTTGTATATCCCAGGATAACTTACGAATCGATGTACCTTAATGCCGGCTACATAATGCACGGCTTACATTAGTGACTGACGGAGTATGCCCACGAGCGATCACACGGCGTGCTGATACACAAGACACAATATCAATAAGACAAAACATTACTTTTCCATACACAGTTGCACCTATCGATATCACCACTACCCCGACAGTCTATTTGTCCTCCAGTATGCATGCCTCATCGGGGGGTATCGTTTAACATGTACAGCACCTCGTGGTGCTCCGGATGCTGAGTTTTACAGCATTCCTTGGCCCCAACATAACTTCAACGCCAACGCTTTAGCAACAATGTAGCCGAAGCCGGGATTGCGGCGCGGGAATGCTCCCAGCGCTCGCTTTTGGCAGGAACGCCGTGCCGTGCGGAGGGACCAGCAAGGGACAGCTTGGCTGGGACACACCCAACGCGCGAGCTAATACAGCGAGTGGTAGATTAGGCGATGCATGGCAGTCTCAAGCTCCTCCGCTCATCCGTCCGCTCCAAGTAGCGCGGAATACCGCTTATTATCATCAATGAGTTGCTGCAAGAAATTGGCCGCCTCGGTAAGAACGCCGGACTTGCTCAGACCTCCATTTCGAATCTCAGGTACCAGATCGTGTAGGTCATCAAACCCGCGTTTGATGAGATTTCGTCGTTTCTGTTCTGACAAAATGTGATTGCTGCGCTTCTGTTCCTCACTCAGATTCTCGCGCTGAGGTTTTGCACTGGCCATGGATTTCCGTCTGGGCTTCCTGACTCGATCGTCAACTGACATCTTACGGTTCTTGCTCGATAAGCCCCCTGACACACTTTTGCGCTTTCCGTTTGTCGCAAGGAGTGGCCGTTTCCGTCGCTTCTTCATTCGCTTCTCCTCGTCATCGTCTGCAGATGATTCGTCCGACACACCGTCCTCATTGCTCTCCGAGTCGCCGGCGAAAGGTGGTTGGTGGATATGGCCGGTAGGTGATTGCAGGATGGTACCATTGGTACCAGAGGTGGGTCTGGCCAGCGGCTGCGCATGATGCAGCTCTCTGATCAAACGTTTTGTCACTACCTCCTCGCTCTCATGTTTTGATGATGGTTGGAACCCAGACTCGTTAAACGAGCTGTCAGTGCCATATGTATATGCTCTTTTCAGGGAAGGTCGTTGGCGCTCTCGTAGTTCGGCTTCGTGGGCCGCGCGTGCTGTGCTGTCGGCGAGCTGCGCCGTGAGCGTGTTGTCAACAGATCCCGGCACATCGTGATGAGGCAGTAGGGCAGCCAGTTGTTCGTGCACCAAACCATTAGATGTGGCTGGGGTAGGGACAAGAGGCAGGCCGTGGGACAGGCCAGCATGAGACCCGTAGCCATTGGTATGGACGCCTGTCGAAGGAGCGCCGTGGAAGCTGTGAGACCGGCCATTGGGCTGGTGCTGGTACGTAGGCAGAGACGGAGGTATGTGCGCTTGAGCGTACAGGGTCGACGCAGCCTGCAGATCGTCTGCGGTGCTGGCGAAATGGTTTGTCTGCTGCGTGGGTGTGAAGCTCTGCTCGGCGTGGAAGCCATGGAGCAGAGCCTGATCGGGTATTGTGGTGGAGATGTTGTGGATGGTTGCTGGCGGCACTGCAGACCAGCCAGAGAAATTATCGAGCAGGTCGGGCGCGTCAGAGGGGAAGGCGAAGGCTGATGGAGCCGCGTCGGATCCGAAGGGGTTCGCGTGCGAGAAGAAGCTGTCGAGCTGCTGGGCCTCCATGTCGCTCAGCAGCGAGGCACCGCCATTGTCGAACTCGCCGGCCGCGTTGCCGAAGAAGTCGGCTGAAAAAGTATCTGCCAGGGTTAGAGGGGGCATCTGGCGGCGGCAGCGAGCACATACAGCCGAAGGGCGACGGGTCCTTCTCGTCCATGGCTGCGCGCGATTGGGTCCTGTTCGCAGCTCCCACCAGCCCGCCGGACGGCCGCACGCCTATGGTCTCCAGCTTGTCACGGAACGGGAACGCCGTCGCAGAGACTCGAGGCGGCCTTCAACATGGTCTGGCGCGTCGCCAGAGACAGGGTTGGGGAGACGGGTCCGCGTGTCGAGGGATGCGGTATGTGGTGAGAGCGCAGCCGCGGGCGTGGGCGTGGGCGACGAGGTGTAAAAGCGGGTGTGGCGGGCTGCGCGCGAGGAATGCGGCTCGGGTCCGGGTCGGGTCAGCGTTGGGTCGCCGTGGAGCGGCTGCTATCGACGTGTAATCCGTCTGCTTGTCGAGAGGGCGACTGCGCGCACCGCAAACGTACTTTCTTCTTGTTGAGCTCCCACAGATAATCACATGCAAGGCCCGAGCCGTTGGACACGCTTGGCTTCGGTCGCGCTTGCCGTGCGTCACTGCCAAGCCCGGTTCCATTCACTCCACACGTCTAATTCGACCTCTGTTTCAATTCCCTGCGCAGAGCCTCGCTGCCTGCCGTCTGGTCGTCTTGCTCGTTCTAGTCGCGTCGCCTCCGGTCCCTGCGCGTCCTTTTCACTCCGACCGCGCCCCTATCTGCGCTGCCAAGCGGCTCCCGGCGTGCGTTGCGCGCGTTCCAAAGGGGCAGCTGCTCCGTCCTGATGATCAGGTTCCCAGCCACGCATGAACCTAATTCCCACTCTGCGCCCGCAACGCATCAAATCCGGGGTAGCTGAACTCCCCCGCCAAACACAGGTTCGAAACGCCGTTAGCGTGCCGAGGTCCAAGTCCTCTGTCATCTCCCCACGGCCACTCCTGCCCTTCCCTGGCAGGTACAACAATGGTCGCATCGCTGGCCTGTAACATCCTTCCTGCGCCATGACGAAACATGCAGGAGGCAGATCCCTGAAGCGTATCCATCTTGCGAAACCGTGAGTCGCGTGACCAGCCCATCATGGGTACAAGCTGACACGTCGTATTGTAGGCTTGCTACCGCCTACCTGCTTGGTTTACTCTCCTCCACCGGACCTCGCCTTGTACAGTTGCTTTTGCTCTTGGCGAAGAGGAAGCTGACCTTCCGAGCAGCATGGCTCCAGGTACGATCAATATTTCCTTGACTTTGCTGTACATGCCGCCAATGCATATTGCGTAGATTGTAAGCACCCTGCGTCGGGCATTGTCGCTTAATCGGTTTCCCGCATTCTGCGCTACCCTTATTGGTGGCTCGACTCTGTTGCAATTGCCTCTCAGAACACTTGCTTGCCAGATCGGCGGCTTGCGTGGACTTGGTGGCAGATATATCAGACTGTTCGTCAACTTCAGTGCTGCACTCATCTCGGCGTCTGCAGCCTTCAGCTTGCTCAACAGTCGGCCTCATAATGGCTCTGTCACCCCGGCTCAGACCACTCCTCTCAGCCATCTGGACATTGTCAATCCTAGTCCGTTCGACGAGCCTCCCGAGAGCGGCTTGAGAGAAGTAGATGATGCCACACTCAATGCGAAGTCGTTGTCCCGAATGGATCTTGCGGGCAAGACCATGGATTTGACGCTTTTTGCAGCTATCCGAGCTGGTGATGTGCTGATCAGTCAAGCGTGCAACAGACTGCCCTCGAGCAGAGCTGGGCAAGTTGTTTCACGTAGCACACCTACTGTCTTGTTTTGCTTCTCCGCTGCCACTGTTATGCATGCTTGGTTCTACAGTCCTAGTCGCCTTCCTCAGACTTACAACAGATGGATTTCTGCAGCCGCTAATCTTGACCACCGTCTTCTGCTCGCGTTGCGCCATGCACGGTAAGTTCCATGATTTCGCTTTTGGTGGCGGAATTATACTGACTGCCTAGATACGGTACATGGATCTATGGCAAAGATACGGGCATGGCCTCTCTACTAGGCTCTATGTGTCGTGACTACGGACTTGCCGAAGAGCTCGGCGATCCTGCGAAGACAATACCTATCCCGTGCGAACTTGTTCACATGGGATGTGGTAGGAGTTGCGAAAAGCATGCCTTGATCCGATTCTGGAGGGGGTGGGTATTCGCAGCTCGGATGTACGCCCCCCTGCAGTTCATCGTCCTCGCTCGGCATGTGAAGAGGACCGGTCGAACGGGAGATCGACTGGTAGGGCTGAACCGGTCAGTCGTGAGCAAGGCCCTCGTGGACACTACGCGAAGCTCGGCATTTCTTGGGGCGTTCATTGCCTTCTTCTACTATGGCGTGTGCCTCTCACGGACTCGCCTCGGCCCGAAACTTTTTACCCTCAAGACAGTCACACCACAGATGTGGGATTCAGGATTGTGCGTGCTCGGAGGGTGTCTTCTATGCGGAGCCAGCATCCTAGTGGAACAGCCACGGAAACAGCTAGAGATTTTGTTCTTCGTCTTGCCGAGAGCAGCGGCGACATGGTTCCCGCGACGCTACCTTCCAGAGCACCAGTGGAAAGAGCATCTAACTTTCGCATTGAGTACCGCTGTCGTGCTCACGGCAGCCCAAGAGGACCCAAAGAGCGTACGTGGCGTTCTCGGCAACTTACTCAACGCTGTTCTCAAGACCGATTGAATCGTTCATGTATTTTATTACTATCTAGCTTTAATGCTAGTGGATCTGGGCTTCCAAGCACGCCCGTCTTCTTCGAATGCTGTATGGAACAAATACAAGGAACGTGTGGTATCTCCCACGCTCTGACTCCAACCCAAATGCCATGTGGTATCATGTGTACTGACAAAAAAAAAACTCATATGAGGGTCGTCAAAACAACGTTTTCACCAACTCTTACTCCTCTGATAAGCGCTCCCATATCGGACTGCTTCTCCGCCTCTGATGCGATCCCACGATATTTCTCAGCGGCCACTCCGTCTTCGAGTTCTTCCTTCGAGGTTCAGGATAATGCGAGAGACTGGTGTTTCCGCCGTAGAGCCCGTCGTCAACGTCGACGTACCCGTACTGGAACTCTGGCCCGTAGTCCTCGACATACGAGTCGTAGTGGAAGGGATTGCTCGGCGCACGATCTGAAATAGGTGAGATGGGTGATGTGGCTTCGGCATGCACGGCAAGACTGGAGGCGCTGCTCAGGCCGCTGGATGTGGTCAATGCCAGACCGCTAGAGCTGCTTCCACTATGCTCTGGCATTGTCTGCCGCAGCAGTTTATGTGAAGCTGCTTGGGCCGCAGGGCTCGTGGCGACTGGTGAAGGGCTGGTTGGAAGGGGAGGTAGAGGAGGACTCAATGGTACTGGCTTCCGTCTGATCTGTGCATCCGCAGGTACCGCTGGCGCGGACATCAAGTTTCTCGCCGGGCTGTGGTGCGGCCGGACATTTCGTCCCAGGATCGGCGACTCAAACTCATCAGGTTCGGAAACTTCGGCTACGGAGTGTAAGCTGGTGTAGCTTGTTCGTTTCCCTCTCGCTCGATTCGAAGAGTGCGTGTGATACAACGCAGGCGCCATGATCGGCTTCGGGTCGTTCATCATCATGACGGGGACGTTAGAGTAGTTGTCCTCGTGAACTTCATTGTCCAGCGCAGTGTAAGTCGACCTCGCGGCGGCCGGTGCTCGGGCCGGAACATTGGAATTGCTGTACGCTCCAAGGTCTTTCCAGGCGTACGGATTCTGCCCTGGCATATTCTCGATCGGGTCTACACCCTCGTCGTCCCAAGCTGCACCGAGATCGTGCCTCGAGCGATTCGCCTCGCGGATCAACGATGTGCGATGTTCAAGGTTCTCGTGGGATCTCTCTTGGAAGGCGAATCGGGGTATAAAGCCGGGAGATGCTGGCGGGATCGAGCCCTCCACGTGTTTCTTCTTGCGACGGCGACAGAGCACACAGCATGCGAAGAACAGAGCTGCGATGCCGAGGAGACCAAATGGAATGCCTACTCCGAGCCCAACCTTCTGTTCTTTCGACAAATGACTGTTCACCGCTGGTGGAGCATCGGGTTCGGTTGTAGGTGATGCGGAGGAGGTTTCGGATGGATTCGCTAGTGTTATCGAGGATGAGGTTGTGTGCGACTTCGTGGCGGCTGAATCTGGCACCGATGATCGCGACGCACTCGTGTACGAGGTCGCGAACGAAGTTGCAGACGCAGTTGACTTACTTATTCGATCGCTCGATGCTGTGGATGCCGGCACTTCTGTACTCTCCGTCGCTCCAGTGCCACTCTGCGATGCGCCCTCACTCGTCTCTGGAGATCGTGTGGGTTGACTTGGCTCCGCCGTCATATCCGTCGTTGACGCCGTCATCGTTGCAGTGAATCCAACCGATCCACTTAGCCCTCCACTCATCGGCGCCTCAGTCGGCCACGCAGTCTGAGGCCCGAACTTTCGTATCAAATAATTTTGAATCTCCCACGGCAACTCCTCAAACCACTCTGGCCTCTGGTCGTCAAGGAATTCCTCCCAAAGGATACTCGACGCAGCAGGTAGATTAGTAGCAGCGATCTGGCGTAGCGATTCGGGAACGGCGGTAAGAAGGACTTGAGCGAGCGAAAGACTGGTCGCGATGTCAGTTATTCTTCGTTCGAAAGATGTAGGATAAGAGTGACTTACGCATCAGGATCTTGCCTCTCAGCCAACAATTCAGCACTGGGAGCAGGCGTAACCCTAGGAATCAGCGCGCCCTTCACACCTCCCACGACCGCGCTTCCCACCACCACCTGCTTCAATAGCGAGTGCATGTAGCGAATGTGTTGTCAACGAAAACAAAAACAGGATATGACGAGCTCGACGCTTCACTTGCTCTGATCGCTATGAAGCCATTTCGCAGTACAGCGCTCGATGGCCCGGCCCAGCAATGCAGGTGGCCACCGCCATATATTCCAAGTACAAACCCATGTCCAAACACGCACGTCGCCTACCCACTCCCACGCGATCAACACTGCTTTCCGCCACCGCAGGCCTCACAGCCCTCTCCCACAATGGGGTGCCGTAGTGCTGATCGCGCTGATCAGGGTCCCTTCTCATCCGTGCGCAGCATGGCATTTCTGTGGATTGCCCCTCACTAGCCACGCGACTTGCATGCGCATCTCGCGAATCGGCATGCCGTACGGAAGCAGGTCCATGCGGCCAAAAGATATGATTGGACGAGATTGTGGCGGTGCAGGTGTCCAGTTTACAAGCGAGCCGGAGGGCAGCCGAAGCGAGAGGATACCGTTGTGGAGGTGCGGGTAAGCGAGTGGTAGTGCTTGAGCCGGGCTATTCTATCGCCAGACTCGTCAGCGGCTCCGACTGGTGCGTCCAGAGTACTTGACGTTTAGTCGCATGTAGCGTGCCTGTGTTATTTTTGGTTGCGAATTGAGATGATCGTGGTAAGCGCTATCTGGGAAGTCGCTGCTCGGGAGGGAAGGGTAATTGTGCGTTGTGCAGGTGTGCAATTCACGTTTTGGTAGTCGCGCGATTACGCTGGGAAACGAGTGCCGGGCCAATTGGGGGTGATGGTTGGGGTATAGGAGAGGCCATGTTAAGACGAGGAAATTGCGTGCGGAATGAGGTAGCATTCGCGTCAGATAGGTGAAAGTTTTATCTTCGTTAAGCCGAAGGAATCCAAAGACAGCACAAAGTCGACGCTTGCTCGCTTCTTCCGAGGATTCACTTATGTCATGAAGAATTCAGGATACGATTTGCTCATTGAGCTCTCTAGCTCGAAAGATAGAGATATCAGGCTCTTCGAAAGCTACAAGCTTTGATTTCTAGAATTGAGCTTTCCGCTGTCGTCGAACGGTGCCTTCCGCGAAGGTCGGTGTTGGTAAGGGCCTTGCTCTCCCGCAGTGCCGTCACGCACTAGCGGTGTATGCTGTCCCACACTAGGCTGTCTCATCCATCCCTCCTACAACTCAATCTAAACGCCTCGCTGCATGCAAGTTGATCATCGTTGTCTACTATCTCTTGTGTTCGATGTCAAACACCACACAGCGATACATAACCTACTATGTCCCGTATTCGACCATGCAGGTCAGCGGCGCAGCGTACGATCACGTTCTCTTCTCTCGGTTGCTACACGTGACCCTCGCAAGCGACATAACATCTGAACCTCAGCCTTGCGGCTTCGCCTTCCATCATAGTTCCTCTTACACATGTCGCCACTAACGAAGAAACGGCCGCGAAAAGATCAACCCTTGCGTGCGAGTCATGCCCGGTCGCAAACCACGACGAGCGAAACCATTTACACGCCTTTAGACCCAGAGCTGAAAGAGATTCGACTGATTCAAATTGCGCCAGGCAGATACGACGATGATTTGAGGATCCGCTTACGCGTCCATAAACTCGAAAAAGGAGGGTTGGTATTCAACGCTCTCTCATATGTATGGGGTTACGAAAAGTGCCGTCGAGAAGCGATTCTGGATGGACACTGTGTGACCATTGGTCGTAATCTCGACTCTGCTTTGCGATGTCTGCGCGATGACTTGATCGGACGTCTACTTTGGGTAGACGCTTTGTGTATCAACCAAGAGGATATTGAAGAACGAAACCAGCAGGTTCAGCTCATGAGGAGCATCTACTCTTCGGCCACGAGAGTCATGATATGGCTAAGCGCAAGACTTCCGACCGATGACTTCGTCATACATCACATCACACGCAATACAATTCCAGCGACGACCAGGGAGGCTATCCTTCTGCTACGAGCACTCAAACGTATTTGTTTAAGACCGTGGTTTGAACGTACCTGGGTAGTGCAGGAAATGGCTCTTGCGAAAGAAAGCCCGACTCTACATCTTGGACAACGAAGCGTTCAGTGGGACCAGTTCGGGTATTACATTGGAGTTCTGTATAACATGTTGGAAAACAACGAATTGGGTGCGTCGTGGCCGCGGAAGAGTCTTGATGCCTTTGTGTTCCCAAGTCACAGAGTACACAAATTTGTTTCTATAAGACAGATGATGAGCTACCGGAATTACGATCTGATGGAGCTGTTAGCTGCGACTTTTGCTCTACAAGCGACTGATCCTCGTGACAAAGTTTACGGAATTCTTGGATTTGGTGCGACGTCTTTGATACGACATACCATCGTACCCGACTATTTCAAGAGCGTAGAACAAGTTTTCCTGGAGATTTCTCGGATTGCCGTCCAAACGGGCGGGATCTTCCCATATCTAAAATTTCCACTGCATGGACGATCTGGCGACCGGGCTCGTATTGCTTGCGTTGGCCTGCCTTCGTGGGCATTCAATCTCACTGAAAAATCTGCAAAACTGAGTCCTAGGGGTTTGATGAGAAACCTAAGGAAGACTCAAGATTTCGAAAGTCGTCTTTCAGGACCTCTTGAACAGATACAAGGCCTCCCAGAATGCTCAAGATTCTCTCCTGACCTAAAGCGGCTGCATACTTATGGCTTACACACTGGCACAGTTACCTATTCCAGCACCGATCTGCTTCACGTGCCACCTGTGCCTAGCCTCACGTGTTACAGAGATCTGGCCTTACGCTTACACAACGTCTACCGTGAGATTTTCAGACCTCAAGGCATACCAGGGAGTGCCATGATCGAAGCATTTGATCTTACGTGGAACGACAAAGAAGACATGATAATCTTTGACAGACTATGGCAGGGTTTAGCGGATCTCGATGAGCCTCTGGGTGAGGGGTGCATGGCTGTTCTTAGGCAGTTCGTCGTAGGCGTCCGTGGGAGGATACTTTTTGTTACCGAGGAAGGCGACGTAGGCGCACTATATCACCCGGAACCGCTGACGGCTGTGCAACCGGGCGATGTTGTCGTCGGCCTCTTTGGCATCAATTTTCCGTTCGTGCTCCGGCCAATCGTGGAGGAGCCTGGTGATGGACAGACGTACGCGATGGTCAACATTGCACATGTGGCTAACCACGAATACGGGCACGATTTCGTCCGCAATGCTGAATCGGACGCAGAGTGGCGGGATTTCGAAAAGTTCGGCATGCGCGAGTACACGATCGTTTGAGCATATAAGCTTGTTTTGGTTCGAGATGGACGGTAGCCAGAAGTTTCATACTTGCTGCAGGTTTCACGAGATGACTGTTCCTCCGTGGATTCTCGGGCGACTTGGTCAATAGCAGTTCTACGCCATTTTGGACTGGTGTTCTATAACCAACTTTCGCATCTACACGAGACGTTACCAATATGCACTAGAGGACTTGTAAGGTACAACCGTCCGTCGATTGTTATTTGCATTATTCATATGATCATGGTATCGTATGTATGCGCCAAATAGCCATTTCCGCTTGTCAGTTGGCTTGGCTTCCACTTCTATATACTCTAGCACCTCGTCCAACTCACCGCACGTAGGCTCTCCAAACGTGACTTTGCGGTGCGAGCTCTTCATATGCCCATGTCCCACTGCCTGCCCCGTAGACTTCTCTCGACATACTCCGAAGCTCTTCCAGCTACATTCAGAGCACAACCCAGCACTACTGCACCTCACCTCCCCGCCCAAATATTCCCGTCTCCCCTTCCAAACCCCGCGAACCCCATCCCGCCCTTGCCCTCATTCACCGGCCTCTTCGCCACCGTCCCCTGGCTGCGCACCCCCTCAATCACCTTATCCAACTGTGTCTCGACCACCACTCCGCCCACAATCATTTCTGCGAGCGCGGCATGCAGAGTCTCAAAGTTGAAGATGAGATCGAGCTCGCAGACGTTCTCGAACAGGCCGTCGAGCGCCTGGACGAAGACCTGGATGAGGTCGAGCAGCGCAAGGGGCGATTCAGTCGAGGTGGAGATGACGATGAAGTAGAGGGTTGCGTAGTGGCGGTAGGTGACGAGGGAGGGCGTGTCGTTGTGCGGGGTGGTGGGGGTGGAGGACTTGCTGCTGTTTGCGAGAAGAGGGGGGAGGCTGGTGGGTGTTAGCCATGCAGTGTGTGAGGGGGTGTGTCGGACGTACGGCAGGAAGTTGCATGCTGAGTTTGGGCGGTTTGCGACGAGGGTGAATATCTCTGATATTAGCCGCTGCTGGACGCTCGTCTCCTGCGCAGGGTGAGCATGAATCCTAGTCCACGAGGAAGGGCGCGTACCAGCTGCGTGTAGAACTTGGTCAAGCGGGGCTGGCCGGCATTGTTGAAGACCAGCACGGCGTTGATCATGGCTGGGCTCGCGGTAGGGTCCGTCACGACGGCGGGACGTCTGCGGAGGAGCTGCGGGGAAATCGCTGGCGAAGCGCGCTGCGTCGCGGCCCAAGCTCAAAGTGGAAACGAGCTCTCCTCGCGGTGCCGCCAGCATCCCGCCGACCACTTCCGTTCTATATCCCACCACCGACGAACACTGCCAAATCCCGTACACTACATCGCCAGCTATGAAGTCGCTATCAAGAGCCGGACAGGTCGCCCTCCGCCGGGCCGTCCGCACGCCTCTCCGCGCCCAGATGTCCGCCAATGGCGTCATCGCTAGAGCTCCCGTCGCGGTGGCCAGGGCCAGCGGCGCAAGCACTGCGGTTCGCGGCTTCCACTCGTCAATGACGCTCAAGGGCATCATGCCCGAGTCGGAGAACCCAGCGCCGCCCCAGAGCGAGGACTCCGAGCACCCTACCGTGCCCACGGACATCTCCACTTCCGAGTTCCACGAGCGTGCCGACGAGTATCTGGAAGAGCTGCTGGGTGAGCTGGAGGCGAAGCAGGAGGAGACTCCCGATTATGATGTGGAGTACTCGGTATGTTCTGTCTACAGCCCAAGCATCGGAGTAACACTAATTGTTTGCTGCAAGGCGGGCGTAATGCACGTCAAGATCCAGTCGCGCGGCCACGAATACGTGCTCAACAAGCAGCCGCCGAACAAGCAGATCTGGTGGAGCTCGCCCGTGTCCGGACCGAAACGATTCGACTGGGTGGTAATGGGTGAGGGATTGCATCAGAAGGAGGGAGGCGGTGCGGGAGACTGGATCTATCTGCGCGACGGAACATCTCTTAGCGACCTCGTCCGACAGGAATTGGGCGTTGCTCTGGGCAAGGACGACAGTGCTCCGATCTAGTTATTCCATGGATGGCACAGTGTGGGAATATGAAGGGTTTTGTATGCATGGTCTGTTATAACAGGAGCGTCAATTTTCCAAGCTACTCCAGTCGCAAGCATGGCGACTCTAATTATGGTGCAACAACTATCTGGCGTTGAGGACTGTCGCTTTTCATGCGACAGCACCATGTTCTCGCATACAGAACCAGGTTCGAAGTATATGCATTGCCTTGCTCGTCAGGGAGATAACAGGGGACCAAAGACTCCCACAGTGTCTGGTCGGACTGGCCCACGGCTTCATGTAGCAAGCTGGTCTATTGCTGTACCAAAGGCTCCCACCTCCATCGGTCAAATCGCATTCCCAAACGCCGTTTCATGCACCGCCAGTATATGCCCAAGGAAACTGGCCACGTCAACGTGGCCCGCCAAACGATCCGCGAGGCATGTGGGTATATCGTGGAATCGTATCGAAATTATGCAGTCGTCGCAGGTTCTGGATCTTTGCGCACGCGCTCAAGCGGTAATGGCAGCAGCCTGCGGAGCGTCGTCCTTGGGCTCTGGTGGAAGATCCGACTTGGCACACGATCAGCAAGTAGGGTTGTAACACGCGAAAATGCAGACATACAGGATCGAATATTATCCGGATCATCAGGCTGCAGCTGGGGCAGCGCGCAATGTCTTCGCCGTCGCGCATGTCGCCTAGCGAGATCTCGAAGCGGTCGCCGCAGGGACACGGGTGGTGGTAGATCTGGAGGGTCTCGTCATAGAAGCAGTCCTCGATCTCGATCTCGTCGTAGAGGTTGACGTCCTCGTCGGCCATGGCGGCTGGCTGTGCGGATGTGTGCAAAGTGTGAGTCTGGGTGGCGTTTGCGGGGCGTGGAACAAAAAGCGGCAGAGGGCGCACCTCCGGCCTAGCACGGGCCCTCGCCGCAGCTGCGACGGCGACGACCTCACCCCTCGAGCAGCGCAACGCGCCCGATTATGGGCACTCCTCCACGACACGACCCCGCAGCAGAACCATGAGCGATGTCGAGTCTGCGGCAGCCAAGCTCGCCGAGCTGCTCCGGCACCCCGAGGACCTCGACAAGATCCCCGCCCTCAAGGCCGAGTTCACGCGCAAGAAGGCCGCCGTCGATGGCCAGCTGCGCATCGGCCTGCGCGAGCAGCTCGAGGTGACGCAGGCCGGCATGAGCAGCATCACCGACGGCCAGCGCGCAGTCAACCTGATCAAGGAGGAGATGATGAAGATCGACAAGCTGTGCGCCGAGTCGCACAACATGATCCAGGACTTTCCCCACATCAACCTCGTCGCCCAGACGCACAAGAACTTTGAGCAGGTCGAGAAGATGAAGCGCGACATCGACACCTTCCAGCAGCGCATAGAGAACCTCGAGTACCTGCTCGGCCAGGACGACCAAGACCCCGCCAACCAGCCTAACCTGCTCGAGGTCCACTACGGTCTTACGCAACTGCGAGAAGTCAGGGACGATGCGATACGACAGATCAAAGCCTCCGAAGACTCGTCCACTGAGCTGATTGACAACTTGACACTGGAATCCGGTGGGACCGTCCAGGATCTCTTCACACGCTTGGACGAGGTCATTGAGTGGTTCGATGCGCATATTGGCGAAGCTTGTTTGAATCTCATTGAGCTGGTGCAGTCCGGCAATGAAGGCATGGTGGTCAGGCTGGCCTTGATCATCGAAGAGGAAGAGAAGTCGGACAAGAAGGCCAAAGCATTGCAGGATGCCCAGCGCGAATACAAGGACCTGGCCTCGCGCTTCAAGTCGATAGCTGCGGGCTCCACCGAGCTGCGCGGTTACAAAGAGAAGTTTCTCAAGTCGATCGAATTTGTATGCAAAACAAACTTCGAACAGTCGAATGAAAAGTTCATGGACGATCCCGAAAAGGTGGACAAGTATTTTAAGTGGTACTTCAACAACCTCTTCGTGGTGCAACAAGGCATGGTGAACCTGATGCCCAAGAAGTGGAAGATCTTCAAGACCTATGGTAACATATACCACAAGAACATGCACGACTGGCTACTGGGGATCGCGGATGACGAGGGCTTGGGCCCGCAGTATCTCCTTGCCATCATCAACTGGGTCGACAAATACTACGCCAAGATGCAGAAACTGGGCTTCGCTGAAGACGACCTTCAGCCACATGTCGTCGACAATCGCGTACCTGAGCTGGTGCGGAACTACCGGCAGATCATCATCGATAGAGTCGAAGAATGGATGACCAACATCGCCAACACCGAGAAGAAACAATTTGCAGAACGAGACCAAAGCGACATCAGCCAGAATGTGGACGGTTACCTTCAGACGAAGACGTTGGCAGATATGTGGACGATGCTGGGCCAGAACCTCGCCATTGCACAAAACAGCGACCGAACAGACGTGGCTGAGGGTGTCATTGAGTCCATGTTCCGGGCTCTGTCCTCTCGACAGCGCATGTGGCAGTCGCTGGTGGTAGCCGAGAAAGCCAAATACTCCTCACCCAGCTCTTCAACCGAAGGGTCCAGCGAGTTCCAGGAGTGGCTTATTGCCATTGCAAACGATCAGATCATCTGCATCGATGAATCTGACGAATCTCAAACGTCTTTCTTGGGCAACTTCGAGCGGGATATCACTCCTCTCGTCTCGCCCGCCTACGCTCCAACCCTGACCGAGCAAATCAACAGCCTAAAAGACAGCTACGTCGATGTCGCGACTGAGTTTATCCAAGCATGGTGCCAGATGATTTTCTACGTCGACTTCCGCGACACCCTCAAGAATATGTTCACAGCCGACTGGTACAGCTCAAGAGACATGGAGCAAATGGTCATCACCTTTGCAGATTACATGAGCGATTACGAGAATGCCGTGCATCGAGCGATCTTTGAGCTACTTGTCATGTCACTTGCAGATCAGTTGCTGATCCACTACCTCTCAGCGGTCCGCAACAAAGGCGCGAAATTCAGGCGCGCCGATCCCTTCACCGAGAAGATCAAGGACGATTGCTTCACAGCATTTGAATTCTTTAGTCGATATGAGTGTGGGCCAGAAGTGAAGGAGAAGTGGCGCGTCATACAAATGTTCGTGATGTTGCTCTCCGAGGACAAAGCCAGGATCCCGATTGTGTACGAGCAATTCAAGAACGGTTACCCAGACTTGCACATCGGCTGGGTTGAGGCGGTGCTCAGGGCTAGAGACGATTTTGAGCGCAGCATGCTGAACGCCGTCAAAGCGAAGGCGGCGGAGATGACGGTTGATCCCGCGCAGCAGTACGAAACAATCATGTCACAAGTCAAATAGAGTGCCGGAGTATTGTATGAAGTTCTCAATTGTCATTTGAGCTCGGCGTTGGAAGGCGTTCACTGATGGCATCGTTCGTATATCCGGTTGCGGCAAGAAGGCATTGGCAGTCTATCTTCAATATTGAAAGCAGCATCAACATTCCCAAAATCTGCTCGATGTTGTTCCACACTACGCTTTCACGCACGACACGTCATTTAATCGGGGTTGGATCTGTTTCCTGGAACAACGAATTATCTTGCGGAGGGTGGCCTCGCGTTTCGTTTCACCGTGCACAAAATGACATACCCGCTCGTTAGATTAGCGAAGTCGAACTCGTCGTTTCAAACACGCGCCTCTTCCGGCGATCGTGCACAAACTTCCGCACGTCCCTGCGCCAATTCCCACTCTGAACCGCGTGTGCTCCATCGCCAACGTCATTGAACGACGGGTCAACGAGGCGGAGCACCAGCACGCTTTCATAGATTAATACTGATCAACAGAAGCAGCGAAAAGGAGAGAGCTAGAAGGATACATGCATTCTCGACTTTGATGCTGGCGGGCGGCGTTTCTGCCTGAATCGTACGGCACATATCACAGCGCAGAAGTGAGCAATTTCCATTAATCCAGACGACACAGCAACGCGGTGCGGTGGCCGCCGTGCCCCCGGACGCCCGCTTGCCCTGCCGTGCCAACAAAGACATTATCTCCGTGCTGTAATCTGTGTGGGATTGCGACCCTGTCGCTCATTTCTCCGACCGCTATGCGAGGCTTCGAAACAGCAGGTGAGGTGGACCGGTCACGTGGATGCTAAGGGGGTTCCAGTCTAGTGCAAGGGGTGATGCGCGCTCTGCGGTGGGCCGCATGCGGGTCTGCCGTGTAATCTCGCCGGGGTAAGTTGTTGAGCGGCCCACCGAGTAGGGGTTTCGGGGAGGAGATGGGCGAGGCTGCGTGCACAGCGCCTGCACAAGATGCATTGCGGCTCCCGTGCCCTTGCGGCGAGGCTGCTCCGGCCAATCACACTCCCACTGCGGCACGACAGTGCGGCGCAAGGTACCAGGCGATCGCCACTCCAGCGGTGATTTTCACTATCGCAGCACGCCTGATTCGTTATCTGCGCATCCGGGTGATTGAGTGGTGGGGAATACAGCGCGTCTCGACCGGGCTGCAAATGAGTTGCTTGCGTGGTGTGTGGGATGGTTGTATCCTGCTCCCCTGTAGGGACCACCCGTGCTCAGCAGCTCATCTGTGTCAGATATAAGAGGCACAACGCGCGTTGGTGCTGTGCCTTTCCTTCTCCATCCTCTCGATCAAAGCATCTACCATAATTACACAGTGTTCTTTTACACTAGCCACTCTTTTAAACAAAGACACCACACGCTCTTTATACTCTCTTACCACTTTACCAATACCTTCTAATTCTCCGCTTTCGGATCACTCTTGCAACACCACAAAACTCAGTCAAAATGAAGTTCTTCGCTGTCGCTGCCTTCGTTGCCGCCGTCGCTGCCCAGGGCTACGGTACGTCTCTTTCTCCAGCATGAACTTCTTATGAACTCAAAATACTGACTCCACCAAGGCACCGGAGAGGAGACGTGCTCCATCCAGACCGTCACCGAGACCGTCACCCTCCCCTACGGCGTGCACACTCCCAGCGCTCCCTCCGTCCCCAGCGCTGCTCCCACTCTGCCGCCCTACCCCACCGGCCAGGCGCCCTACCCCAGCGTGCCCGCCCCATCTGGTACTGCCCCCGCGCAGTCCTCCTACGCACCTGTTGCGCCCTCCGTCCCCGCGGGCACTGCCCCCGCTGGTACCGGCGCCGCCTCGCCCTCGGGCACTGGCTCCTACGCCGTCCCCTCGGGCGGCTACTTCGAGGGTGCTGCTAGCGGCAACCAGGTCGCTGGCTTCGTTGCCGGTGTTGGTGCTCTCGCTGCTTTCTTCTTGTAAGCGTGACCAGCATGGTGGTGTGAGGTGGGGAGAGGAGATTGCATTGTTGTTCTGATGGAGGAAGTGATTGCTTTTGGAGAGACGTGAGAGTTTGAGATTGGGGGGATTGGTAATGGTAGAGAGGTTCCCTGGATGCATATACCCCCGTCAACGGCATCCAGGGTTTCTTGTACAAATTCAAACTGTTCTGCTACTTTGGCTGGAGTGCTCTGTATATGTCTGTGTGTGATCTTGTTGTGGAAACCACGATGCATGTTCCAGGAGCCGCTTGTACTCAAGATCCAACGTGGATACCGTAGGTACTCTGCGGCTGCATTTTGCAGTGCAGAATCGCAACGACGTGGCAAGCTCTATGCGCGCGGTCCGAAATCAAGGCCGTGCAGATCGTGCGGTCTGCTGATGCCAGTTTCAAGGAAATCGGCTGGCTAGGACATGTTACGCCTTTCGTCGGCTTGCGATCCATCGGACGCGTGTACTATCTCCACCATATCAATGGTCCTTAAGCTTCATCAGGGATAAACCTTTGACTCATGTAATCGCAATAATCGCCACGCGTTCAAGACTGCTCATATCCGAGTTTGTCCCGAAGCTTGACACTCCGCAGTGACGCGGACGGTAGGATGTCGGAATGAGCGATGGAATGATGATGGACGCTGCATTCATCCTTTGGTTGAGGAGGCGATGTTCTTTGTTTCGTTTTGGGGCTTGCGTTCTTCGCTTTAAGACGGAGGACGGAGGACGGAGGACGGAGGTTCCAGGACCCCGCATTCCTCTGTAGGTTTCAGCGTTCACATGTTGTCAGTGGTTTGCGGTGTTTGAGAAATCAGCACGCACTGCAGTAAATTTGTTAGTATAGGCCGAGCGTGTCCTCAAGGCCATGAGGCAATCAATTTCAACCAAAGATTCCAGGTAACTCAATGTGGCCATCCCTTGAAATGTCTTGTCTATCCTTCGCGATTAACAATGTATTGGAAAAGTGGAAATGGTTCATCCGCATCTCTTTGAGATTTGCGTCAGCTTTTCAATGGAAATACGATCAAAGAGTGCAGCCGATAACAAAGGTACCCATAAAATTCCGACGATTTCTGATTCATCGTCGCCAGAGTCCCAGATCTGTAGCGGCAGCCATGCTCCATCCCCGTATCAACAAAGAGACCAAATGAGAGGCTCAGAACTTCGCCGGCCGTCCACTGTTGATCCTAAGCCAGCTTGATTAGTAGAGTCTGTTAGAAACTTGACCTCATGTCGTGCTGTTGGTGTTGACGCTCACGCGAAAGGAAACATTATACCAACTTTCACCCTCGGAAATAGATGAAGTCATTTTCCGAAGTCATTTTCCGAAGCCAAGTGACCTGATAACGTTCCCCGCAGTTGAGTAGCGCATCACGAATCGTCTTACTAGAAAGACGCTAGTTCTCGCGGGGTACATTGTAGCTCAAGAATTTTGACATTGCGGACTGGCCAAACCCAGGAGGGGTGGCACAGCTTATGGAGAGTGGCGGGTACGGATATCCCTACCGGAAACTGCAGTACTGAACACCATTTGTCGATGTGACCTCTGTGAAGGATACTTATATTAGTCTCCTAACAACGTCTTGCACACATTTGTAGCCATCTGTTACCGTAGTAAGCATGGCAGCTATCGAGCCAGATGTAAGGCATCTCGAGCCCACAAGTATTGCTCTAGCCATATTAGCGGTTTCATTCCTGTATCTCTTGGGCCTCTGTATCTACCGCCGCTACTTCCATCCTCTTGCTAAATTCCCAGGCCCGTTCCTCAACTCCGTATCCGAGCTTCCAGCAGCTCTCTCCCTTCTGCGAGGTCGTTATGCCTTCGACAACAAGCTGCACCATGAGCATTACGGTGATGTCGTCCGTATCGGCCCAAACGAGCTCACCTTCCGCACCTCGCAGTCAATACAAGACATCTACGGCTTCCGACCCGGCCACCAAAACATGAAGAAATCATTCCTCCATACCGGCCCTGTTAAAGTGGGCCAGACGACCACGCTGCAATACGTTCCCAGCGATGCAGACCACGGGCGCCAACGACGTGCTCTCAGCCATGCGTTCTCCCACCAGGCGCTTATGGATCAAGAGCCCATCATCCAAGACTACATGTCCAAGGTTGTCTCACGTCTGCGGAAGTTCGCGAGGGACAGTCAGGTTGTGGACATCTGCGATTGGTTCAACTACTTCACGTTTGACACGATGGGCGACCTGGCCTTTGGAGAAAGCTTCGGCTGCCTTGACGAAGGCAAGTACCAGGAATGGGTCGATATGCTCTTCATGACCATCAAAGACGGCACACTCATCCAGTTCTCGCGGCGGATCGGCGGAATCGGCACCTGGGCGCAGACAGTCCTCGCGCGGATTCTCGGAGTTGGAGACGCGGGATCTTACCACGTCCATCACACACGGCAGAAAGTGTTGAGTAGGCTGGCCATGCAGGACATCGACCACCGCGACTTCATCTGGTATATCCTGCGCCAGAAGGAGAAAGGCTTCGAGCTTACCCAGGATGAAATTATCGCTAACGCGGGTCTCTTCATTGTCGCGGGCAGCGAGACCACGGCAAATGCACTGTCCGGGCTCATAGCGAGGCTTATCTGGAATCCACGTGTGTACGAGAAACTAGTAACCGAGATACGCGGCGCGTTCCATGATGAGGCGGCCATCGATTTCAAAGCTATCACGGCGTTGCCGTATCTCAACGCTTGCATCGAGGAGGTTCTACGCGTGCATCCGCCAGTCCCGGCCGGGCCTCCGAGAGTAGTTCCTCCAGGTGGCGATACCGTAGATGGAGTCTACGTACCGGGAGGCACCACCGTTTCGGTGGGCCAATGGTCTGCGTGTCACAACCCTGCGCATTTCAAGAACCCAGATGAGTTTCTACCCGAGAGGTGGATCGATCCAGCGTACAATAGCGAGGTCAAGAAAGCAGTACAACCGTTCTCTGCAGGGCCGAGGAATTGCATAGGGAAGAACCTGGCGTATATGGAGATGCGGTTGGTGGTTGCGCACTTGTTGTGGAATTTCGATATAGTGAGTGTGGACGGTGCCCCCTTGTGGGATCCTGCAGGCGAGATGAGGCATAAGCGGGCGTTTATGGTTTGGGAGAAACAGCCACTGATGCTTCATCTGAAAGATGTTCGCATCGGTTGATGTAGAAAAGGTCGTCAGCTAGGGAACTGTTAGAGAATCCATGATTTGTCGTTTTTCACGAGCGTGACATAGGGCGACCTACCCATGTCGGATCAATACACGACCCCTGTCTTCCGGAGCTGGTCCTCATTTGGATCCATTCAAATTCTTGGTTCAGCGTGCCCCCGTAACATGACCCCTCTGCCCCAGGACTAATTCTCTTCAGGTGTCCTCGGCCTTCGGCGCAATGTAGACCCAATTCCCCTCCTCGCTTTTTCTCCACGCCCCGGCATATATTGCCCCCTTCACTACTGCCTCATCATCAACAACCAAGGGTAAGTACCATTCACCCCAATCCTCATCCCACCTCCAATCTTCCCACGATCCAAGCGCTTCCAATCCTTCCTCCACGCTCCTGTGGCCTTGTTCTACCATAACCCAATCGCTGGTTTCGTCCTCACGCTCCCATTCAGTCAGAAAGACATGATCTCCCGTTTCAGGGTCGGCATAGTGCCACTCAGACCACTGGAAGTCCCAATCCCACCTCTTCGTCGCAAACGTAGCATATGGACTTTGCGCTGGCTGAGGAAACCGGGGACTATCAACAGCTACTGTGAGATGCTCGATGGCATCTCCCAAGTCACTTAAATCCATCAAAAGGAAAGGATCCGGACTGAAATGGGGTGGCAAACGCCACTGACCGCGCTGTCTCAGTTGTTGTTCAAAGTAGGTAAGTTGAGCTTCGAGGTTGTCAAGACCAGCGCGTGTGGTGGGAGAGGCTGTTGCCTGCTCTGTCGGTGGAACAAACGAGCTCTCATCGTGCTGAGTTGGGTATTCGCTGCTTCTTATCTCGAGAACTTTGTATTGTGATGGGTTCTCCCCACATGACTTGTAGGCGTGGATGCTTGTTTGTAATTGAACGATTGCGCCTGCGAGTCTGCTCCATGCGCCGTCTAAAGATCCAGGCATCTTTGCAGACTCCGTTTGATCGAATGAATGGTGAAGACTGTAATAAAGCTTCAATAGAACACCCGTTCTATTGAATCGTTCACATAATCTGGAATGTTGGGACGGTGAAGATGAGTGCCGGAAAGTGGGGCCAAGGCGACGATGCGCCACAGTGCCGGCTGCTTCTTCAGTACTAGTCCCAAAGTGGTGATATCTCTCTGGTTATCAACGCAAGCGAAGTGACTCACACGGATCGAGAGGATTTAAGAAATCGGATTGCGTGCGATACCTCGACGCGTTTGAGACATCCGGATATAACGCAGCGCTTTTCGAACATGACTGGATTAGCAAAGGAAGAGGCTGCGACCAAACCAGCCTACCTAGTGCGACCAGCTGTTGCCGCGGACATATCTAGCATAAGCACCATCGCCGCTTGGTACGTGCGGAATACTGTCCTGACCTTCCGGTATAATCCAGCTACAGAAGAAGAGCTACTTCAAGAGTTCTACAGCATCGGTCAGGAGCGTTTACCATACCTCATTGCAGCCGACAAATCTACTGGTACAATCCTCGGCTACTGTTATGCAGCTCGGTTTAGACCCGCCAAGCTCGGTTACAAGCCTACCGTCGAACTGAGCTTGTACTGCGATCCTGATCACAGATCGAAAGGCATTGGGAGTCTGCTTCTGAAAGAAGTGCTGCAGGCTTTGAGGAACTGGGAGCCAGGAACTGATTCCTGCATCAGTTCGGATCTAGACAAAGTAGGAGTCAAGACCGTACTGGCGACAATGGCCGTGGATGAGACCGGACCAGGCGGCGGGTTGACGTTGCAGCGATTCTACGAGCGTGCTGGCTTTGAGCAAGCCGGGCGTTTGAAACACGTAGGATACAAGTTTGGGCGATGGTGAGCTCGCTCGCCTGGTTTAATATAATCGGGTAAAGTAACGCTGACGCCTGCACTAGGATTGACTCGATCTACATGCAGCTTTCGTTGTAACGATGTTGAGTCTACATGAGCCGCAGCACGAGAACTGGAGTCTGAGTACTATTGGCCTCCGTATCGGCTATTCCGGGGTAATGCACTGCACCCAGACTTTTGTGCTAGTGAAAAATCGCACCCATCTCTTATTTGGAGAAGTGAGAGCAGGTTGAAGTCCAGGGCATGTTCTAGGATGATGTGTCCAGTTGGGGTAGAACACGCCGATGATTTGATCGACTGTGTTGGAATCCTTCATGGAATCATTCTGTTGTTTGCGGCAAATTGTGGACTGTCGCGCATCGATGAGAGAAGAAATTGGGAGAAACCTTCGTGCCACTCTAGCTTGTTGTCCCCACATAGAGCGTCATGGCGTGGTGCATGTGTCGAGGTCTGCTATCCGACTGAGGGTTCGGATGCAATGCATCAATTATGATTATCAAGATGTCAGACGCAGCATCCCGCGCTAGGGCACACAAGTATGTACGTGCTTGAGGACGACGGATGAGTGGTGGTGGTAGCGTTCCGTGTCGCACGGGGTCCGGCAAAACAGTTGTTCCAGCCCACATTGGGAACGGACAACTCGCTTAGAATTAGAGCAACACCAGCTTGGCGCCCGCAACCTCGCAACCTCAAAATTAGTCGACCCAGACAACACTCTTCCACCCCGAAACACCCACCACAACCGCCAAAATGACGAAGCGCACAAAGAAGGTCGGCATCACCGGAAAGTACGGAACGCGCTACGGTGCTTCCCTGCGAAAGCAGGTCAAGAAGATGGAAGTGAGTGCTGCCGCACCGCCGGACTGTTGGAGCTTGATGGCTGATTACCCACGATAGATCACCCAGCACGCCCGGTACACATGCCAGTTCTGCGGAAAGAACGCTGTCAAGCGCGAGGCCGTCGGTACGTGACTGTCAGGATGGCATTGGATACAGCGCGTGAAGATATGAGCGGTTGTGGCATACTGACCACTGCGTATCTGCACGCTGCTGCACTGCTGCTTGTCCCCAACCTTCTGTTGCTGCAACATAGTAACCCGTGAATAGGTATCTGGAAGTGCCGATCATGCCGCAAGACCACCGCTGGCGGCGCCTACACCGTCTCGTAAGACACCACCTTCACCTGCCCACTACTCCACCCACCTAGTCGACTACCGATGCACAACGCCGCCACAACTGTCTTCAACAATACTAACGAGCTTGACAGGACCCCTGCCGCTGCCGCCACACGATCCACCATCCGTCGTCTGCGAGAGATTGCTGAGGTTTAAGCGGGGATAAGGTTCATGGGTGGGAGGCGTTCATCGAGCGTGTTTCATTGTGCGGGCGAACAGTCATGTCGACAACGAAATGACGCGCCTCTGCATTTGGGTCCCGGTCGTGCCGGCCCTGTGACGATCATGGGTTTCTCGGGATTTTCATAAAAGAATCAAATGGCATTTGAACGACATCTCCGCCGACCACATGTATCGCACTGAGCGCAGTGCCGATGAACGCTACCTGGATGCTGAATCATAGGATGTGGGCCGTCATGTCCAACACGACACAATAACAGCTTCCATTTCGCCCGGTTTCCCTTCTTCGAACGTCTGCCAATGAAACCCGATGAATCATTCGGAAACTCAATTTCTGTTCATGGTGCCTCGTGACAGTACAGGAAAGCCCTTGTAGCGAACTTTTAAAGTAACTGAGCCTTCGCATGACGGCTCTGCACCTGCTTTTGACTCAATTGTTGATTCACATGCCATCCTCGACAGGTAGTCGGGGTTCAGTCATATTTCATCGTACCCGATTGGAATTACGCTATTAAATATCGTGATCCCCACCCAATGGCCCACCACCTACAGCACCGGTATTGTGAAGTCCTCATATACACTTCGATTGAAGAACCTGTACACCCTCCTTCCCACATCTGTCCCGATCAACGCACATATCTCCTTTTCCTCCATATTCGCCAACCCGATCATATTCTCCACCTCCAGCGTAAGCGTCGTAAGAATGCTCTCAGTAACTCCCGGCAGCGCCCTCAGCATATCCTGCGTGACCTGGCTAAAACTGCGCATGCTGTCGCCAGCCATGCTCGGATCTAGCCCTAGCTGCACAGCGCGCAAAGGATCCGGTTCCTCCGCCTGCTTCTTCAGCTCCACGAAGATCTCGCTAGTCTGGTAGGGACTGCTTGACCAGATGATTTTCAGACGCGGGAACGCGAGGGTCAGCATGACGATCTTGGACTGTAGATCTGGGGCATTTGAGAGGCCGCCCGGAGCAGAGAGATCGCTGAACGGTTCCAAAGTGAATGACTTGCCCGCGTCAAACTCGATGAGGAGCATGGGCGATTTGTAGTGCTCCATCATGCTTTCTACTTGGTTGAAAAGGCGACCATTAGAGAATGAGCCGATAAGATCGCGCACAGATTTGCGCTCCACGCAGATCTCGGGGGTCAAGACGTAGTCACCTACTGTGAGCATGCAGGGTACTACGACAATAGACTTGCCGTGGAGTAGGGAAGGGAGAGAGGAGCGGAATTCGCGGACGTCGACAATCACCCGCGGAGGTTGTGTGGTTGCGGCAAGGCAGCCTCCACCTGCTATGCGGGTGTTAATCGTGCGGAGGAAAGACTCCTCTGGCGCGAGGTTGGCGTTCGGGTTTATCGTCATGGCCATATTTCCTCTCTCTTTGATAAGGCGTGTGAAACAGTCCTTCTCCCGGCGCACGCCAGAAAGGTAGCGTTGCTCTTCGACGCTGCCGCCGTAGTACATGAAAAAGACTTTCACGGTGCGGTCAGTGTGTGAGGAGCGGTAGACCTCGATGCGGCGGATGAACGCAGAGTCGGGCTCATACATGATTACGTAGCGAGGCTTTGTCTCCTCAAGGACGTGCTCGTCGAGGTCGCCATCGTAGGGATGGACTACGATGAGGTCGTTCATGTTGAAGAGCTCATAGTAGTCTTCCATGTTCTCCAATGGATCGAAACCGACCTCGCCTTTCTGCATGGCTTCCAGTTCTGAGGGCTGCAACTCCGCCATCAGGCTTGCGATGTGTGCATCGCGGTCGCCAGCAGTCCGGACTGCACCTATCTCGGTACGTGCTGTAGCTGCGCCAACCCCTCCGCCACGCATTCGTCTGCGCTTGTTCGGTGGTGGCTTGCCAGACCTGCCACTTCCGACTTTATTCTCAGTGCTAGTATTGATAGCTTTCTGATTCTCGGAGAAGAGCGCAGCGCTGAAATTTGTGAAGTCTCGTTTCCACGTCAGGTAATTGCGTAATTTACGACGCATCAAGAACTTCGCAGAGGGTTCATTGGCTGTCTCGTCGTCGTCTTGTTCGCTCTCCGGTTTTACGTACATTATCTGCAAATATTCGCGGATCTGTCGGCACGTGCTTTGATCACCGCACATGATCAAAATGGCACCGTTTGATGAGTCTTGTGGGGTTGGATTGAGATATGCATCTTGTTCAATCTCTTGAAGGATCTCGGCGAGCTGGGCCCACTTCGGCTGTTCCTCCAGGACAGGTTCGAGAGCGTCCACTACGGCATCGTTGGAACTTCTCACAAGGTCGGCGTTACTAACCTTGCCTTTATACACCCGTTGTTTTGCTATTGTGAATATTGTGTCGGCTGCGTCGAGAAACAGCCACGGCGACTGGTTTTGCTTCGTAGAGCCGGGTGGAGGTTGAGAGGCGGCCAGAACAGTGTCCAAATATCTATTAAAGTCGACGGCATCGTACGTTAAGAGAGCATGTAGGATCGTTCGAAGTAGAGTGAGATCCCGCACAACCTGTCGCGTCTTGAATGTTGTCCGGTGCCAAACGGGGTCTAGTTGCCGTCTGACGATGGTATCGAAGTTCCTGTGCAGTGCACTTTCTAGCGTCCAATCCTCCATCTCAATACCGGTGTTGCTCTTCCTGAGCTCGCTGATGCTGGCTTCAACGCATTCCAGCACAGCATTCTGGATGTCGCGCATCGCGTCAGTCATGGGCACTTCCAGCTCAATGACTTCTGCCCTTTTCCGCCCTTCCAACGAGTTTGCCACTGCAACGTGATATCTCGGGTACAATGCAGGCTTCGACAGGAACAGATTCTTCATCATGTTAGCCAGCGGCGCAAAGCCCGTGGTGAAGGGCTCTGGGCTATCCGAAAAAGCCTTCAAGAAGCCAGCCTTGTTCTTCTGCCTGTATATCCTCAGGATGAAGGCCTCGAGGCTTGTTGCGACGACCTTCTCGGCATGCAACACCACCACGCCCGTGACCGTCTCCGGGTTCAGCAGGCCCGACAGAAAATCCACGATCAGGATGCGCGACGTGATGCTGAAGATGCCGCCTTGCGCATACATCTTCTCGCGTGTTCCCACGCTCATCAGGTCGGTGTTGACCAGGCTCAGCCCGCGCGCTTTCGCCGCCTGGCTGACGGCCGCGTGCTCCGCGAGGGCCTCGCCGATCCACACATTCTCGCGTTCGTCAGCACCCACGAGTATGATGAGGTTGTTGCCGGCCGCATCGTACGAGTGGAGGAGGTTCGTAACGATGCGCAGTATGCCGAGGCCGCGCGCGAGTATTACGAGTTTGTCGTCCTCTCGCAATTCCTTGAAGATGTCCTGCTGGAATTCCTGACGTCATTGTTAGCGCTGCGATGAATGTGAGCGGCCGCAAATGACTTACGAGAGGCAGCGACAGCTTCACGGGGGCTTGCGCATCGCTGGGCATTGGGGTCGTTGTGCGTGCTGTGGAGGGATGACGTGCAGTCGGTCGCAGTGGGGCCAAAGCGACGTGACGGCGTTCGCGTTTGATTCGCGAGGTCACGCTGACACAAAAGGGAATTTAGGCGCACCTCATCCTGTACGAACTTGCCCTACTACATGTTTGTAAACCTATAGTGTGATAGGATGGCGCGGATGTTCATAGTAGGGCCTACTTTCGGGATTCTCGTGTTTATTATCGACCACTGTGTTCCCTTGCGTGGCTGTCTCTCCACCCACAGCGGTAGACACAAAAATTGGACCGCTTCAATCTGAGCTCACAGAAGGTGTTGACCATAAAACAAGGCATCTGTTAATAAATACATACACAGATCCAGGCCTCTATACTGTGATAGCTTCCCAAAGTGTGATGCAGATCGACGCGCCGATATATCAATGCTCTAGAAATATTTCCCTCGGATAATTGGCCAAAGCAAGAAGAATAGTTTTCTTACATGTTTGTCCAGATTTGTGAAGTTCCATCTGGACACCATCTTGTCTAGGTGCAGTTGTATCGGGATGCAGTTGTATCGAGAAGGATGTAGTCGTATCTGGATGTAGTTGTCTCGGATGTAGTTGAGATTGCGCCCATCCACAAAGCTACCGACAGACAGTAAGCTCGCGTCACAATTTGTTCTCGATCAGGTTCTCGGACAGAACAAGGCTACGGTCACAGAGCTTGTAGCTAATCAGATCGCTCTTCTTCGGAAAGGTACATCTCGTAACACAGTTCTAAGCCTAGCTAACTAGTATCAGTGCATCCTGTCGCCCTTGAATATATAGAGCGTGCAGCCAGGCATAGTCTATGGCGGAGAGATGGAGGCCAATGCTGCGTCTCAAGCGCTGAACTCAGAGAGAAGCACAACGAAGCTCCTTAGTTCATGCACATCTTGTCGCCGAAAAGGTCATGGAGAATGCACACTGCAAGAAACACGAGATAGTTTTCTTAATCTCAGAAACATCCTCGTCGACAAAAACATGAGACTTTGGGGAATAGTTAACTAGGATTGTGTAGGATGGTTGACGGCGTCACCGAACAAACGTTTTCGAATTACCACGATGAGTTGCAGGCTGAGAATATTTTGGTCCGCATGGCTCCTTCTTGGTGACGTGACTCTCTTGTTATCAGAGATTTTCCGGTGAGAATGTCACCGGACTCAGAATCAGAGGGATAAGATAGAGTTTCACGGGAACGTTTGTACATGGTTTCAAATGCAAGGCTCGGCTGTAGCTATGCTGCGGCCGGGCTTTCAATAACGCTAAGAAGCTGGGTAGATCTGTTGACGCACGTTGGTGCTTGACTAAAAGGCTTTAGGGCCATGAATAGGGGAGTGTATTTTTTCAGCTACAAGTTACATTATGATTGATTCTAGACCTGGCGAAGTGGCTAGCATAAACTGACTTCAACAGTCCGAAAAATTCCATTTCCGCTTCTGCCTAGGTACGAGCTCTTGTATATGAATTTGCCACTATGCAGTCCTCCATATCTTACTAGTATACTCGCTTCCTAAAGAACCGCCAAACCTTTCTCGCATCTTTCAAAATGCGGCCTTTCCTCTTCTCTGAGCCCATCGCGTGTGCCGCTCCAGGCGTGCACACAATGACTTGTTTTTCAGCCGGTCCACAAATCGACACGACCAGAGACATGTGGGATGTTTTGTGATGTATATATTGTTCCGGAGGGAGGAAAAACTCCAATTGCTCGCTAAAACGGGACGCAGTTGGCGTGTACGTGTAGCCCATTGGCCCGTCGGTCAAACGACGAGGAGGCCCCATCATATCTGCCTGGATGGGACACGACGCGGGAATGACCAGGGCGTAGTACGACTGGCTTTCTGTAAAAGCGACCCGCTGAGACAGGACGAAGACCGTTGACGCAGAGGATAGGTATTGACGGCGGAGTGATGGATCGAACAGGCTGACGTCGAGTCAGTATAGAGCCAGAAGGTACGGGGAAGCGATAGTCGTTCAGAGCGTAGAGGCTAATAAAGCTCCCTTGAGGCGGTGGTGTGGTAGCCGGCAGTGTCTCCTCGACAAACTCGTTGGCTATCGTGATGTTGATCAATGGGAGTATGTTTCGGCTCTTTCTCCGAGAGCGAGCTGCGTCTCCAGCTCGTAACGTTAGAGATGGCTTTGGAATTCTGGGTACCATAAGGGTTATTGTATTGGTTGTAGTCGCCGTGGTCATTGTAGATGTTGTTCAAGTAGGTATTTGTTTGGTCGTGGGTTGGATTGCTATGTCTAGACTTGGAAAGCATGTGAGAAGTAAAGATATATACGAAGAGTTCTTGGAGGATTCGCGGGACAGCATGGTTTTCACAACATCAGTCTAGTTGTGGTAACAATTTTACATACGATTTTCAAGTTACAAGTCATTCGGTTTGAAACGTTCACTATGTATTGGGGCGACACAATGTTGCGGTCCAAGGTGAATTTCCAAGTAACGTGCGTCACCGTAGATAGAAAAACACTCTTCGTCGAAAATTAAGCGAGATACCCATCTCCGATCGCGTCGATACCTGTCTACACGTCTTAATAACATTTGGACCTTCGTGGGCTACGTTCTCTGGCTCTCACTCTACACCATCGACTGTTTTGATCTAAAAAATACCAGTGCCTTACAGCTGCCTTGCCGATCTCGCGCAATGCCTTATTTTATGCCAAATTCGCGAATGCTTGCTATAGGATCAGCGGTATGATCTTGACTGTACGAAAGACATAAGGAAAAGCGCCTGAGCGCTAAGAATCCATGTATCACAGCAGTAAGTCATTAGGAGCCCTGTGCCACTACTACGCGCAGGTTCATGGAAGATCGCCACCCTGGTCGGAGGCATCAGAGTAATCAAGTTCTATAACAGGCTAACATTATTCGGAATATGAGTTAATAATTAAATTCATGCAATGTTTGTGCAGTTGCAATGCTGCAGAATCTTTAGCATAGACGCAAGGGAACGCTCAAGTGGTTAGCTATGCACCTCAGAGGGATAAACCTGCCTGACACGCGACGAAAGCAAACCAAGAAATAACAAGGCATAGCAGATCGAGGCCTGCTGCGTCCATGCGACACGACATAAGATTTTCCCCGCAGAAATGATTGTCTTTATGCCCTTTGATGCGAGATGAAAGAGGCCTCGAGTCGATGGTCAACCTGCAGCGTGGTTGCACCTGATGGGTTTTACTGATACCGGTATCGATAAGATGCGGCGCAGTACAACGCACATCGTATGCAGTTGCTCAGCCTTGCTGCGGCACCTCAGCCTAGGCGCATAAAACTTCACTGCCTACACGATGGCACTCTCCTCTGCACTCTCCTCTCTAGCAGGCCTTCTATGAGGTATGGATCCACTTAGCGTCCCAGCCAGTATTATCGCAGTCCTCCAGCTCTCAGCCAAGGTCCTTGCGCATATATGCGACGTCAGAGATGCGCCGAAAGAACGCTCGCACTGCGAGGCTGAATTATCGAACCTTTCCGCCCTACTTCGTGCCCTACGAGATCACGTCCAGACAGGAGATCTGAGCCTGCCGTGGTATGCCGCCGTCGCAGAACTCGCAGCACCCAAGGGACCCTTCGACCAGTTCAAGCAGGCGCTCGAAGGGCTGCAGAATAAGATAACAGATGGAAGTCAGCTGAAGAAATTAGGTGAGACGCTGGTGTGGAAGTTCAAGAAGGGGGAATTTACTAGCATATTGCTTCGGATAGAGCGTCTGAAATCGCTGGTAGAGATCGCTTTGCAGATGGACCACTAGTAAGCTCTCCCAGACGACGTAGGTTCTTGTCGCTTATGTCTAGAAGCCAACTATCTCAAGCCATCAAAGACGATACCAACTTCGTTCGGACACGCGTATCCGCAATACAGTCTCGAGTAGACGAGATCCAGCAAGAGCAAGTTAATGCAAAGCACAGCAAGATGGTAGGAAGGATCTCGCCTACCGACTACCCCGCTCAGCAATCGGACATCATATGTCGCAGACAGAAGGGAACGGGCCAGTGGTTTCTCGACGCACCCGAGTTCACAAAGTGGCTTGGTGAGCCGAAGGGAACTCTCTTCTGCCCAGGCATCCCTGGCGCCGGCAAGACGATGGTGGCAGCGATTGTGATCGACCACCTCCTGAAGTCTGTGCAGAGCAGCTCCTCCGGAGTTGCGTATGTGTACTGCAACTATAAAGCACAGGATGAGCAAGAAACCTCTAACATGCTGGCAGCTATGGTTAAGCAGCTCGTGCAGGGTCGACCATCGATTGCGGAGCCTGTAGCACGACTGCACAAGAAGCATGCCAATCGAGGTACAAAGCCATCCCTTAAGGGGATCTTTGGCGTCCTCCGAGAAGTAGTCGCAAAGTACTCCACTGTCTATATTGTGATCGATGCTCTAGATGAGTGTCGAGACAGCGACGGCGCTCGCAGTCAGCTTCTGGCTAGACTCAAAGACTTACAAGTAGGACAAGATGTTCGCATTATGGCCACTGCGCGGTTCATACCAGAGATCGAAATTGAGTTTCAAACAGCGATGAAGCTAGAAATACAAGCTAGCGATGAGGACGTGAGGCGATATGTAGCCGGCCAGACGCACCGACTACCCAGATGCATTCAGCGTGACCCTGCGTTGCAGGCTATAGTGCAAGACAAGCTTGTGGAGGCGGTAGACGGCATGTATGCAATTATTTTACACTTAAGAAATAGCACTAGCTTACTAATTTCTAGGTTTCTTCTTGCCCGCCTGCACACAGACTCGCTTCTAGATAAGCGAACAGTAAAAGAAGTCAAGTCTACATTAGCCCGACTCTCAAAAGGCTCGGCTGCGCTTCAGGGTGCATACGACGAGGCTATTCAACGCATAGATGGCCAACTAGACAGAGATAAAGAGTTAGCCAAGAGAGTACTGTCGTGGATTACGTACGCAAGGAGGCCGCTCACTACAGTAGAGTTGTGCTGTGCCCTAGCGGTGGAGCCAGGCGAAACAAAGCTCGATCCAGAAAATATGCCAGACGTCGAGGACTTACTATCTGTATGCGCTGGCCTTATCATTGTTGATCAGGAAAGCGCTATCGTTCGTCTCTTGCATTACACTACGCAAGAGTACTTAGAGCGTATTAGAGATACATGGTATTCCGGTGCTCCATTAGACATTGCCTCAGCATGTCTCACCTACCTATCGTTCGATCTGTTTAAGACAGGTAGCTGCTCCTCTAATAGAGAGTTTGAAGAAAGACTCCAGGAGAGCAGGTTCCTTAATTATGCTGCCAAGTATTGGGGAGAGCATGTTGTAAACGTGGAAAGCGATGCGTGCGCGCTAGCCTATTCATTCCTATCTAATAGCTGCTTAGTTTCGAGCGCTACGCAGGCGCTCTTAGTTTTGACGTATGAGTACAGCAATTATAGCCAAAAATATCCCAAGTATAGCACAGGACCACATCTCGCAGCACGATTTGGATTGCCACTCATCCTGGAGGTTATGCTCTTGTCTCAAGGACAAGAGAGAAAAGCTGAAATAACAACGAAGGATAGCTATGGTCAGACTTTACTATACCTCGCAGCAGCGAACGGACATCGTCTAACGGCGGAACTATTAATTGATAAGGGCGCCGAGGTCAACGCACAGGGTGGACACTACGGCAATGCACTCCAGGCGGCTTCAGAAGGAGGCCACGAGGTGATTGTAAAGCTACTGCTTGACAAAGGCGCCGAGGTCAACGCGCAGGGTGGATTATATGGCAACGCGCTC